TGCCAGGAGCTGGGGGAAGGGATCTTCCTTTGGGGATGCTGAAACTGTTCTGGAATTAGATAGTGGGGATACTGGCGCAACACTGTGAGTACCTACAGCCACTGGACTGCACACTTTAAAATGGTAAGCCCCAGAATGGAGTTAGTGAATTTTATGTCAATTCTAACACGCACTGTCCTCCCCAGAGGATTCCTGAGAACAGGCAGCCCCCTTGGGAGCCGTGGCTGGGAAACTGGGAGAGGTTCTTGTGTGCTTCTGATCTCCAGTATCTCTGTGGACCTAAGGGTCAGAACTCCATGGATAAAGACCCTGTGGGCTCAGCCGAGGCACCATGCTGTCCTCCCTGCCCTCTGCCCCCAGCTCTGTGTGGGCTGCTGACCGCCCCCTGCTGCACCCCCTGTGTTCCCTCCATTGGACACAGAGGCAGGAGAATGAGCCTGAAGGTCGCTTCCTTTCACTCCCAAGGTTCACCCCTTGACTGCTTTACCCAGAGCGGGTCTCCTGACTACAGCTCTGAAGCAGCAGCCCCCAGGTGGGGACTGCCGGACACGAGAAGGCCTGTCTGTGCCCTGTGGCTGTGTCCCCTGAAGGACCTGGCCTCTGCTGCCACAGGAGGGGTAGCCCACCGGCCTCTCCTCTCAGAGCTGCCCAAGGATTGGAATTCAGGGTGCTGGTGTATGTGGGTCCTATTGCCAGCTGGACAGACTAACACAAATTGAGTGGCTCCTGCAGTGCCAGAGGTTGCAAGTCCAAGTTCAGGCTCACTAGACTAAAATCAAGGTGTGAGCTGGATTGGTTCCTTCTCGAGGCCCCGAGTGAGAACCCACTTACATGCCTTTCCCAACATCTGGTGGCCACGGTCTCCTCTGTCTTCCAGGCCTGGAAGCTGCTGTCTCCACACCATTGTCTCCTCTGACTTCTGGCCCCTCCTGCGTCCATGTTAGAAGGACACTGAATACATGTAGCACCCACCTGGATAGCCCAGGGTCCCCTCCCCACAAGGTCCTTTATCTCCTTTCCAAAGCTGCTTTTTCCACTAGGCGTGGAAGTTCGAACAAGGACATCTTTGAGGCCATCATTTCACTGACCACGTGTGGTTTCTCTGTCCCTAAGGCATCTGTCTCCCATGCGAGGACTTGGGGTCCTGATAATTGCTGCAGGTGGAGCTGCTGCCCTTAAAAGTCTGTGGGCTCCTCCTGCCACCTGAGAAGGCGGGGCGGCTCTGCTCCCACATGACGGGCTGTGTGCTGCTTACTAAGCAGCTTTCTTGGGCCGGGCCAGGCCCGGGCTGGGGCTGAGAGCTTCAGAGAAAGGCAGGACTTCACGCTCACTCGAGGACAGCAGGGTTACCAGGAGACCCTGCCTGCCCAGAACTGAGTTCTCCACCCTCACAGCATGGTAGACCCTCCTTGGGGAGCTTCTTACAAATTCTGACTGCCCATAATCCCTGCACTTTGGGAGGCTGAGGCGGGACGAGCACCTGTGGTCTAGAGTTCAAGACTAGCCTGGCCAACATGGGGAAACCACATCTCTACTAAAACAAAATTTAGTTGGGCGCGGTTGTGCACATCTGTGAATCCAGCTACTTGGGAGGCTGAGGCGTGAGAATCACGTGAACCCATGAGGTAGAGGCTGCGGTGACCCGAGATCATGCCACTGCTCTCCAGCCTGGGCAACAGAGTGAGATTCTGTCTCAAAAAAAAAAAAAAAACTTTCTGCGCCCAGTCCTACCCTGGGCCAGTTTAGAGTGCGGCTCTGCAGGGGGGTCTGGCATTGGTAGTGTGAACAGTCCCAAGGTGGTTCTTGTGTCGCCAAACTTCAGAACACTGTTCTAGGAGCTCTGAATTGGGCCCAGGTGAAAACAAATTCAGATGGGAGTATGGCACACGCTTGTTCCAACCTCTGCAGCTGCCACGGGCCGCTCCTGTGCCACGTGCACCTTCCTCCGGCCCCTCCTGACAGCCCCGGAGATCAGGTGCCCATGTCCTCCCATTTCACAGGTGACTCAATGAGACTTAGGTCTGAGACCCCAGAGCCAGGGTGAGGAACACGCCGTGCGCTGCACCCCGCTGGCTCCTGAGGCCTGCCCTCATCTGTTCTCCAGAATTTTGTTTTGTTTTGTTTTTCTGAGACGGAGTTTCACTCTTTTGTTCAGGCTGGAGTACAGTGGCGTGATCTCCGGCTCACTGCAACCTCCACCTCCCAGGTTCAAGCGATTCTCCTGCCTCAGCTTCCTGAGTAGCTGGGATTATAGGCGCCTGCCACCACCCCCAGCTAAGTTTTGTATTTTTGGTAGAGACAGGGTTTTGCTATGTTGGCCAGCTGGTCTCAAACTCCTGACCTCAGGTGACCCGCCCGCCTCTGTGTGAGCCACCACACCTGCATCTGTTGTCTAGAATTTTCTAATGGACGTTCTGGGAAATCATCAGAGGCCTCTTTGTGGTGAAAGTTCCTAAGCCTGTCACCTGACTCTGGAGAAGCAAGGGAGGGTCCTCAGGAGCTCCCTTGGTAGGATGAGTCCCTGCGGCATCGGGGAGAAAGGCTGGGCCATGCTGGGTGCTCCCGTTCAGGGCACAGTGTGGGCCACTGCTGGCAGCATCCACATGGCACCTCTGTGCGGCCTCCTCGTGCCCCTGCTTTGCCAGAGTCAGTGCCAGGCCCAGGAGGGCTGGGCCGACTGAGCGGAGTGTGGCCGCCCACCCACCGGCTGCAGATGGAGCCCAGCAGGGCGCCCCTCCACAGCTCGGGAAAGGTCACACAGCCCTGTGATGCCGGCAGAGGGTGGATATCAAAGTCCCTCCAAATTAAGAGGTTTTCCCCATTGCCTGGAATTTCACAGCCCAGTGGCCAATTTCTAAGTCATGCACGTTAATGGGCTGCTAATGAGGGACCCACCAGCAGGGACAGGGAAGTGTCCCCCAATCCCCCAGTGGAGATTAAGAAGTACAAAGCCCCCAGCTGCTGATGAAGGCCCCTTTATCTCCTTTCTCGGGAGGCCGGATTTGGGGGAAGCGTGAATGACTTGGCCTCTCTGGCAGGCCTGGGAGAGCTGCGTGAACACTGCTTGTGGCCCCACCCTCCCTCAGCCTGGGCTACCGCACAGCCCTGCCTGCCATGCTGCCCACAGCCCCTGCCTTCCTTGCTGTGTCCAGTGCCATCTCCACATGGTTTAGTGACCCTCCAGCAAGTGGGACACAGAGTCTAAGCCTTTCCCAGCTCAGCCCTGACCAGGGTCTCTGTCCTAGGGAACTCCGCCCACTGTGGGCCTTCCCGGAAGCACTGGCTCATGTCCCTGGTAGGGGGAGTCTCCACTTCCCAGAACATCCCCCCAGCCCTTCACCACTGATGCACAGACATCTCCTCAGCCCACCACACCTTCTCCAGGAAGCCCTTCCAGATTTGCTTCCCTTCTCTGGTCTCAGTCCATTCCTTCTCCCATTGGGCTGAGGTGGCTTGTGTGATCTTGATCTCCCCACGGGACCATCCCCTTCTCTGGAGGAGAAGCTGTGTAGCCTGTGACTGTTATTTTATTTGGTAAAAGGGTCTCTGCGGATGCGATGAAGGATCTTGAGATGCGATCAGCTTGGATTACCCAGGTGGGCCCTCTGAAAAGACAAGACAGAGGAGAAAGCCAAGGGAAGATGGTGCTGGCCCAGACAGCAGGGCTGCAGCCGCAAGCCAGGGAGCGCCTGAGCCTCAGGAGCGGGAAGAGGCAGGAAGGATCCTCCCTCCATGGCCTCCAGAGTGGGCGTGGCCCCCTTCCTACCTTGACCGACTTCTGGCCTCCAAGACCATGACAGAGTAACTTTCTGTTGTTTTAAAGCCACTGAATCTGTGTTGGCAGCTTCAGGAGCCTAACACAGCAGAAAAAGCAAACGTTGTTCCCTTTCCTGTCTTTTCTGGCTTCTGTGTTTTCACTCACTCACACACACACACTCACTCATCCCGGCAGGCAGAGTGCTTGTGGTAGGAGGCCGTGGGACATTGCAGCCTCCGAGAGGAGCCTGACTCCGGGTGAATCCCAGCTTTGTCGCTTACCAGCTGTGATACTGGGAGCCATGTGCTCCACCTGCATGATATGGGGTGGGAGTTGCGGGACAGTGGGGACACCTGCTCGGGAATCCACGGGAACTTAAGTAAGCCGGGTTATCAGCGACACATTTAGTGGGCAATGGCATGAATGCCATCTGGGCCACGGTCCAGCCTTGATCTCCAGGACTGCAATCCTGGCTCCCTTTCACTCTCCCCTGCTGAGAAGCTGGCCACTGACTCTGCTGGTGGAGCATTTCTGGAGCAGCCTCGGTGTGAGCCGAAAAGGTTGGACCTTTTCTGATAAGGCTGCTTATCAGAAAGTAGCAGGAGTCAGTGGGTAGGGGCTGATCTGGTGTTGGACAGAGGACTGATTGGATGCAGCGGGGCTTTGGGCATTGAGGACATTTAACTTAAAGCAGCAGTTCTCAACGAGGGGCTGAACCAGCGGCTCTGCAGTCACCTGGGAACCTGTTAGAAAGCCAGGTGACCAGATGCACCCCAAAGCCACTCAATCAGAAACGGGTGGGGCCTGGTGGTCTGTGTTTGAACAAGCCCTCCGGGGGATTCTCATGCAAACTGGAGTTTGAGAATGTGTGTGAGAGGGAGGCTGGGTTCCAGGAATAAACGGTCAATTTCCAGATCTGCCCTGCATGTGCCTGCATTTTCCAGAATGGGGCCATCTCCGCTATTTGGCCCCCTTAGCTGACCATGTATCAGAGACTCTCACTACTCAAGTGTAGCCTAGGGACCAGCAGCTGCCACTCCCCCGGGCGTTCAACAAGCCCCACAGGTGACTCGTGTGTGGGATTAGCTTGAGGTACACCTGCTGCAGTTGGGAGGCAGAGGTGAAGGAAACCACCCCGGGTGGGGGAGGGGGTTGGGGGGGAAGCACCTGCGGGCCGTGGAGCCTGTTCTGCAGATGAAGGGGCTGGTTTCTGCTTTTCCCGACCCCTCCCTGAGCGGGGGCCCTCAGAGGGGACTCTGAGAGTGGGAGCACTGCAGAAGCTGTCCTGAGATCAGGTGCCTGCTCCCCGACCACAGCTTGCTGTCTGCTCTCCAGAGCAGCTGAGAAAGCCCCACCCCTGGGCTGGGCCTGCAGGGGGCTGGGAGTAGGTAGGAGTCTTAAGCTTCCCTTGCCCAGGTCAGGCCTCTCAAAAGCTGCAAATTCTTGGGACCCATGGCCCCGACCACTTGTTGCTGTCCTCCTAGGTGTGGGGGGGGCCTGACCCTGAAGCATACTCGCTAGGAATCCTTTGGTTAATGACTCACTCGCCTGTAGCCAAGCTAGAATTTTCCTTTTCCCACCCCTCCGGCCCCAAGAAATCCAGCTGAGCCACCTGGAGTGAGCCTGAGTCCTGTCCCTGAAGGCCAAGGACTGTCCACAACTTAAAGGTTGGATTTGGTGGTAAGGACCAGAGGTTGGGGCTCTGTGCAGAAGTGTGGCTGGAAGCAAAGGAGGTGTGTGGGAATGGGGGAAGAGAGAGGGAGGGGGCAGGGGTGAGGTGGTCTTGGGGTCCAGTGGGAGGGCAGGAGTGAGAATAATTCGGTAGGGAATGGGAGGAGGAGGGGAACCAGAAGTGAGCAGATGCATGCAGCACCCTTTGGAAAGGGGAGCCGAGGCCAGAGAAGTGGCCAAGAGAGGCTCAGGGAGGTCTCACTGAGTAGGGGAGAGACACTGAGTTGGCCTGCCTGTGTTTGGACCAGCCCTCATTGAGGATACCTTGAATTTAGGAAAGAAACTGTGAGGCGACACTTTCCACCTCTGCTGCCTTTCGCCATGGCAGGACAGACCCCAGAAAGCAGAGGTCTTCCAGAAAAGCCGGACCCTGCCTCGACCGCTGCCACTCTGTCCTCCATGGGTGCTGTCTTCATCCTCTTAAAGTCTGCGCTGGGAGCTGGCCTGCTCAACTTTCCCTGGGCCTTCTCCAAAGCTGGTGGAGTGGTCCCTGCCTTGCTGGTGGAGCTGGTAAGTCCCCAGGAAGTGCGTCCAGGGGACAGGTAGCAGGTGGCTTTGTTTTTTCTGGGTGGGGTTCTTCGCATTGCTTTTACGGAGTTGTGTGTCCCATAAGCTATAGCTCTGGGGTTTTATTTCTATCCCATTCAGCTAATGAGGGGAGGAGATAATCCTAATGTAGCCCGGGAGGGAGAACATCCCCTATGAGCACTGGTGAGGTGTGATACGGAGCTTGCGGGATGGAGCTATAGGCATTGCAGCTCCCATATATGAAGTGGGCATTTCATTCGGGAAAGAGCCTCTCCAAGCACCCTGCCTGGCCAGCTGCTGGCTCTTACCTGCTGGTTTAAGTTCACAAACTGAAGCTGGGCCAGGCAAAGTGGCTCACACCTGTAATCTCAGCACTTTGGGAGGCCAAGGCAGGCAGATCACCTAAGCTTGGGAGTTCAAGACCAACCTAGTCCACCTGGTAAAACACAGTCTACTGAAAACACAAAAATTAGCTGGGCATGGTGGCAGACACCTGTAATTTAAGCTACTCGGGAGGCTGAATCAGAATTGCTTGAACCTGGGGCAGGTGGAGGTTGCAGTGAGCCGAGATTGTGCTACTGCGCTCCAGCCTGGGCGAGAATGAGAAACAAGTAAGCCTGGACTCCTGTGTGCAGATTGAGCCTAAAACTGGTGTGACACCCCCAGGCCCCTCACCCAGAGCCGGGCCAGGCCTTGCTTGGTGCCAGGTGTTTTGCTTTTCTGCCTGCCAGGTGCCCAGCCAGGGTTCCCTTCTGGGGAGGCGCAGACGCAGAGCTCTCTGCTGGGGGAGAGCCACTTGTGAACACAGCTTTATTTTATTTTCTAAGATCCCATTCTCCGGGCTGATGGAATTAATTGCTGCCTTTTGTGGTAAGCTCCTTGGCAGCCGCCTCTCCGGAGTTCTATGGCAGCTGGTGAATAATGGCTGAGTTCCAACTGTTTGTGGGTCCCGAGGCTCCTCCTGTTTGGAAACGCAGTGTCAGATGGAACCTGTGCCACCCCTGGTGTTGGCCTAGCCTAGGATGGATGAGGCAGTGGGGTCCCTGTCCTCCTGGAGCTTCGTTCTAATGCGAAGCCAGACAAGATGCGTGTCATCAGTTTCAGATGGTGGCTCATGCCAGGGTGTGTTGGGTGTCTCTGGGGATGGGGGTATGATATGGCGTGGGGTGGTCAAAAGCCTCTTGGAGGAAGTCCCCAGGAAGGGGACTTGGAGGAGGTGACCTTTGCAGTGAGCCCCACTGGAAGTAGCAAGAGCTTCCTGAGATGCACATGAGAGGCGATGCCTGTGTTTGGACTGGTGCTTTAGGAAGGGTCGTTACAGTGATGGGGGAGAAGCCCAATCTCAATCCACAGAGGGCCCATGGAGAGGAGATGGAGCTTGGGGTAAGGTCGTGGCCAATCCCAGGGCAGCAGGAACCACTGTGGGCCAGAGGCGGGGATCCCTGCTCCAGGAGCGTTCCAGCCCTGTCCGTGCGTCCTGCTGAAATGCAGATGCTGGTGTTGCACTCTGGCGAGTACAGAATCACCACAGACAAAAGTAAGCCCATTCAGAAGGTGATTTATTGCCAGCGACCACAGAGGACTCGTGTCCCTCCAACCCATGGCCCCGAAAGGAGGGTGTCAAGACCTTTTATGCCTGTAAACTACCTCCTGGGCCAGGGTGGGGGCGAGGGGCTTAGGACATTCTGAGGGCTAGTGGACTTTGGACATTCTGTAACCCCCTCCTGGGCGGGGTGAGGGGCTTCGGACATTCCGATTGTTACCTAAGTGGTTCACAGAAGTCAAGATAAGCGTTGGTTTACACATTGCCTGGGTAGGGTAGAAATTAGACCTTAGTTACTTATTACAAGTCACAAGGGCCAAGATGGAGTGGGTTTGGACTGCTTGCCTGTCACATCGGGGTTACAGAGAGCAGCTTCAACAGAAAGCCACCGTATGGTTGAGGTGTGCAGTTTTATGGGGCGTTCACCATGTCACGCTGGCCCTGCATGACTGGGATGAGCTGAGACTGAGTGACTGGCTTTAGGCAGATGGCCGTTTTGCATCGGATGACCTCTGGAGGTCAGTGGACTCAAGGAGGGAACCCAGACATGAATAAATGGAAACTTGTGGCAGAGCAGAGGAGCCAGGCAGGCTCTTGACAAGCTCCCGCCACCCCAAGTTGTTCCTTTAATCTCCAGGGCTACCAGGCTGGCTGTCACTGTGAATGACAGAAGATCTGGGGGAGCCTGCTTCCCCTCGCTTGGCTGGTGAGGCTTCTTCGTGGGGAGCATTTACACCTGAAGTCAGTGGGCAGAGGTTGGAGGCCTGACTCACCAGGGTTGGAGGGTTAGCCACACCTGATGAAAACTGTCTAGGGCCATACCACTCTGGACACACCCGATCTCATCTGATCACAGAAGCTAAGCACGGTTCGGGCTGGTTAGTACTTGGATGGGAGACATTTGATGAAAACAGGAAAATACCCTCTTGGGACCTGTGGAGGGGCTGGGCCTGGCACAGCAGCCAGGGCTCCTTGCTGTTCTGCTGCCTGGAGGCTCAGTCCCTGTTGTAGTGACCTGTCCAGAGATGGCTCACAGGTGAGGCTTCCTCGCTCTCACACCCTCCCCTGTTTCCTGCTGCTTTTTTTTTTTTTTTGAGGGTCATACTCTCGCCTAGGATGGAGTGCAGTGGTACTACGATCTTGGCTCACTGCAACCTCTGCTTCCTGGGTTTAAGTGATTCTCCTGCCTCAGCCTCCCAAGTAGCTGGGATTACAGGCATGCGCCACACACCTGGCGACTTCTGTCTTTTTTAATAGAGACAGGGTTTCACCATGTTGGTCAGGCTGGTCTTGAACTCCTGATCTCAGGTGATCCACCCACCTCGGCCTCCCAAAGTGCTGGGATTACAGCTGTGAGCCACCGTGCTCAGTCTCCCTGCCTTTCAACCACAGATGTTTTCTGAGTGTCTGCATGTGTCAGGCCCTTCTCTGGGCAAAATAGAAAACGGACACTGTCCAGGCTTGACCGAGCTTAGAGCCTGGGTGAGCAGGGCGTTGGGGAAATCCCTCAATATTTTACAGTTGCCAGTATCTGTTTCCTGGGACTGCTACAACAGATGACCACGAAAGGGAGGGCTTCAAACACTGCAAATGTATTTTCTGCTAGTTCTGGAGGGCAGGAGTCTGACATGAAGGCGTCAGCAGGGCGCCATTCCCTCCAAAAGCTCTTCCAGCTCCCGGAGGCTCCAGGGGCTCCTCAGCTTGATGGCCATGTGACCCAACCTCTGCCTCCTCTCCCGTCTCTACAAGGACACTCCTCATTGGGTTGAGTGCCCACGTGGATGATCCAAGATGACCTCACCTGAAGATCCTTAATGACACGGGCAAAACCCTTTTCACTTAATTACCTTTTCCTTGTAGACATCTGCAAAAACTTTCCAACAAGCCACTTTCACAGGCTCTAGGGATTAGATGTGGAACGAACTAATTGTGATGTGTTCAGACAGTGGACTGTTAGTGAAAGGCGTCAGCCTGTGTGTGTGCGCCACGCAGATCCATTTCGCATGCGCGGTGGAGCAGGGGAGCTGGGAATGTTACAAAGGTGGAAAACACTAGACCAGTGGTTGGTTCTGGGGATGGATGGAGACAGAAATGGGACCCGTGGAACCATCCAAGGTGAGGGTAGGGTTTGGCTGGCACATGTGCGTTGTTGAACATCTTCCAACAATACCCTGAAGATTTTGTGCATTTTACATGTAAATTTTTACCCCACAAGAGAAAAGGCCTGTGAACAAAAACATCAAGCTCTCATGGACAGGAGGCATGCCAGACTATTCCAGAGGACGCACATGGGTATCTGTGACTTGCTTCAAAGTGCAGTGCCTTAACGTGTACCAATGGCCACACAGAGGCATGGGGAGAAGGGTGGAGGAGCCGTGAAGGAAGTACAGCGATGTGTCTTGGGGGAGTCGGGGGGCTGCCCACAGTGGGCATTCACTGTAAATTTCTTTCGCCTTTCCTGTTCGTCTGCAGTTTTAATTTGAGATGGGGTCTCACTCTGTTGCCTAGGTTGGAGTGCGGTGGCGTGATCTCAGCTCACTGCAGCCGCCACCTCCCGGGTTCAAGTGATTCTCCTGCCTCAGCCTCCCAAATAGCTGGGATAATAGGCATGTGCCACCACGCCTGACTAATTTTTGTGTTTTTAGTAGAGGGGGGTTTCACCATGTTGGCCAGGCTGGTCTCATACTCCTGACTCCAGGTGATCCGCCCACCTTGGCCCCCCTCAAAGTGTTAAGATTACAGGCGTGAGCCACAGCACCTGGCCTGAAAATTATTAAGAGCAGCTGAAATAGAGGGAACACAATTTCTTTCTGTTTTGTTGTTGTTTTGTGTTTTGTTTTTTGAAGCAGGGTCTGGCTCCATCCACCAGGCTGGAATGTAGTGGCGTGATCTTGACTCACGGCAACCTTCACCTGCTGGGTTTAAGCAATTCTCTTGCCTCAGCCTCACAAGTGGCTGGGATTACAGGAGCCTGCCACCACGCCTGGCTAATTTTTTTATTTTTAGCAAAGATGGGGTTTCGCTGTGTTGGTCAGGCTGGTACCAAACTCTCAACCTCAGGTGATCCACTGGCCTCAGCCTCCTAAAGTGCTGGGATTACGGACATGAGCCACTGCACCCAGCCAGAACACCATTTCTTAAGCACTCGTGCTGAGCCAAGTGTGGCACAGGCCTTGTTCAGTCCTGACGTGTCACAGCACCCCTGCAAGGGGGGCAGTGCCGCCCCCATTTCACAGATGGAAAGCAGGGGTTGCCAGCCTGCCCCATGCCACGCAGCAGGTGAGTGGTGGTTACACCCTAAGCCCAGCTGTGCCTGGTCCATGTCGGACTCCTAGCCCCATGCTTACTGCCGCTCTACACACAACCCAGGCAATTTCAAGAGAGTAAACTCTGGGTCTTTTATGTCTCATTTGTCCTACTGAGGCAGGGTGGTCTCAGATTCCCAGTTTCACAGCCTAGAGCCAGTTGAGGTCACCAGAAGTGGCCCGCTCTGCAGCTCTGTTGCAGGTTGGGTGGAGGGGAGGACAGTGACCTCACTGGTAGAGTCCCCCTCTCCCATGTTGTCAGCAGCTCTGGCCTCTGTGGGAAGAAGTCATGTGGAGGGTGTGCCTGAGGGAGGGGTGGCTGGCTGGGGTGGGTGGGCTGCAGGCACACCCCAGCTCCCGGTTCTGCTCCACAGGTGTCCTTGGTCTTCCTGGTCAGTGGGCTGGTCATCCTGGGCTATGCTGCTGCTGTCAGTGGCCAGGCCACCTACCAGGGTGTGGTTAGGGGACTGTGTGGCCCCGCCATTGGGAAGCTGTGTGAGGCCTGCTTCCTCGTCAACCTGCTCATGATCTCTGTGGCCTTCCTCAGGGTGATCGGGGACCAGCTGGAGAAGCGTAAGTACCTTTGTGGGACTTGAGGTGGCCCAGGGTGCTGCACCCCTAATGACCTCTTGGGGCCTCTGGTTGGTGAGCAGGACAAGGGGCCTTAGCCTGGGCTCTGAGGGACAGCAGAGGCTGACACCACACTCTTGTTCCTAACACGGTGGGAAAGGGAGGCTCAGAACAGGTAGTCACCAGTGGGATGAGAATCATGCATGCACAAGCACACGAGAGGTTGTGGCCATAATTGCGACATCCAGCGGGGACAGCTCATTTCACAGATGAGGAAATGGATCAACAACAAGAAGCCCTTCTCAGAGAGAACCAGTAACACCTTTAACTTTGGGGTGGCTGTGGCTCTCAGCCTTCACGCAACCTTGGCCTCTAGTTCCTAAGATTTTCCCTCTAAGCACCGCTTTAGCTGCATCTTAACAATTCCGTTTTCTGTTTTCATTTGACTCATTTCTCACGAGTGGAAAACCTAAAATACTTGCTAATTTTCACTGTGGTTTCTTTGACTCATGAGATGTTTAGAATTGTGGTGTTTAATTGCCAATTATTTGGGAGTTTTGAAGATACCTTCGTGGTTTCTACCTTAATTTGCATCGTGGTCAGGGACTACACTGTCATTTCAGTCTTTGGAGATCCAGTGAGACTCGCTCTCTAGCGCAGCACATGGTTCGTCTTGAACTTTTTTTGTGCTTTTCGAAGAATGTGTCCTCTGCAGTTGCTGGGTCCGGTAGGTCAAGGTGGTCAACAGTTATGCTAAAGTCTCCCATAGCAAACACAGGAATTTGCAGGTCTAGTTATTCTGTCGATTCCTGAGAGGAGGATGTTAAAATCGCCAGCTGCGATTGCAGATTAGCCTAGTTAGTTCTGTTAGTCTGCATGCTTCACGGTCTTGGAAACGCTGAGCAGGTATATCCTTTTATTGTTACGAAGTATTTATCTCTGGCATTAAATATTCTTCTCTACTGTTAATATAGCCACGCTAACCTCCGTAAGACTAGTGTTTATATTGAAGCTCTCTCCTCATTTATTTTGTTTTGTTTTTTAATTATTTTTTTGATAGAGTTTTGCTCTTGTCACCCAGGCTGGAGTGCAATGGTGCTATCTAAACTTACTGCAACTTCTGCCTCCTGGGTTCAAGTGATTTTCATGCCTCAGTCTCTCGAGTAGCTGGGATTACAGGCATGTACCACCGTGCCCAGGTAACGTTTGTATTAGTGGAGACGGGGTTTCTCCATGTTGGTCAGGCTGGTCTGGAACTCCCGACCTCAGGTGATCCATCTGAGTCAGCCTCCCAAAGTGTTGGGATTACAGGCATGAGCCACTGCCCCCGGCCCATTCTTTAACTTAGAATCTAACTGTGGTTTGGGATTTTTTTTGTGTGTGTGTTTATGTCCTTTTTTGCAACGCCAGCCTGAGGACGGCTTGGGATTTTAAAATGCATTTCTCATAGACAGCATATGGTCAGGTCTTGGTTTTTTATCCAACTTGACAGTTGTAGACTTCAGATTGGAATAGTTAGACTTCTAATTGGAATGTGATTGTGGAGAGGGTGAAATGCAGTCTGCTGTTTTGCCATTTGTTTGTTCTGTGTGTGTCCTGACCCATGAAGCAAAAGGCCCCTGACTGTGGGGTATTGAAATAGAAGGCTGCTGTGTCTTGGTAAAGACTGTCTTACACCAAAAAGAACTGAGATGGGCATATCTGAACCTCTTAATGGGAAAATGGGCACAGAAACGTCCTGCCCCCTAATGGCAATTAAAGTTGGTCTGAAGTGTCAACACTGGGGAACGGTAGTGTTGTTGTGTTCAGGATCTGAGCCTGACTACTCAGGGGATGGACTAGGATATGGGCCACCCCATGTCTGGGTGGATTGACTGTGCTGTAGAGAGTGTTCGTTGTGTATTTCTGGTTAGATATTTGGGGATGTGTCTCTGTAGGGAAGGCCAAGCTTCTGAGAAGGAGTGCTAGACAGGGGCTGGAGTGCTTGGGGGAGCCATGGCATGAGGTCCACATGACCTTGTCTTTGGTGCTGAAGATCTCGAGCCCCCAGGAACGCTGGGTTTAGGAAGTAGCTGGTGTAGTCCTGCTGAGGACCCGAGGACTCTGGCTATGGGAAGTCCAGATGCAGACACAGGGACTGCCTCATCCCATGCCGCCTGGAGGTCCAAAACCCACCCACGATCCCAGTGCCCTCCTTGAGGGTGGACGTTCCCTTGGCATCTCTGGCCCTCCCACGTGGGTGCTTCTGTGAACTACCTGCTTGTGGAACTTTCCCCTGCCTCATTTCGTAGACAGGAGCTATTCTCACAGGCATTCATTGCTTTGCATGGGTGCCCTTGTTGAGTGAGAACAAAGAGGAGTTAATGACACCTCAGTGCCAATGCCCCCTTCCCCCTCCTCTCACCCACCCAGGTGGTTCCCAGTGGCTCCCACTTCGAGCCACCCTCCCACTCTCCTACGCTTCCCCACCTTTATGTATCTGGCCTCTTAGATTGGTTCCAAATCATTCATCCTACTGTGGCAGAATGAAAATGTCCCAAGATTCTTTGGCGTTTTTTCCATGGAGTGGTCAGTGGGGCCTGTGTCCCTTGCCTTGGAATTAGGTGGGCCTGGGATGGTTTGCCCAGCAGTGTGTGCTAAGTGGGATGCTGTGCCAGTTAAAGGGCCTGGCTTTTAAGAGGCTGGGGAGCTTCTGCCTCAGGCTCTGTAATCCCCCAGCTTCGTGGAAGAAGTTTGAGGTGGCTGTTAGACATGCCCATGTAGAGAGACTCCCAAACTGTAGGGAGCCCAGGTGTACCTACCAGGTACCAGGTGTGGGGGTGCCATCATGGGCCATCCAGACCAGCTGCACTGCCAGCCAGGTACCCCCAAGTGACCCCTGCCAGTGCTGCATGGAGTAGGATTGGCCAGCTTGGCCCTGTGCTAATTCTCTACCTACAATCAATGATGTGATACAGTGGTTCTAAGCCACTGTGTCTGGGGTCATGGTTTTCTGCGACCACAGAGACCTGCAATGCTGATGCACAGCAGCCTGGCACTGCCTGCTTAGCAGCCAAAAGTCTACTTCAGACCTGCATTTGACCCCAGGCACCATTGGGTTCCTGAGTGAAACCATAGGTTTGACCAGAAAGTAAGGGGGGTGAGGACAGATGGCTTGCCTGGTCAATCCCGCATCTCAGACCTTAAGATGGTGGTGGGCCTGGCACAGTGGCTCACTTGTGTAATCCTAGCACTTTGGGAGGCCGAGGTGGGCGGATCATGAGGTCAGGAATTTGAGACCAGCCTGATCAACATGGTGAAATTTTGTCTCTACTAAAAATACAAAAATTAGCCAGGTGTGGCGGTGCGTGCCTCTCATCCCAGCTACTCAGAAGGCTGAGGCAGGAGAATCACTTGAACCTGGGAGGCAGAGGTTGCAGTGAGCCCAGATCACACCACTATACTTGAGAGCTTGGGCAACAGGGTGAGACTCTGTCTCAAAAAAAAAAAAAAAAAAAAAAAAAAGGGTGGGGGGGCTGGGGGGCTGGGCTTGTGGAAGGAGCTCAGCAAACATTTGTTGAATGAATTCATGTGTCAGGGTTAGTTCCTGTGTGGGGCACGGGACCTGTCTCCCTCTGGCTTATGATCCCATCCCCAGGCTCCTGGGGCTGGCTGAGGGCTGAGTCCAACCCCACCCAGGGTTCAAGGGCCATGCAGGAGCCAGGAACCCGTGGCATTTTGTGCTTTGTGGCTCAGCTCTCCCTGTGTCTCTGACAGTGTGTGACTCCCTCCTGTCTGGCACACCTCCCACTCCACGGCCCTGGTACGCAGACCAGCGCTTTACCCTGCCCCTGCTCTCCACGCTGGTCATCCTGCCCCTGTCCACCCCACGGGAGATCGCCTTCCAGAAATACACAAGGTAAGGGCTGGGGATGCCTCCTGGTGGGGGCCCCCACTTCACTGAGCATTCGTGTCAGGGTTTCTGTCCACCTGGGGTTAGAGGAACTGGGGGATTGGCCTTCCCATTTAGAGAAGGGAAAAACAATACAAGATTATACAAGTAAAATGTATTCATGCTGGAGAATGCAAGCCAGAAAAAGCAGATGACCTGTAACAACATCAGTGCTACGCACGGTTTATTTCGTTCTTAGACTTTTTGCACATCCGCGCAGAGAGACAGAGGCACCTCCCCCCAATACACACACACGCGCACACGGGTGCACACACACACAGAGGTGGTCTTTCATTTTGTGGCTAAGGCTCTGTATACATTTGAAGAAATCAAGCTTGCAACAATATCCATCCCACTCTGCCGCCTGCCTTTCCCCTGTTGCGGATAGAACAATGGACATTGTGTAGAGACAGCAGGCAGCAAACCTGAGCCTCCCCCAGGCCTCCGCCCTGCAAGGCGCTCGTGCCACTTGGACCAAGCCAGGGGGGCTTGTCCCCTCTCCAATGTGACTGAGGCTGCTGGGGTCTTGACTTAGGCATCAGGCTGAGTGGCTGACTAGCTTTTGCTGGTGGGAAGGAAATTATATTACAGCTGCTGTCGGGTGCCATTAAGAATTCTGTACATCTGGGCTGGGCACAGGGGCTCACGCCTGTAATCCCAGCACATTGGGAGGGTAAGGTGGGCGGATCACAAGGTCAGGAGTTCAAGACCAGCCTGACCAACCTGGTGAAACCTCATATCTACTGAAAATACAAAAATTAGCTGGGTGTGGTGACGCACACCTGTAGTCCCAGCTACTATGGAGGCTGACACAGGAGAATTGCTTGAACCTGGGAGGCAGAGGTTGCAGTGAGCTGAGTGTGCCACTGCACTCCAGCCTAGGTGACAGAGTGAGACTCCATCTCAAAAAAAAAGAATTCTGTACATCTGCTCTCTGGCCCTCGGAGGAGCCCTGTCCCACGAGTCCCACTGTATAAATGAGGATGGTCAGGCGGAGGTGGAGAGCTTGGCCGGCACCTCACTGTCAAGGGCAGAGCTGAGATTTGGATCCCGCTGTCCCTCCCGTCCATCAACGGCACAGGTCGCCCACTGCGCAGCCCCTCACACAGTCACTGTGTGTTAGCATCCTAGGTACGCTGGCCGCCTGTTACCTGGCCCTCGTCATCACAGTGCAGTACTACCTCTGGCCCCAGGGCCTCATGCGTGAGCCCGGTCCTTCACTGAGGTGAGTCTGGGGGAACAGCTTCCAGCGGCCGCCGGCGGGAGGCACGGCTGGGGATCTGCGAGGGGAGTCTTGGAGGAGAAGCCCCTCATGCTCCCTGCAGAGCCCAGGCTCCTTCCATGCAGGTCTTCCCATCTCTGATGCGGTGAAGCCAAAGAAGGGTTCCTTTCCTTCTGCAGCAGAGACCTGGCTGTGGCTGGTGATGACCCAGCCAGGACAAGGGATGCAAAACCACCCAAGGCCGCAGCGGCCTAGGGGTCATAGGCTGTTGCAGACCTGTCCCCACAGCATGGAGGTGCAGAACCTGGCAGCCAGCCAGCTGCATGTGCCAGGGCAAGGGAACAGTGAGGGGCTGGTGGGGCCAGGCTGGCCCAAACAAGGGCGGTGTGTGGGCAGGGGTGTCACGTGGGGATTCAAGGCCATGGTAAGGACTTTGGTTTTCCTCTGGATGAACTGGGAGGCTTGGCGGCGTTTTGAGTACAGCAGGGATACGACAGGCCCTGTTTTTTAAAGAGGGTCACTCTGGTCAGGGTGTGGTGGCTTATGCCTGTAACCCCAGCACTTTAGGAAGCCAAGGCAGGTGGGTCCCTTGAGGTCAGGAGTTCAAAACCAGCCTGGCCAACATGACGAAACCCTGTCTCTACTCAAATACGCAATTTAGCTGTGCATGGGGGTGTGCACCTGTAGTCCCAGCTAGGGGAAGCTGAGGCAGGAGAATTGCTTGAACCTGGGAAGTGGAGGTTGCAGTGAGCTGAGATTGCACCACTGCACTCCAGCCTGGGCAACAGACCAAGACTCTGTCTCATAAAAAAAAAAAAAAAGCAATTAAACCAAAAGGCTCACCCTGGCTGTTCTTTGGTCTTTGGGAGCTAAAGGCAGCCACAGAGGCCAAGTGGGAGGCCCCTGCCTAGGTCCCAGGTCCCAGCCCTGGTGGCTTCAGAGGAGGCAATGCGGAGTAGTCAGACTTCGGATGTGCCTGAGATCAGATTTCCCAGTGGTAGGGTTGGTTCATGGGCGTGGGACCCATGCAGTCACCCAGGCCCCATGCTCAGTTTTACCCTGCTGTTGCCATCTTAAAATCCTGAATCGTCATCCCCCGAGGGTCCTCGCATGTTCCTTTTGCACCCAGCCCTGTGAATTATGTGGCCAGTGCTGCTGGCGGGTTGGAAGGTGAGGAAGAGAGAAAGAAAGTCAGGGTGACTTGGAGCGCTCAGCTTGAGCAGTGGGAGGGGTGATACCTGTTCCCAGACTAGAGAGGACAGAGGGGTGGGCGACTGGGAGCAGCTTAGGCTGGAACAGTCAAGGGGGAGCCAACCTGGAGACATCTAAGAGGGAAGTCAAGCAGCTGGTGTGTGTGTGTGTGTGTGTGTGTGTGTGTGTGTGTAGAAAGGTCCGGGCTGCAGGAGAAACGGGGCTGACAGTGGCCTGGAGCCCGAGTGCAAGGTTGTTCGCCGAGCCTGTGGTGCTCCAGCACTGGCAGGTGGCGGGGGTAAGGAGGACCTGCTAAAAACAGACAGTGAGTTAGGAGATGTGAGTGTCTGAGGGCTGCTGTGACAGGTGACTGTACACGTGGTGGCCTGAAAGTGTCTGTCATTTCTGCTGCCTGGAAGTCCAGAGTCAAAGTGTGTCAGGGCGTGCTCCCTCTGATGGCTTCAGGGGAGGACCTCTGCTGCCTCTTCCCGCTTTTGGGAGATGCGGGGATCCGTGTTCTTGGCTGGTAGACACATCTCTGAGTCTCGGCCTGATCCTCACGCCACGTTGTCTCCATGTGTGCTTTCCCTGCTAATAAGGGTAGTGTGCATTGGATTCAGGCCCACCCTAGTCCAGTATGACCTCATCTTATTTTCACTAATTACACCTGCAAAGCTCATCAAAGGAAGCTGGGGACCAGGTGGGGACCCCGAGAGGCTGGGCCTGGAGATTGTCCTTGTGCACACCTCTATCCTCTTAGGTGGCTCGGACGGAGCTCAAACCATCCTTGTGCTATTTGGGATCTTTGGAAAGATGCTGTGGGTGCCCCCCATTACCAAACCTCACTGGGGGCCTGGAATCTTTGAGGGAAGTGGGGAGTTTCTTCTTGCACTTTCCCTGCCTAAACGGACCGTGTCATGTTACCACATGTCAGCAAAGACGTGTTTAGAAAGTGCAGCCTTTAGCCAGCATCCTTTTCCATTTGCAAAAGCCTGGTCACAGACAAAGTCATGGAAAATGCATCTTGCAGCCATGCTCTGTTACTGTGTCCCGGCATCCTCTAACACGCACACCTGTGTGACCCTTCTCTGATGAACTCCTGCTCTTGTCTGTTTATAGCCCTGCCTCCTGGACCTCTGTGTTCAGCGTCTTCCCCACCATCTGCTTCGGGTTTCAGGTAATTTGAGCATCTGTGTTGAAGACTGTGGCATTTGCAGAGGCTGTGGGTGACTCTCTGCTCCCTTGGGAAATCTTGGTTTCCTTGTCAGGGAGGAATTTGAGGACTTCTCCTAGGATACAGTGGGCTCTCTGCCATCCACCTGTGGCCCCCAGGCTGTCTTCTGAGACCATGAGAGCGGGTTGGTGTCTGGGCTCAGTGAGGTGGGAATTGCCTTGAACTTGGGAATGCAGCCCCCACCGGGGCCAAGAGCAGGACTGTGTTTATTGGGTCTGAGGTAGTTGTGGGGACCTGGGACCTGTCTCTTCCTCTGCAGAATCCCCACAGAACTGTGATCAGGCCTGAGGCCTGGAGCCTAGAGCTTCCTGGTTAACTCCGGCAGGTCACTTGTACGCAGGTGGACTCCGCCCAGGGCCTTGGGCAGGAAAGTGCACGTCTCCTCATGGGTACAGGTTAGAGGAGCTGGAAGGTACACAGGTGGTTGATTAGAGAGGGGAAGGGGGCATAAATACTGAATTTTTAATAGCATGTCATGGGAGGGAGGACGGGGCTCTATATGTAGAATCCTGGCAGAGGGGCAGAGTCGTAGGTGTCCGTTCAAGGCGGTGGGGTTTGAAAGGGATCTTGAAGGTTGTATAGGACGAAGTCAGGCGACTGGAAGGGCACCCCAGATGGAGAGGACAGCACAGCGGGCCGCCGATGTGAGCAGGCCCCAGGCACAGCCAGAAAGAGGCCTGCAGAGGGCTCTGTGGCACAGCACTTTGGGGAACGTAGCGGGGTGGGGGGATACGAGGGGGAGATGGGGGAGAGAGATGGCAGGGGGAGGAGATTGGGGAGACGGCAGGGCCTGGGTGCTGTCCCATGCTTCTGGGATGTCATGGATTCCCCCAGCTCTCCTGGCAGGTGGAGCAGACACTGTTGTTCCATTGCTTTTTCTTTTATTTGATCTAAGACGGAGTCTCACGCTTGTTGCCCACGCTGGAGTGCAGTGGATCTCAGCTCACTAATTCTCCTGCCTCAGTCTCCCGAGTAGCCGGGACTACAGGCACGCACCACCAAGCCTGGCTGATTTTTTTTTTTTTTTAAGTGCAGAGCGGGTTTCATATGTTGGCCAGGCTGGTCTCCAACTCCTGACCTCAAGTGAGCCATCTGCTTCGGTCTCCCAGAGTGCTAGGATTATAGGCGTGGGCCACCGCGCCTGGCCACGTTCTTATTTTAGGGAAGATTTGCCTCTGTCTCTTAAAAACAACCACCTATCCACTGTCTACCAGCAGCACCAACAAAACCATTCCAAAGTAAAATCAGGTGCACGGGGAGCTGGTCGGGGCTACTGCGGGTCTCAGCTTTGTGGCCGTCAAGTTCTTCTCCTCCCTTGTCCATTGGTGAGATCCTGCTTCTGTTCTTCATCTTGCCTTTTCCTTGAGAACCCTTTTTAGGAAGAGAAGAAATCCTGCGACATTTCCATTTCTCTTCCTCGTAATGAGTCGGCGTGCTGCCTAAGGGCCTCGGCAAGCCACTTCTGTGGATTTCTCACATTGCTTCTTGCATGCCCAATATTTTGAAAGATCTAAAGAGCTGATTTTGCTGTCAACTGTTTGTCTGGATTGAGTTTAACAACCGCTGTCTGTGCTCAAGCACCATATGGTGCAGACCTACGCCAGCGCTGCCTCCCCTATGAGATGCTTACAAAGGGTCCCCCTCACCTTTGCCTCCAGCCCTCACCCGATTCTCCTAGCAACGAGGCCTGGGCTGCGTTTCCAGGGACACAGGATGCTGAGATGAAGAGCTGGGAAGATGGGAATTCAAGGAGTGGGAGGAGGGGCTCAGGCTAGAGGTGGAGCTGCCAGAATCTGGAGCTGGGGGTGAATCAATGTAGCTGAAGGTGGAGGGAAAGAGGGTGAGGCTGGAGAGGGTTGCAGGGAAGGGATGGTCACCGGTTGTCATCAGGAACTCAGACTTGACTCAAACACAGCGTCCCCACCCAAACATGCGGCAGTGGGGTGCCTCTGCCCCAGGCCTGTTCAGTCAGGGATCGGGGGCCTCAGAGGAGCAGAGGGGTGCAGCTCTATCAGAACTTGGGGTTTTTGTTTTTAAGAAACATCTTTATTGAGGCAGAATTCACATACCTTGCAATGCGCCCTCCTGAAGTGTCCAGTGCAGTGGTTTTTTTAGTACATTGAACTGTGCGACCATCTCCATTGCCCCCAGAAGAAACCCACTGCCGTCAGCAAGCACTCTCCATTCCCTGCCCCTGCCAACAGCTCTTCTGCTTCCTTCTCTCTGGATTTGCCCCTGATGGCCATCTCCTAGGAATGGAACCCCACTGTGGCCTTTTTTCACAAGCTTTCCTCCCTTGCCATGTTAGGTTCATCCCTGTTGTGACAGGTGAAGACTTCACATTCTGAACAAGGTAGACATGCTCCTCCTCCTTGTCGTGTGATTGATAGGCACCGAGCAGACAAACCCAAAAGCCCAGCCACGTTGGGGCCGTGGGCCATCTGAGACAGGAAACCAGCTCCTGCCGAAGGACCAGCCCAGGCAAAGGCCCTGAAGCAGGGAGGGGAGCCCCAGGCGTGTTTGGATAGTGGAGTGCCTCCCGACTCGGCCCTGGCTGCCCATCTCTGTTCCCTTGGCTGCTCATGAAACACCCGTGTCCACGACCCACCCAGAGAAATGAGTCCACATGACTCATGGGCTGTTGGCATTGGCTGTGTAGGTTTTGCGTTAAGAATTTTTGAGCTGGGCTTGGTGGCTCATGCCTTTAATCCCAGCACTTTGGAAGGACAAGGAGGGAGGATCACTTGAGGTCTGGAGTTTGAGACCAGCCTGGCCAACATGATGAAACCTTGTCTCTACTAAGAATATGAAATATTAGCTGGGCATGATGGCAGGTGCCTGTTACCTCAGCTACTTGGGAGGCTGAGGCAGGAGAATCACTTGAACCTGGGAGGTGGAGGTTGCATTGAGCTGAGATTGTACCACTGCACTCCAGCCTGGGCAACAAGAATGAAACTCTGTTTTAAAAAAAAATAAAATGCTGGGAGCATTTTATTTTAAAATCCTAGCACTTGGGGAGGCCAAGGCAGATGGATCACAAGAAGAGGAGATTGAAAATACAAAATTAGCTGGGTGTGGTGGCACATGGCTGTAATGCCAGCTACTCAGGAGGCTGAGGCAGGAGAATGGCTTGAACCAGGGAGTCAGAGGTTGAAGTGAGCCCAGATGGTACCATTGCACTCCAGCCTGGGTGACAGAGCGAGACTCCATCTCAAAGAAAAAAAAGGAAAAATAAATGAGCCAGGCGTGCCTGTAATGGTAGTTACTCAGGAGGCTGAGGCAAGAGTCGCTAGTCGCTTGAGCCCAGGAGGTGGAGGTGGCGGTGAGGCGAGATGGCGCCACTTCACTTCAGTCTTCGTGACAAAGTGAGACTCCACCTCCTGGGAGGTGCTCTGGGTGGGCATGTGGTTTGTTCCCATCTTCTGCATGTGGGTGCTGGGGTGCTTTTCTGCCTCAGTAGTTCCCGGTGAAGCCAGCATCCTGCTGGCCCGAGTCCCGCTGAGCCGCCCTGTGTCTCGCAGTGTCACGAAGCCGCGGTCTCCATCTACTGTAGCATGCGTAAGCGGAGCCTCTCGCACTGGGCCCTGGTCTCCCTGCTGTCCTTGCTGGGCTGCTGCCTCATCTATTCACTGACCGGTAAGGCCCTTCCCCGTCGCCCTGGCAGAGGGTGGAGAATGAGAAGAAACGGGAGGAACAGCGAGTATGTCTCTGGAGAGTTGACACGTGCTGGTCCCGATACTCCACTTTTTGAGCACGTTGACTCCTTTAATTCTTAGGAAAAGGTCTCATTTCATAGGTCTTTTGACCAGGTTCTGAGGCTAGGAGAGCCTCCATAACTTACTCAGGTTTCACAACTAGTTGTGTGAAGCTGAGATGGAAACTCCAGCTCAGCTGTCTCCAAAGCCCCTGCTCTTACCACACCCAGCCCTACTGCCTGCTCTTCAGAGGACGGCAGTCATGTTGGTCATTATCGTGTGACATGTTGGTAGTGGTTTATAAAATGTGTGTGGGTGCAGTAGACTTAGGTGCTCACAAACTGTGTGGGAGGCAAAGGGTCTTTAAATGTGTTGAAAGTGTGGCTCAGAGAGGGTCTGTGACACACCAGGTCGTATAGTGCATTGGAGGCACAGAACCCGGGTCCCAGGCACGGCTGGCTCTGGCTGGCCACTTGACTCCAGTCTTTTTTTCATTCACCATCGGAACCTCCAGTTCAGGAAGCCCTTGGGCTACAGTGAGTCTACCAGGCAGCCTTGAACTCTGGTGTGCTATGGTTTGAGTTTTTATCCTCTTTAAAACTCATGTTGCAATTTAATTCGTGATGTGGTAGTGCTGAGAGCTGGGGCTGTAAGAGGGGACTGGGTCATGAGGGCTCTGTCCTTTGAACGGATTAATCTATTCATGGATTAATGGATTAACAGGTTATCATGGGAGTGGGGTTGGTGGCTTTGTAAGAGGAGGAAGACAGACCCGAGCTCACACGCTCAGCCCCCGCAGCACATGACACCCTGCGTGCCACTTCAGGGCTCTCTGCAGGGTCTCTAACAGCAAGGCGGCTCTCACCACAGGCAGCCTCTTGATCCTGGACTTCTCAACCACCGTAACTGGAAAAAAATAAATTCCCTTTCTTTATAAATTACTCCGTTTTAGGCATTCTGTTGTAACCAACAAAAAATAGACTAAGACTGAAGATGGGAATTAAGAGCGGGGTGTTGATAATTACCTGGAATGTGGAAGTGGCTTTGGATCTGGGTCGTGGGGGTCAGGCTGGGAGAATTCGGAGGAGCAGGCTAGAAAAAGCCTAGATTCTGGTGAGGGCTTGGAGACAAGACTAGGGAACATTTGGAACTTCTGATACTGGTTAGCTAGTCATGGAAAGATGGGTCATGAAGGCTATTCTGAGGAGGTTTCAGAGGGCACTGAGGAACAAGGTTTTGGAAGCTGGAGTGAAGTCCAAAACTGTTAGAAACGGGCAAAGAAGCTGGCTGAGCTGTGTCCATGCCCAAGGGCTTTATGGAAGGCTGAACTTGAAAGGGATGAAGTGGCCGGTCATGGTGGCTCACACCTGTCATCCCAGCACTTTGGGAGGCCAAGGCAGGCAGATCACTTGAGGTTGGGAGTTCGAGAGTGGCTGGGCCAACATGGTAAAACCCCATCTCTACTAAAAATACAAAACATTAGCTTGGCTTGGTGGCAGGTGCCTGTAATCCCAGCTACTCAGGAGGCTGAGGCAGGAGAATCACTTGAACCTGGGTGGGAGGTAGAGGTTGCACTGAGCCAAGATCACACCATTGTACTCCAGCCTGGGCAACAAGAGTGAAACTCTTAAAAAAAAAAAAAAAAATGAACTAAAGTGTCTGGCGGAAGGAATGTCCAATAGCAGAGCATTCCGGCTGCTGCGTGGCTGCTCGTAACTGCTTGCCTTAGGATGGGAGAGGCAAAAATGACTCGCAGATGGAATTGATCATCAAAAGAGAAGCTAAGCAGCAAATCTGGAGTTCCTGCAGCCTGGCCGTGGAGTGCAGTGCGTGTTCTGGATAGGAAACCGAGGGTATGGCCCTGCGACATTCTGCTAAGGAGATTAGTACAGAGAGAAGGGATTATCTAGAGAATGGAAGAAAGACCCTGAAGGCGTTTCAGAGATCTCAGAGGCCGCCCCTCCTACCACAGGCTCAGAGGCCTCAAGGGCAGGATGGTTTGGGGGACAGACCTAGGGTGCCTCACAGGTGATCGCAGGGCCCCTCATGTCTCTGCTGCCTGCACCCTGGCACAGCATTCCTCATTGCACCACCCATGGCTCAGGTGGCCTTTGGTGTGGCTCGTGCCACAGCCCCAGGAGGTGTAAGTTGTAAATCTTGGCAGCATCCACGTGGTGCTAATTCTGCAGGCTGGCACACAGCAAGAGCTACAGAAGCTTGGCAGCCTCCACCCAGATTTCAGAGGATGCTGTTCAGGCCAGGTGTGGTGGCTCAGGCCTGTAATCCTAGCAGTTTCGGAGGCTGAGGTGAGAGGTCTGCTTGAGGCCAGGAGTTTGAGACCAGCCTGGACAATGTAGTGAGACCCTGTCTTTACAAAAAAAATTTTTTTTAATTAGCAGAACATGGTGCAAGCCTGTAGTTCTAGCTACTCAGGAGGCTGGGGCAGGAGGATCACTTGAGCCCTGGAGGTCAAGGCTGCAGTGAGCTGTGATTGTGTCACTGCACTCCAGCCTGGGTGACAGAGCAAGACCCTGTCTCAAAAAAAGTTAAAGGATGTTGTTGAAAGCCTAGGGGTCCAGGCAGAGACTTGTCCCAGTGGTGGGGCCACTCTGGAGAGCCCCCACATGTGAAATTCCCAGTGGAGATGCAGGGTTGGAGCTGCTGCAGAGTCTCTGCCAGGGCAATGCCTAGTGGAGCCATGGGAGCGCAAGTGTCATTGGGACCACGGAATGTGAAGTCACCAGTAACATACAAGACCAGCCTGCCAAAAGCTTTAGGCATCAGGCGCCAAACCCTGTGAACAGACACAGGGGTCACACCCAGCAAAGCCATAGGAACGGGGCTGCCCCAGTGTGTCCAGGGGGTGGCACATGGTATCTGAAGAGGTGATTCTCCCACCTGAAGCCTGAGCGTCTGCCCTGCTGGGTTTCGGACTTGCCTGGAGCATTTACTCCTTTCGTTTCCCTTTGTGTGTCTCCTGGGATGAGAATGTTCCTTCTGCCTGCACTGCCACTGTGTCTTGGAAGCAGATGGCTTTTGATTTCACAGGTTCACAGACCAGACTCTGGCCTTTGGACCTTTGAGTTGGTGCTGGAGCAAATGAAGACTCGGGGGCCATGGGCTTGGAATAACTATGGGGTATTGATCTGTGAGAAGGATATGAGTTTTGGGGACCAGGGGCAGAAGGCTGTGGTTTGATTCTCTGTCCCCTCCACAACCCATGTTGAAATGTAATTGCCAGTGTGGTCGTATCGAGAGGTGGGACCTTTAGGAAGCTGTCAAGTCATGAGAACTCTGCTCTCATGAACAGATTAATCCATTTGTGGTGAAGGATGCGCCACCTGGTAACATGCCACATTGGTACATTGATTATTTTGGGTTGAAAATATTGGAGAAACTAATTGCAGAAAGGGTTACCTGACTTGTCTCTTTCTGCAGGCATCAAGCCATAAAGATTCCTCTGGGTGGCGGGTGGTGCCCTCCTCATACCAGGATGAGAAAATAGTCCTCAGCACTGGAAGCGAGATTTCAGGCTGCACTGGACCTGAATAAATTCACTTAATTAGCCCTTAGCTTCTGCTCCTTTTATACCAACCCCAACTATCTCCCAATGGCTCCCTTAGAAACTCAGTGCCCCTGACCAGATCCCCTTTGTCCTGTCCTTCCTTGTCAGATTTATCTTTTTGTCTAAAAAGTATTAACGCTTCTCACTTTGGTTGCATCTTCAGACATCACTCTCTTGTGAAGATGCCATGGACATGGAAAATTGAGAAGATCTGTAAGCTTTTCTCCCATTGCTTTGATTGTCTGGTGTCGATTTAGTTTCTAGGTTCAGCTAAAGAGCCCATATAAGAGGCAGGCATGGGGCAGGGGCTTAATGGATTAATGGGTTAGAGGACTAATGGGCTATCATGGGCATGGCACGGGTGACTTTATCCGAAGAGGCAGTCCCCCTCCTTTAAGGAGTCAGAGCTCACCCTCCTTGCTATGCAATGCTTTGTATTGTCTTGGGACTCTGAAGATAGTCCCCATTGGCAAGGCCCTCACCAGGTGTGGGCACTCAGTCTTGGACTTTTCAGCCTTCCAAAACTGTAGGAAATACATTTCTTTATGAACTGCCCAGTTTCAGGTATTCTGTTCTAAGCAGCAGAAAATGGACGAAGATATTGTGGTTACCCAGGCAGCTTGCTGGGTGACTTCTTCCCCAGCAGAGGAGGTCCCATCAGCCGGCAGCCCTTGGGTCAGAGGGTGTGACTCAGTGACTGAGTGTCACCTCCAGCTGTTCCCAGGGCCAGGGCCATAGGACCTCTCAGAAAGGGCTTGGAGAGAAGCTGAAAGGGAGATGGCTCTTAGTCAGAGGCAGATGTCTCAGGACAGGGCAGGTAACCTGCGGTGACAGAAGCAGCATCACCCTGTTGGGGCAGCGGGACTCGTTCTAGTCCTCAGCCCACCAAAGCTAGCTGTGTGAATCCAGGCAATCGCTGACGCTCTTGGTTTTCCCCATTTGGAAATGGGTGTACAGCAAGCTGCTTTCTTTAGCTGTCGTAGGAGTGAGATGGACATGGCATGGGAGGTGTGTTTGTATTTTTCAAAGTGCTCTGTGTTTCTAGTCAACATACGCTCTATGGGTAAGCTCCGTGCACCAGCTCTGTGAGCAATTGGAAAGAAGGATAAGTGGTGGATTTGTCTGCAGGAGTTTTCAATCCATGGAGCTAAGTCATGTGTAGGCTTAGGACAGGAAAGCTTTGGGCTATCCCTCTAGAACCTGCTGCACTGGACCTGAATAAATTCATTTAATTAAGTGAAGGAAAACCTTCACTAAGGAAAACCTTAGGGGATAAAGCCAGGAGATACTGGTCTGTTGGTGGGGGAGGGCTTGGCGTTCTTCTAATCCACTCTGGCTTCCATCCTTTCCCACCTTCAGGGGTTTATGGCTTCCTGACCTTTAGGACAGAAGTTTCTGCTGATGTCTTGATGTCCTACCCAGGCAACAACACAGTCATAATTGTGGCCCGGGTTCTTTTTGCTGTCTCCATCGTAACTGTCTACCCCATCGTGCTTTTCCTGGGCAGGTGAGGCCTGGCTCAGTGGGGGGCAGCAGTCAGCAGGGTCTGCTGACATGTGCTGTGATTAAGCATGTGCCAAGTGTGGGCTACACAGCTGTGGGACTGTCATCCTCTCCATTGTAGAGAGAAGGAAACGGACACAGGATTTAGGTAGATTCTGCCACGTCACCTCGTGAGTGTGCGTCCCAGCCAGGACTTGAACTCAAGTCCACGAGCTTCATCCTCTGCTTCATGGGCTGCCTGATGGTGGCAGAACTGCTGAGGGTTGGCAAGGTTCCCTGGGGAATAAGGGCTAGAGTGTGGAACAGGAGCTGTGTCAGGACACTCCTGGAGGACTGGGGGAGGCAGCTGGCAGGTGCAGGCTGGTGTCTCTGGGATGCCCATGTGTCTGTCTTGGGTGTGGCCTCTAGGTCGGTGATGCAGGACTTCTGGAAGAGGAGCTGCTGGGGGGCGCGGGGGCCCAGGGCCCTGACTGACCCCTCGGGGCTGTGGGTCCGGATGCCGCTGACCATCCTCTGGGTCACCGTGACACTCTCCATGGCGCTGTTTATACCCGACCTCAGCGAGATCGTTAGCATCATCGGAGGCGTCAGTTCCTTCTTTATCTTCATCTTCCCAGGTGAGAACCCTGGTTTCCAGGCTTCCTGCCTGCTCCTCCTTCCCTGCTCACCTCTGTGGGGACTCCCAGTGTTGGAGGTAATGGTTCAGGGAGGTGGGAGCCACATATGTGTAGGATTAAGGTTCCATGTAGGTGCTCTGCTTGTTGAGCCAGGCTCAGGGTTTACATACCTTCCCTTACTCATTAAACATCTGAGTAGCCCTTGATATGGTTTGGCTGTTTTCCCAAACAACTCTAGCCTTGAAGTGTAATAATCCCCATGTGTGAAGGGTAGGGCAAGGCAGAGATAGTTGAATCATGGGGGTGGTTCCCCCCACGCTGTTCTGGTAGTGAATAAGTCTCATGAGATCTGATGGTTGTATAAAGGATAGTTCCCCTCCACAAGCTCTCTTGCCTGCTGCCATGTAAGACATGAGACTGCTCTTCGAGTTCCACCATGATTGAGGCCTCCCCAGGCATGTGGAACTGTGAGTCCATTAAAACTCTTTCCTCTATAAATTACCTAGTCTCTGGCTGGGCGCGGTGGCTCATGCCTGTAATTCCAGGCCGAGGCCAGTGGATCACCTGGGGATGATAGTTCAAGACCAGCCTGATCAACATGGAGAAACATCAACTCTACTAAAAATAAAAAGTTAGCCGGGCATGATGACACGTCTGTAATTCCAGCTACTTGGGAAGCTTAGGCAGCAGAATCTCTTGAACTCAGGAGGCAGAGTTTGCAGTGAGCCAAGATTGTGCCATTGCACTCCAGCCTGGACAACAAAAATGAAACTCCATCTCAAAAAGAAAAGAAAAAATTACCTAGTCTCTGGTAGGTCTTGATTAGCAGCATGAGAACAGACTAATAGAGTACTTGATGGACATCCTTGACGGACGAACCTTTATCGTCCCATTCCACAGAGGGGAAGACCGAGGCCCTGAGCCCCTCCAGAGGCCAAGCTAGTGTGCAGCAGGGCTGAGGGTCAGCCGTACAGCTCTGTCCATGCTACCGCTCCTGCCTCTTGCTGAAGGATTTTGTTTTATTAAAAAGAAAATTGTATATGGGAAAGTCACTGGGCTGAAGACCCCCTCCAATGTCTCCCTCCTTCCCGGCCCCCGAGCCCTGGAGGCAAACACTGTTGCTGCAGAGGATGGTTTCTTATGAACCCTTTCCAGAGTTAGTGTGCGATGGGGAGCTGTTCCAGTTTACAACAGCCCAAGCGTTACCTGAGGAGGAGAAGCCAGCAGGACTGGGGCTAGGGGGATGCTTCCTCCAGAGGAAGGAGGAACACTGCAGTGGGGCCCAGAACAGAGACCCCAGATCCGCCAGGGTGGGTGCAGGACCCCACGCACAGCAAGTGCTGAGCACAGAGTCCAGCCTCCCTCAGTGCTTTTTCCATGAGTGGACCCTGTCATTCAGCCGTGAGAGGAACCATGTTAAGCAGACATTGAGCTTGGGTACCCTTAGCCGGGTATCCCCAAACATCTAATGCAGCCCTTGTGTTAAACAGAGAAGTAGGTGCCCATTGGTGAAACTTACAGAAAGCTCGGGAGAGGCTCTAACCGGTTTTCCAAATCTCTAATGGGGAAATGAAACATTGTTCAGGGTCCCAGGTAAGTGGGTGATGACAGCTTCTTCAGTAGCCAGGATGGAAGAACTGAGGGCCACAGAGAAACCTTGGTTATCGAAGAGGCCAACTGATGTGTGAAGTATGAAAAATGAGTTCTTAGCAGGTGAATTCAGGGGTTGTCTTTGATGTAGTGCCTTGAGACTCTAACCCTGCCTGCCCTAGCTCCTGTAAATTGGCATTTACTGGGATTAAGGGATAAAAACTGGAGAAGAGAAGGGAGGGTAGGAGAGCAGCCACCCACTCTACTTCAGGTTCTGGGTGGAGCTTTCAGAGATAAGGGGTGTGACCACAGCACCTGCCTCAGACTCTGGGTGGGGCTTTCAGGGCTGGGGGTGTGGCTACATGGCTCCTCCCTCAGGCTCTGGGTGAAGTTTCTCAGAGGTGAGGGTGTGGCCACGTGGTTTTCTCCCGAGTTCCCTGGTCTGGGATTCTCGATTAGGTTCTGATTCTGTAACCAGGTACCTGGTTGTAGCTCTGGCTATTTTCTGTTGGGAAGGACTGCCCAGGACAGGTTTGGGATGAGAGGATCCCACGGGAGCTTTAGGCTGAGCTACACGTCTTGAATCCCAGCAGACCCATTAAAAATAAAATCGGGGTAGCTGCCAGTTACTGAGCACTTAGGTGTCAGGCATGGCCCCTGACCGTCTTCTTGCAGACCCTGCCGTGGAGGGGGTGTTATCAAGGTTGCCTGAAAGACAAGGCTTTGGGAAGCCAGTTGTAGCCAGACCTCTGGCCAAGTCACTAGGGGCATGTTGAGCTGGGACTCCAGCCCCATCTTTCCTTCCAGTTCCACTGCGTTGCCTCACCAGGGGGCCTGAGCATGGGCGCCTGTGGGCAGACGCCTTGCTGGCCTTCTGTGTCCCTGAGGGCTGCTCCCAGGACTTCTTGGTTGCTTTGGGCTTGATGATGAAGAGCTGGGGGTGACCGTGTGTTCTTTGCAGGTTTGTGCCTCATCTGCGCAATGGGCGTCGAGCCTGTGGGACCGAGAGTCAAGTAAGTGTCCCTAAGATAAGGTGGCAATCTGAGTGTGCCCTGGATCAGATTAAGAATGCTTGAGGGACCCTGGAGATCCTATTTTCCACCCTCCTCGTCCTGCAGTTGAGAAATCTGCACCACAGGGAGAGAGTCTCTGTCCACACATTATGAGGGCATCTGAGCCAGGAGGGGAACCCAGGCCAGTGACCCCGGGTCCTGCAAGGCTCTTCGCTTCTGCTCCGGGGGCTGTGCTTGGGATTTCATGTAGATTCCAGCCTCTGGAAGCACCCAGTGGTACATCTGCACCCTCCTTTGCTACCTGGCTTGAACCCAGGGCAGAGTCAGGGTGCAGGGTGAGTTAGAGAGGCACCATGGCTGGTCAGATACCAAACAATGTGTTCTATCATCACAGCAGCAGGTCGCTGTTGGAGGCTTCTTTGTTAGGCACTGTGTTAGGTCCATTTACATGTTTGCCTTTCCCCCATACCTGGATGTCTCCATCCTGCAGATGAGGAGGCAGGCCAGGAGGACAGCGCTATGATATAACCCAGGCCCCTGGCTCCCAGGCGCTGTGCTACCCACTTGTGTTGCATACCATGCTCTTGAGATGAGAGAATTTGGATCTTTATTTGACAAGTTATCCCTGTGGACCAGACACGACTGAGGAGCCTCTGTACTTTGCCACTGAGCTGCTGAGTCTGACTCACTGAAAAAGACAATGTGTGCGTGACTGATACACCCTTTCTCTGACGGCCCTGGGGAGCCTGAGGGTCTCTGTGACTCCCTCCCATTCCACAGATGTGGAAACTGAGGCTGAGGCAGGTAAAGAGATGCTGTATTAGTTTTCTCGGGTCATTGTAACAGATTACCACAAACTGGGGCATGGGAGTGGGGAGGCTTAAAGCAACAGGAGTGAATTTTCTCCCAGCTCTGGAGCCAGGAGTGTGATGTGAGGGTGTGGGCAGGGCTGGACTGTCTGAAGGATCCTCAGCTTCTGGTGGCCGCAGGTGCTCCTCAGCCTGTGGCTACACCACTCCAGCCTCTGATTCTCTATCTCGTCTTCTCCCTGTGTCTCTGCATCTCAAATATCCCTCTGCTTTTATTTATTTTATTTTTTGAGAGATGGTCTTTCTCTGTGGCTCAGGTTGGAGTAATGTGGTATAATCAAATCATGGCTTACTACAACCTCCACCTGCTGAGCTCAAGAGATCCTTGTGCCTCAGCCTCCCGAGTGGCTGGGACCACAGACACCTACCACCACACCTGGCTGCCTTCTTTTATAAGGATACCTACCATCGGATTGAGTGCCTTCCCTAAATCTAGACTGCCTCTTCTCTCAAGATCTTTCACTTAATGACATCTGTAAGACTCAGCTTCCAGACGAGCTCACAAACACAGGTTCTGGGTGGACATGAATTGTGGGGGCCAGCCTTCACCATCAGAGATTATTCTTTTTTTTTTTTGAGACGGAGTTTCGCTCTTGTTACCCAGGCTGGAGTGCAATGGCATGATCTCGGCTCACCGCAACCTCCACCCCTGGGTTCAGGCAATTCTCCTGCCTCAGCCTCCTGAGTAATCCTGGCACGCGCCACTGTACCCAGCTAATTTTTTGTAATTTTTAGTAGAGACGGGGTTTCACCATGTTGACCAGGATGGTCTCGATCTGTTGACCTCGTGATCCACCCGCCTCAGCCTCCCAAAGTGCTGGGATCACAGGCGTGAGCCACCGCGCCCGGCCCCATCAGAGATTATTATCTGAAATGACAGCAACTGTGAATGTGGAGCCCAGCTCTAGGTCTCTCCCCTGTATCCCTCATCTCATCTCTTCCCTGTATCCCTCATCTCTTCCCTGTATCCCTCATCTCTTCCCTGTATCCCTCATCTCTTCCCTGTATCCCTCATCCCTCTAGCCCCATGGAGCCCAAGCTTGGTTTTTCCAAAGGAGCAGGCCTGGCTCAGTTTCTTCTGGATCAAGAGCAGTTTTTGTTTTGCTTTGTTTTTTGTTTTTGTTTTTGAGATGGAGTCTTGCTCTGTTGCCCAGGCTGGAGTGCAGTGGCGCAATCTCAGCTCACTGCAACCTCCGCCTCCCAGGTTCAAGCAGTTCTCCCCTCGAGTAGCTGGGATTACAGTGGGATTGCAGGCACCCACAACCACACCCAGCTAATTTTTGCATTTTTAGTAGAGACGGGGTTTCACTACGTTGGCCAGGTTGGTATGGAACTCCTGACGTTAGGCGATCCACCTACCTTGGCCTCCCAAAGTGCTGGGATTACAGGTGTGAGCCACCACGCCCGGCTGCAGATTGAGAGCAGTCTTTCTGGATGTTTCTAAAGCTGCCTGGGGTTTTGAACTAGACTCCTGATGTCTGGCAACCCTCTAAGCTGCCCGTTCCTGGGGCGCCCTTCGGAGTCTTCATGCTTTTGTTTTGTCCCTTGATCCCCGCTCACCACAGTTCTTACTGATGAGCTCTCAAGATACTTTCATTGCTAAACCTGCATTAGGCCCTTCTAATATATCAGTGCCTCCCCAGGAGTGCCACAGCCCACGGGCACATTGGCCTCAGAGTCCCCCCGAAGATGAATGGATGTTTGCGGCATTTAACCGCTGTGCTGAGATACTGCCTGGTTAGAAATGTTCCTTCCGTGACAACCCCTCCTTCTGGCCTTTGTTAATGGGGCCAGAAATATCTCTAGCGGCCCTGCCATTTTGTGGGAATCTTGTTAACGCTCTGACCTCGTCATCTGCCCTGTCTCTGGTTACATTATGAAGCTCGCAAATGTGGCCTTGGTGGCTGCCAGTCCCAGCCACCTCTGCCTCCTGCGTCCTCCTCCCCTACCCCTCTAAGATGGTGTGTGATTTACAGCTTGCGTCTTCTCCTTCACTTTCATGGGGTTTCATCAGAGGCTGAGGGAGGATGGGGAACTTTCAAAGCAGTGTGGTCTCCCCTCTCTCCTTGTCTTTTCCTTTCCTCCTCCTAATTTTTTTTTAATTTGAGATGGAGTCTTGCTCAGTCATCCAAGCTGTAGTGCAGTGGCGCCATCTCGGCTCACTACACTCTCCACCTCCCAAGTTCAAGCATCTCTCCTGCCTCAGCCTCCCGAGTAGCTGGGATTATAGGTGTGTGCTACCATGCCCAGCTAATTGGTGTGTGTGTACGTGTGTTTAGTAGAGATGGGGTTTCACCATGTTGCCCAGGCTGCTTTTGAACTCCTGATCTCAGGTGAATTTACCCGCCTCAGCCTCCCAAAGTGCTGGGGCTGTAGGCGTGAGCCACCGAGCCCAGCCCTCATGTCTTTTTCTTTGATAAAATACTGGGGAGAAATGAGGTTGTGAAGTAACAGGTGGGGTTGGAGGGCTTTTAAAAATTGATTGGGGGCCGGGTGCGGTGGCTCAAGCCTGTAATCCCAGCACTTTGGGAGGCCGAGGCGGGCAGATCATGAGGCCAAGAGATTGAGACCACCCTGGTCAACATGGTGAAACCCCGTCTCTACTAAAAATACAAAAAATTAGCTGGGCATGGTGGCGCGTGCCTGTAATCCCAGCTACTCAGGAGGCTGAGGCAGGAAAATGGCCTCAACCCAGGAGGCGGAGGTTGTGGTGAGCCAAGATCGTGCCATTGCACTCCAGCCTGGGTTAACAAGAGCAAAACTCCGTCTCAAAAAAAAAATTGATTGGGGTGAGGAACGGTGGCTCACGCTTGTAATCCCAGCACTTTGGGAAGCTGAGGTGAGCAGATCACTTGAGGTCAGGAGTTCGAGACCAGCCTAGCAAACATGGTGAAACCTTGTCTCTACTAAAAATTGGCTCAGCATTGTGGTGTGCACCTGTAGTCCCAGTTACTCAGGAGGCTGAGGTGGGAGAATTGCTTGAACCTGGGAGGCTGAGGTTGTAGTGAGCTGAGATCCCACCACTGCACTCTAGCATGGGGGACAAAGCCAGACTCCACCTCAAAAAAAAAAAAAAAAAAAAATTGCCTGGGTACTTTGCCTCCCACTGCCTTAGAAGCCCATCCCTACATGTAACTAGGAATATTCTGAATTTTTTTTCCAAATTGATGACCCTATTGGACTTTACATAGTAAATTCTCTCTGTGTGTGTGGCTTATTTGTGCAAAAATCCTGACACAGGTTTACTGACTTGGCAGGTGCTGCCTGGAGGTCTGGGGAGTGGTCTCTGTGCTGGTCGGCACCTTCATCTTCGGACAGAGCACAGTGGCAGCGGTCTGGGAGATGATTTGATGGGTATTCAGCCCAGGCCGGGAAGGGGCTGACCCCATCCATGTGGCTGTGTGTGCAGTCAGGAGACCAATGTGATTTCTTTTCAACATAAAGATGCTGGAGGGACTGATGCCTTCTGCCTCCTTGGGCTGCTCATTGGGCTGTGCTGGTTCGAAGGGTTTCTTGTACCAAGGTGAGGAAAGTTCTTATTGCCACTGTGATAAATGACCACAGCCACATATTGGTGGCTTAAAACGACAGACACTTATTGCATCACAGTTCTGGGGGCCAGAAGTCTGAAATCATGTGTCCTTAGGGCCATGCTCCCCTCTGTGGGCTCTAGGGGAGGCTCCCTCCTGTCCTTCGCACATTCCAGGGGTGGCTGGCACTCCTTGGCTTGTGGCTGCATCTCTCTAGTATCTGCTCTTGTCTTCATATGACCGTCCCCTCTGTGTTCTCATCCCTCTCTAACGAAGATCCCCATCATTAAGGGAGCTCCTCCCACCCCGTTATTTAGTATGATTTCATCTGAACTTGATTGCATGTCATATTAACTAATTAGTATCCAGAAAGATGCAATTTCCAAATAAGGTTATGTTCATAGGTTGCAAGGGTTCAACTTCAACTGATGTTTCTAGGAGACAAAATTCAACCCATAAAAGGGAGCTAGGGGCTTAGACCCAGATACCTATGCTTTGTAGTGTCAGGACCAAGGGTGTCAAGACGAGGCTACTGCACAGGGGCAGGAGCCCAGAAGGGAATGGGAGGAGGCATGGCTGGCAGTGGTGATGGACTCAGTGGTCCTTTGGCCCAGGACACAGCAAATGCCCAAATCCTGCCCTTGACTGTGAGAGGCCCAGGGAGATGCATGCCTGGAACAGCCCACACTGCCATGCACTTGGCCCATGCCCACAGAGGGTGGATGAGCCCAAGGAAACTGCACTTTCCCTCCCACCAGCTGGACATGAAGGGCATGGAAGCCCAGTGGACTGTTTGCTGGGCAGTTCTCCCCAGTGGCCACCCCAATTCTAGGATGAGTCACACTGGTAGCAGAGAGCGAGCGAAGACAAAAGGTCTACTGCAGGGCCTGGGTAAAGAGGAGGAGGCCGGGCGTGGTGCCTCATACCTGTAATCCCAGCACTTTGGGAGGCTGAGGTGGGCAGATCACTTGAGGTCAGGAGTTTGAGACCAGCCTGGCCAACATGGTGAAACCCTGTCTCTACTAAAAATACAAAAATTGGCCAGGCGCGGTGGCTCACACCTGTAATCCCAGCACTTTGGAAGGCCAAGAGATCGAGACCATCCTGATCAACATAGTGAAACCCCGTCTCTACTACAAATACAAAAATTAGCTGGGCGTGGTGGCACATGCCTGTAATCCCAGCTACTCAGGAAGCTGAGGCAGGAGAATCGCTTGAACCCAGGAGGCTGAGGTTGCAGTGAGCCAAGATCGTGCCATTGCACTCCAGCCTGGGTGACAGCAAAACTCCATCTCAAAACAAAAACAAAAAAACCCACAAAAATTAGCCTGGCATGTTGGTAGATACCTGTGAGCTCAGCTACGAGGGAGGCTGAGGCAGGACAATTGCTTGAACCCAAGAGGTGGAGGTTGCAATGAGCTGAGATTGTGCTACTGCACTCCAGCCTGGTGACAGAGCGAGACTCTGTCTCAACAGCGGAGAGGAGGGCAGGGTGCAGAGAGGCAGACAGGGACCCAGCTGCTTCCTTGCGTCCTCCCTGGCATTGACCCTGCACAGGCCCTGGGAAGATCCCGTCGTTGGTTGATTCAGTTCAGGCCATGCTCCTCTGCTTTGGGACGTCCTCCTAGAAGCCAGCAGTGCCAGAGCCAGGGGAGGGTGGGACTGACATTTGAGGATACCTCCGTCAGGGTAGGCAGTAGGCCAGGCCCTTCCTGCTGTCACATGGTGTCACGTAGGTGACCGTGCAAGGCTGGCGGTGACAGGTCCATGTTTTCTTCAGCTTGTCCACATGTATGAATTTTCAAAAATTGAGATAGAAGTTGTATACCATAAACTCAGGCTTTTTTTTTTTTTTTTTTGAGAAGGAGTTTTGCTCCTGTTGCCCAAGCTGCAGTGCAATGGTGCGATCTCAGCTCACCACAACCTCCGCCTCCTGGGTTCAAGTGATTCTCCTGCCTCAGCCTCCTGAGTAGCTGGGATTACAGGCATGCACCACCATGCCCGGCTAATTACATATTTTTAGTAGAGACGGAGTTTCTCCATGTTGGTCCGGCTGGTCTCGAACTCCTGACCTCAGGTGATCCGCCCACCTCGGCCTCCCAATGTGCTGGAATCACAGGCGTGAACCACTGCGCCTGGCCAAAAAATTCACTTCTGTTAAGTATAAAATACAGTGGTTTTTAATATACTCAGAGCTGTGCAGCTGCCCCACAAATTCCAGTCTGTTTTGTCACCCTCCAGAAGACACTGAGTGCCCGTTAGCAGTCACTCCCCATTTCTCCCTCCCTGGGCCCCCAGCAGTTGTGCACCTGTGCTGTCTCTGGGTTTGCCTGTTAATGGGTGGCCCTCTGAACAGTCTCATGTGTCTGTGGTCCTTTGTGTCTGCCTCCTTTGACTTAGTGTAATGCTTACAGACGTGCCCATTTTACAGGTTAGGCAACTGAGGCTTGGAAAAATCGAGGCCACTTGTCCTGCAAGGTACGGAGATCAGATCAGAAGTGATTTGATGTTAAATTCCTTTTCTTCCCACTCTACACGCCATGGTGAGGAGGCGCCAGAGTTGGGGGGCAGATGGCAGGGGCAGGGTGTGGGAGTAGGTGCCTGGCCCTGGGGCTCCTGCAGCCTGGCTGCTGGGGGATGGTGAAGTGAGGCTGCGGGTGTAGACTCTAACCCTGTGGGGGTGTTGGGAGGGTACCCAGGACCCTCCTTCCATCTCTGACCAAGCCCAGCATGACCTGCCACACGCTGTGTTCCAAGGCCACAGCATCTTCCCAGGCAAGGGCCTTGGGAATTGTGACACGTGCAGGCAGATCGAACTATTTATTTTTATTTCTTGGTAGAGTCTCGGAGTCTCACTCTGTTGACCAGGTTGGAGTGTAGTAGCACGATCTTGGCTCACGGCAACCTTACTGTCCAGGTTCAAGCGATTCTTCTGCCTCAGCTTGGGATTACAGGCATCCGCCATGCCCGGCTAATTTTTGTATGTTTAGTAGAGACGGGGTTTCACCATGTTAGCGAGGCTGGTCTCAGACTCCAGACCTGAGGTGATCCATTTGCCTCGAACTTTCAAAGTGCTGGGATTACAGGTGTGAGCCACCATGCCAGGCCTGGTTTTTTTTTTTGTTTTTTTTTTTTTTTGAGAGAGGTATCACTGTGTCACTCAGGCTCAGTGCAGTGGCACTATCACTGCTCACTGCAGCCTCCAACTCCTGGGCTCAAGCAGTCCTTCCACTTTAGTCTCCCAAGTAGCTAGGACCACAGGTGTGCACCACCATGCCCGGCTAATTTTTGTAATTCGTTGTAGAGTCAGGGTCTTACGTTTGCCTAGGCTGGTCATGGACTCCCAGCCTCAAGCGATCCTACCGCATGGCCCTCCCAGAGTGTTGTAATTACAGGCATGAGCCACTGCACTGAGCCTAGATTGCTGTAATGGAGAATTTATCACCCTGGAGTGAGAGGTGAGGCTGAAGAGTCATTCGTTTATTACTTATACCTGTCTGCTTTCTGAAAGGCTCTGTGGCCCTGGGCCAGGAAGGCTGGGGCTGTGCTAGGACCATTCATGGAGAGTGCTGGAATGTGACCGTGCAGCAGGGTGAGTCATGCCCTCAGAAGGCTGTGTGTGAAGCAGCTTTGGAGTTGGACTGTTGGATTTGAACACTGGCTCTGCCATTTGCTATCTCAAAGCTTTGGGCAGTGTGTGAACCTTTTTGCAGAATCGGTTGCCCTACCAGCAAAAGAGCAGGCTTACTCTGTACGAAGCAGGTCTCGTGTGAGGGATGAAGGCGATCACGTATCTGGAGTAGGTGATGGGATACCTCACGCACGGTGGAGACCCAAGCAACAGTACCTTTATTCCTGGAAGACCCAGGTTGTGATTGCCGAGGGGTACCCAAGTTTCCTGGGAGCCAAGGGGAAAAGGGAAGTATGAGGAGGTGAGGACTTGTCCCAAAGCAGGAAAGCAGCTCAGGAGGCAAGTGGACTGGCACTAAATGCTAAGAGGTGATGGCGGTGCTCTTTAAGGGGTGACTGAGTATCTCAAAGGCTTCCATCTCCATTCTGTGACAGGTAGATGTGATCGTCACATGACACTCTGCAAATTATCATAATGCAAGGCAATTAACCCAGCCTCACGCAGTCACAGTGGCAGAAGCTGGGATGTCAGGTTCTACCCAGATGTCCTCAGGGGCCAGGTGGCAGTGCGTAGGGCTTCCAGCACACGGGCTCTGGGTCTGGCAGATGACTTGACTCTGCCTGCCACTTACCGGCTGTGTATCCTCGGCAAAGCCTGTTTGCGCTCTGAGCAGACCTTGTTTTCCGGGGAGGTCCCTGCCTGTGCTCTGCTCAGCTTCTGCACCCTTCCTCTGGATGAACTCCAGCCTTCCAGTTCACACCTTTATGTCGGTGTCTAAAATGAAGCTGTGGACAGCCCCTCCCTCGCAGAATGGCTGTCAGTCTGAGCTGAGGTCTTTGCAAAGCCCACGACACAGAACGTGTCCTGTGGCAGCTCCTGGCCCAGGGTGACAGCTGTACTGTGTGTCAGGGGAGAGTCAGAAGCAACAGCCCCGGCACTCTAGCCTGGGTGACAGAGCGACAGTCCCAAAAGAAAAAACCACCAAAAAATGTAGCGCAGATGCCTTGTGCTTCTGCTCTGAGTGGTGGGCTGTAGGGAGACCCCTTTCCCTTGGTGCGGGGGCCCAGCCCAGGGAACTGCTGGCCCCAAGCGCCTCAGGAGGTGCCGCCTACACGCAGATGCCTCCCAGGGACAGTGGCAGCTTTGAACTGGGCCCAGTGAGTATGCAGCTCTACCACCTAAATGCAGGTGGTGAACTGGTTTGAGAGTGATTAGAGATTCTTAAGGTGTCGGATTAAACCATCTTAAGGTGTAGGATTCAGTGGCCTTTAGACCATTCACAATGCTGTGTCTCTGTCACTTCCATCTAATTCTAGAACATTCCATCCTGAGGAGAGCCCCTACCTGTGAGCCATGCCTTACCGTTTCCCTCTCCCCGATCCCACAGAGGCAGCCACCCTGTGCTTTCTGTCTGCATGGACTTGCATATTCTGGACGCTTCATGTAAGTGGACTATGACACACTGTCCTGCCTGCCTTCACTCAGCATGGTGTTAGTCACTGAGGCTGCTGTCTGGAGAGAGGGCATTTGCTGATGTATCATCGACAGCTGAGTATTTAGCTCATTTCCACTTTTTGGCTGTTATGAATAGTGCTGTTAGGAGTTCATGGGCTGAGTGGTTTTGATGCCTTTTCCCATTCTTTTGGGTAGAGTATATCCCTAGAAGTGGAATTGCTGGGATATGGTAATTCCAGCACTAGCGATTGGAGAGACCGATGGTGATCTTACCGGGTTAATCCGAAGCCGTTCTTCCTTGTGGGTTGATGCTATGTGGTAGGCGCGGTTGGGCACAGGACTCTGGGTTTGGATCTGACTTGAGCCGCTTACTTGCTGTGTGACCTCTGGTGAGTTACTTGCCCTCTCTGTCTCCACACCTGCCCAGAGCATGGAGCGAGATAGTGCCTGCCAAGTGCTTGACTGTGCCAGGCTCTAAAGTGTGAATTAAGTGGGAGCTCTTAGAGCTTGTAGGGTTGAAACGTGTTTTTGTCGGAGCCCACTGCTGCCCACTAAGCTTCTGAGGGGGCCCTGAAGGTGTTCAGTACACACTTGGTGTAATCAGCAGAGATGCCCATCCCACAGAGGGTGGGCAGGCATGACTTGTGGGAGTGGGGCATGCCCAGCCAAAGGGTGTTCCCCAGCTGTACCCCAGAAAGCCTTAGGCCTTGAGAATGTTACTCTTCAAATAGTCGAGCTGGCTGGGAATGTACCAGCCTTGCAGTGGGCAGGGCAGCAGAGTCCGGGTCTGTGCTGCTCTCATGTGCCAGGCAGTGAAGCCCTTGATCCTTGGTTGTGGGGGAGGGGAGGGGGGCTTCTCTGCCTGTTACAGATGAGGAAACAGGGGCCCTGAGAGGCTGCTACAGAACGTTCAGCTTGGAGATGTGTAGAAGGTTGCTGAAATCTTTTTCGCTTCCTACAAGCCTGCATTGTGTTTTGCTGGTATGCAGTGTCCAGCTGCAAGGAGATGGTAGAACCCAAGAGGGAGGGACCCACCATGGGTGCAGGGATTTCAGGGCTCCAGGCAACCTCAGGTGGCCCAGTGTGTCGGGGACTTCAATGGGCAGTTGACAGTGTTAATAATCACCGTGTCACTGGCCAGCCCTCTGTGCTCCCCCAGGCTTGGGGCAGGAGGTAGAAAGGTACCCCTTCTGGGTCCTGCACCCTGCAGCTCCCACCTGTGTCCCGGGCCTGCAATGCTTGGCTCTGCCTGGTCTTAGGAGGAGACCCACCACTCTCTACTTGCCCTTTGAACTTTTGTGTGTCTTTTTTTCTGAGACAGTCTTGCTCTGTTGCCTAGGGTTAAGTGGCGTGATCTTGGGTCATTGCAGCCTCCGCCTCGCAGGTTCAAGCAATTTTTCTGCCTCAGCTTCCTGCATGGCTGGGACTACAAGCACCTGCCACCATACCTGGCTAATTTTTATGTTTAGTAGAAACGAGGTTTCTCTGTTTTGGTCAGGCTGGTCTCAAACTCCTGACGTCAAGTGGTCTACCCACCTCGGTCTCCCAAAGTGCTGGGATTACAGGCATGAGCCACTGCACCTGGCCGTGTCTAACTTTTCCTGCTAACCAGGCCTGAGAAATAGGAAGAAGTTACAAAGCTTCCAGAATAAGACTGAAGACATTATTTCCAGTTGACAGTCATGGGCTCCTGCTTTGTTGAATGGCTAATGCGTGCAGGGAAGGAGTCACAGGCTCTTAGAGTGTCACGCCATGTGATTTATGGGGGGGCCTTGAGCTAGGAGGTGTTAGCTCTGTGGGTGTCAGCCCTGTCTACGTCACCACAGCCCAGTAAGACGGGGGAACGCATCCCTGCTTGGTGAGCTTCTGTCCCTGTTGAAGCTGGGAGACTTCAGTGCAGCCCCTTCCTTTGCTGGTTTGTGGCTGTCATTCACCCTGTGACAGCTGTGCCCAGTGCTTTGGGTCCTGAGGGTGGTTGTGGTGCCCTGGGAGCTACAGAATAGGAATTAGCCCATTGGTTAAAGTGTCCCTGAGGCTGTGGGTACTTGAAGGTTTCACACGGCCCTACCCCCCACCACTGTCAACCAGGAAACAGACATAGCACACCGCCCTTCCCAACCAGGGTTTATTTGGTGCCTGGGCCCCGTGGTGGCTGCCTGGCTAGGTTGGGTACTACAGGGTCGTGGCTCCTACCAGGTAGAAGAATGGCACTGAAGAGGGCAGCACTGAGTCCTGACCATGAGGACATGAGGAAGGCCGAAGGCAGGGCATGGTGAGCATGGGTCATGCGTGGCTCTTTGAGGGGCGGGGGGAGATCAGGAGGTGGGATGCTGGCTCCAGGAAGCCGCCCCTGTCACTGACCACCTTTTGCTGCAGCAGGACCCTGGCAACATAGGTGCTGCTCTGCCAGCTCAGCTGGGGGGCGGGGGAGGCCTTCCCTTCCCTTCCCAGCAGGGAAACACCTTTTTGTGGAGGATACATTGGAAAGACAACTTCTGCACCAAAGTTTCTAGTAAACAGGGGATGACCTTTACAAGAAGAAGGGGCCTCTGGGAGGCGGTCAGTCCCGTCCCACTGTACACCAGGCAGCTAGAAGGAGAGAGAGACGGTAGACAGAGCACTGAGCAGCCTCCTAGCTGGTGGTGCTCATCTGGAAGGGCAGGTGCTGGTATGTCTCCCTCCCCAGCTCCCTGGGGAAACATCTGCTTCCCTGGTAGCTGCAAGGCAGAAAAGCCCTTCCTGCGTCTGGCAACTCAGAGCTCTGCTAGGGCTGGCCATGGTGCACGGGTGCTCACTGGTCACCCGGGTGTGAACTACAGTCCCGGGAAGGCACATTCAGTCTGGCTGGACGTGCTCCAGGGGAAGCTCTGGCATCCACAGCTGCTGCAGGTGGGGCCCCTCAGAGCTGTCTGTGACCTGGACGCTGTCCTCCCTCAGGGCTCTCTGCACACCTAGCAGTGACCCACAGGTCCTCCCAGCAGCAAGCAGGGAAGGCTGCAGTCGGCAGGGGCAGCCTCTGGTGCTGTTTCCCGTTCTCTCTACGCAGGTGGCCACAGTGGTTCTAGGCCTTCGTCTCCTACCTGGCACTGAGATCCTGGAGAGGGCCTCGGGCTGGCTTAGCGTGTCCACCTTGACATGCCGGAACGCCTTGCACACGGGGCTCTGCAGGTGCCTGCCACCCAGGGACGCAAGTTAGTCAAGGGGGTCCGGGAGTGGAGCCCGTTGATGCTTGCTGTGCCCAGGAGCAGGACCTTATCCATCATCGTGGGGGGAATCTTTAGACTCAGAGCATTTGTAAGAAGGGAGGCTGAATGTGGGTATCTCTGGGGTAGGTAGGGAGATTTTCTTGCCCCTGTGAGCCTTGCAGGTGCTGCAGGTACCCCGCTCATGAGTGCACAGCGCCCCTCACTCTGACTTTACCCTAGGAGGAGTGGGGCCACCTCTACCCAGGACAGATGACAACATGAAAGCTGGGAAGGGTTTCAGGCCCTCATTTTATGAGTCCCTGAAGTACAGACAGGGAGGAGATGCCCCTGCTCCCACCGGGGTCCTCAATTTGTCAGCAAACCCTGAGTGTTTACCGGGGAAGCAGGTAGCAGGGGCATGAGCTTCTCCCTGATCCCTCTTCCTGCCTGTGAGGTCCAGCATGTGAGAAACAAGTCTATCCAGGGAGGGAACAAGCGGCCCTAGCTGTGTTCTCTGAGCAGCACATAGGACCCCAAAACCCATCAGAGCTGATTACTTCCTCTACCATCCCCCACCCACTGAGCTGGAGGGGAGGTTCATCGCTGGCACTGCAGATCACCTGGGGCCTGGATTACCTTCTGTGTCGAGCCCTCCCTCCACATGGTATTAAATAAGGCAGCCCCAGGGATGGGCAGGGAGGAAATGGGGAGAATCGGGAGGGCGCCTGACCTGGATGGGGCCGGGAATGGGATTTCAACCCTTAGCCCAGCAGTTTTCTCAACACCCCAAGGCAGCTGCTGTGGGGGGGTAGATCCTCAGCTGGGCTCCCTGGGCACCTGCATTTAAAGAGCCCAACTGGGTGCACTGGGGGGTTTTACTATCCCCCCGAGGACTCCTACGTGCAGAGGAGTGAATAGACATGCGTTTGCGTTGGGAGATGCCTCGTGACTCTGCGTGCTGGACTGGGCTGCTTGGCTCCAGGAGAGGGGCCCGGGCAGCCGGCCATCCCCCACCCGGGCTTCCCCATCGCCTGCCACACTCACCTCTTCCACTCTTCCTCCGTCTCCCAGAACTCGTAGACAACAAAGGTAAAGCCGTCTGAGAGCCTCACGGCAGCGATGCTGCAATATGAGACGGGAAAGCCTGTACTTAAGCGTGCCCTCCCCCCCAATGCTCCCTTCCAGGACCCTGAGGACCCCAGACCCAATGGCTGCCTTCAACCTTTCTTCCTCCTCATCGTGACCCTAGAGCCCAGCTCTGAGATGCCCTAAGACTCAGGGGGTTGGGGTCACCAACAAGAGCTTCCAGGATCAGAAGAAAGGGACTTTGCTTTCTTTTCAGCCTGTTGCCCAAGCTGGAGAGCAGGGGCAGGATCCCACTTCAGCCTCAGAGGTAGCTGGGACTCTAGGCCTGGCAAATTCAAAAACTGTCTTCATAAAGATGGAGTCTGTTCCCCAGGCTGATCTTGAACTCTTAGACTCAAACAATCCACACACCGTGACTTCCCCAAGTGCTAGGATTGCAAATTAAGCCATTGTGCCAGCTGAAATATTTATTTAAACAAAACCAGTTAGCCCCATGTGATGATGGCTCTCATCAGTAATCCCAGCACTTTGGGGGTCAAGGCAGGTGGATCACTTGAGGCCAGAAGTTCAAGACCAGCCTTACCAACGTGGTACAACCAGTCTCTAAAAAAAAATTGGTGGTACATGCCTGTAATCCCAGCTCCACCAGAGGCTGAGGCAGGAGAATTGCTTGTACTCAGGAGACAGATTCCATCATAGCCCTCCAGGCTGGGTGCCAGAGCAAGACTATCACTAAATAAATAAAGCCCTAGCTTTAAAAATCAAAACATCTTCCTCCTGATCCTCCTCTCTCTAAATCCTGGAAACAACTCCACGCTGCTGCAGCAGCCCCGTCCTTAGTCCCACCTGTGGAACCCCGGGTACAGCACGCCCCTCATTGTAAACCCTCAGATCCTGCCTGCCACTCCCGGCTCCTCTGTGCAAGGCCCAAGTGACTATAAAGGGGGAGGATGCCAGGCTGGAATCCCTCCTGCGGCCAGCACACGCCTGGCTTTAGGTGCCCCGTGCCTGCCTCTGCCACTCCAGACTTGCCAACTCAACAAACGGCACTGTCCCCTACGGAGGCTCTGAAGCCGAGTCTCTCTGGCCACCCTACCTCCTCTCCACCGTCCATCTGGGTGGCCCTGCCTTGCCCTGGCCCTACACTTCTTCACATAAAGGAGGAAAGACCATGTCCTGCCCGCTAGCCTGGGCTACTTACTCAAGCACAGCCCCTGGTGGCCACCCCGTGTCTCTGCAACAGCCGCACTCCGGCTGCTGCCACGTAGGCAGGCCTCAGTGCACCTGCGGCCCAGGAAGACCCCTGTGCAAGACCTGGCCTGCCTGGTTCACAGCCATGCCCCCAAAAGGGTGAATGAACGAGGCTTGCAGGGGAGCAAGGCAGAGCCTTGCCGTAGAGATGGGGAGGAGCACCTGGGCCTCATATTCTTTGGAAACCCCTACCGACCAGAACGAAGGGCTGTTGCCTGCTGTAGAGGCCTCCGCTCTGGCCATGTCATATGGTTTAGCTTTACCAAGGAGCTACATCAGCCCGGGGGATGAACGGGAAGTTGAGGGACAGCCTCTTCCCCGACCCTGGATTTCTCAGCCCTGACCAGTGGGGAGGAGGGAGAAAATGGTGGCTACGTTTCTTGGGCATTCCCCTCACCTACTCTCCTTCCTTGGTTGTTAGCTGAGCACATACTACATTTTGCACCTTGTGAAAAGTGTGCAGCGATGCTTGAGAGACACCGAGCGCACACGGCACACCAGACACGGCTGGAGCCTTTCACACTTGATCTGTCTCCACCCGTGATAACCCAGCAAGGAGTCTGGGGGTGGCACCCTTTACAGATGTGTAGGCTGAGGCTGGAGAGATGAAGGCACCTGCCACCTTTGCGTGGCTGGGAGGAACCTGAGTAAAGACCTGAACCCAGCTCTTATGCACCCAGCTATGCGTGTTCCTGGGGTGCGACTCGTATCTAGGGGTAAGGCTCGTCCCGCCCCGTCCCTCCACTGCCAGGCAGAGCTCCCTGCCACCATCCCACCACGCCTCGCGGCTTACTTACTGGAAGCAGCTCTGCTCTCCCGCAGTGCCCCGCAGATACTGTCGCAGGGAATCCAGGAACTCACTCAGCTGCTCGGGGCACACAGCCATCTCCTGCCGGACCAGCTGCAGGTACCACCAGCCACAACAGGAGTCAGTGTGGGGCTCCCTGGCAGGCCTCCTCCCTGAAGACCCATCCAGCCCCCATGACCTCCCTCCCTCGGTGAAAAAAATAACCCTCCCACAATTTTCATTCTTAGCATATGAATGGACTAAAAATAGGGTACAAAAGGACTAGAAGCCAGGAGGCCGGCAGCAGAAGTAGCCCCCACAAATGGGGAAAACAGACGAGGGTGATTACAGGGGCCCCAGCCATGGCCACAGCTGCTGCAAGGCCTCCGGGGCCCTGAGACACAACACATCCACGGACCAGAAGAATTTGGAACTGACGGACTCAGCATTTTGACATCACTGTCCTGCTGGCCACTTTGCTCTAGACCAAACTTTTTTTGATCAAAGACCAGGGACCTTAAGGAACGCCCCTGGAGTCGGGGGTGGCTTCGGGCCAGGGCAGGGTCTGGGGGACAAGTGCTGGGGCTACATTTCCCCTGATGGTGGTCCCAGGCAGGGCCGGGGGCTGGGGCATCGAGCCCCATGGATCCAGGCAATCCTGACTTGCACAGGGACGCAATCCCAGGAGAGGCAGGGGAAGGGGCCTCACCATGTTGGTGCCGTCTTCGTCCGAGAGGCGCTGCTGCAGGTCAAACCACAGTGCCTGAAACAGGGTGGCTCACAGTCAGGCCGCAGCCAGGGACACCCTCTACCCCAGCTGCCAGGAACTCTAGGATTACTGGGGCTGCAGGGAGCTGCTGGGGGCCTGGCCCTGCTATGCAGGGCTGGGAGACCAACCCTAGGCAGGGGCAGACTCCCTCTGGCCCTGGCATCTGGGGACATTGGTAGGCACAGGTGACCCCCTGCAGAGGGCACAATGGGGGTTCTGAACACATCGCTGGGGCGAGGATGGCTTGGAGGAGGAAGCAACGGGGACCGCAGAGGCCCAAGTCCGAGATGCTCGGGTTTGCTACAATCAGGAGCAGCAGCTCTTAGACTCCCTGTAACTTACAACTCACCCCAAATCCTAACCCCCAGCACCTCAGGGATCTAATGGGATGACCTGTTCTCTCTGGCCTTCTCTGGCATCTGAGCTAGATGCTTTACAAATACATGTTCAATCTTCCAGACTCCCTGGGGCAGGTGCTGCCCCACTGTAAGCTCCAGTCTTCAGGAACCACATCCGCTCTGCTCACCAGCGCCTGGTATCTACACAGGGCTGAGCCCTCCCAGATGATCAGCAGTCACTATGTCACAGCAGAGAACCCTAGCTCTGAAGGCAAGAGAGCCGTGTCCATGTCCGGGCGTGGGTCTGAATGCAGTGTCTCTGCCTGACACACAGGATCATGCTGTTTCCTTTAACCTGGGTATCCCATTGGCCAGGCGTGGGGGCTCACACCTGTGATTCCAGCACTTTGGGAGGCCGAGGCAGATGGATCACCTGAGGTTAGGAGTTCGAGACCAGCCTAGCCAACATGGTGAAACCTGTCTCTACTAAAAATACAAAAATTAGCCAGGCGTGGTGGCACATACCTGTCATCTCAGCTACTCTGGGGGCTGAGGCAGGACAATCTCTTGAACCTGGAAGGTAGAGGTTGCAGTGAGCCGAGACTGCACCACTGCACTCCAGCCTGGGCAACAAAAGCAAGACTCTCCCTCCAAAAATAAAAGAAACCTGGGTACCCCACTACCCACCACCACCAATCCCATCTCCGTCCATCCTCCAGGAGGACAGGCTCTCTAGGAGTCACACAGGGCACAGGAGAGGCACACTGGCTAGTAAGGAACACAGCAGCATGTGGGTGAGTCTGTGCAGTCACCGCCATGACATTTTAAAGGTCTGAGCGAGGGGCCTTGTGTGCTCAGTTTCCCCTGGGCCCTGTAGTAGCTGATCCTGGAAAGGGTATTGCCTTCTCGGGAGTACACGGCATAAACACACTTTCTTAAGTGAAGGTGTGCATGGCAGGAACAAGGCTGTTTCCATGGTTTTAGCATACATGTGGGCTCCTACAGCTGAGGCTGGAAGAGCCACAGGAGAATGAGGAGAGGCAATATGGCCCACGTATCTGCCCTGTTCTGCTCCCAGCCAGCTGCCCCTAGGATCTCCATCCTTTTAGCTGAGAGGAGTCTCAGGTTAGCAGGTGAAGGGCGGGGCCTGAAACCAGGCACAGATTGGCTCCTGCTCACGGCCCGGGCCAATTAGAGGCTGGGGAGGAGGGCCAGGTCCCACCCTGTCTCCAGGACACCCAGGTACTCCGTGGTTACCAGCCAGCCTGGTTGTTAGGGCGACCAGGGCACTAAAAATAAGCTTCAAAGAGTCTCCCTGCCGAGGCGCCTGCAGAGTTGTTATGACAACCGGGCCACGGGGTCCCCTCCTAGCCGTTCCACAGTCGGCTCAGAGAAAGGGGTAACCCCACCTTGGCCTCATCCCTGCAGGGGGGAAGTTCCAGCTTCCTCCCTCGGACTTCGCTGCATGTCAGCCTCTGCCTCCGCCAGTGTGCAGAGCCCCTTGTTCCTGCCCCCATGAATTCCTCAGAACAAACCCCCAACTAAAAGCAGCAATACCCTTTGCAAAGGGTGTTAAAAAACACGGAAAAGTAGGAGAAACATAAAGCACCTCAATCCCAGGCTTCTGAGAGCTCGGCGACCTTGGCTCCTGCGGGTGTGCGGGCGCGGTGTGTGCACGCAGATAGGTTTTGGTAACGAAATGCCTCTGAATCATTGCTACCGTTGCTACTATTAAATGCAAACTATGGCACTGGGCTCTGTGCTAAACCACCGAGATACCATTTCAGTTCATCCCGAGACACCCCTGTGAGGGAGGGGTCCCGTGTTCCAGGTTATTTTCTTCATTATCAGACGAAGAATCTGAGCCTCAAAGAAGACAAGTCCCTGGCCCAAGGCCACACAGCTATGAAGTGGCACAACCAGAATTCTGACCGATACTGAGCCCATCTGTCTGCAGGCCCTAAGACAAACTTTTCTTTCCACCCAGTGAGCACTCTGCCCCGAATGAAACACTCTCTGAAAACGCTCTCTGTAAGGTCTGTTATTTTCTAACACCCGTGGATGTCCCATTTCACACTTCATACACTGCTTCTGCCGGGTGCGGTGGCTCAGGCCTGTAATCCCAGCGCTTTGGGAGGCCGAGGTAAGGGGATCACAAGGTCAGGAGATGGAGACCATCCTGGATAACACGGCGAAACCCCATCTCTACTAGAAATACAAAAAATTAGCCGGGCATGGTGGCATGCACCTGTAGTCCCAGGTACTCAGGAGGCTGAGGCAGGAGAATCACTTGAACCCGGGAGGCAGGGTTTGCAGCGAGCCCAAATCGCAGCCACTGCACTCCAGCCTGGGTGACAGAGTGAGACTCCACCTCAAAAAAAAAAAAAAGAAAAGAAAAGAAAAAAAAGAAAAAACTTTGCTCCGGCTGGTCACTTCCTTCCTTGGTTCAAATCTCTCCCGAATCACCACGTCTCCCTTTGGTCCCAGGGCTGCCTCTTGGCCAACACCTGCTCCAGCCACCTTAGAGCCAAGTCCCCTTTGAAGCTAGGGCCTTGCAGCCGGGACCCGACCCTGCTGACCATGCTCTGCCCCTGGAGCTGCTCCTGCTGCCTGCCAGCCTGCCCAGCCCCCGAACACCCCCTCTCCCCAGGTGCCCACCCTCCTTCAGCCTGAACAGCTGCTGCATTCCCTGGGGTTTAATCCTTAGTAGCTTCGTCCTCCGCATCTCCATGCCCCACCCATGGGATGTCTTTTCCACGGCTCCCTGGCCCCTCTGCGGCACAGACTTTTGCCCAGGCCTAACTCTGCACCCCCTTGGGGGCTGTGAGGAACAGAGGCTGGGGTCTGCCCAGGGCTTACCTTGCTCTCCAGCCTTCCAATCAGCTCTGCCAGGCGGCTGATCTGAGCTTCCAGGCCCTCTTCCTTTGCATCCTCAGCGGCTGAGGAAGAGAAAGAGACACTCAGACTGCGGTGGTGGACAGGATGAGGGCTTCGGGGGGAAGCCGGAAGCACCCAGCCCCTCCAGGGGCCTCAAACTTGCCCCGCATCTCCCCAGTCCCCGTCAAAGGACTCTCAGAGCCCCCGGCCAGTATCCCCACCAGGGCCCCCGCTTTCTCTCACCAGATGGAAGACTCCTGCCTTGTTCTGTGGCCATCAGCTTGTGGTTGGGGGCAGAGCGGGGAGTGGGGCTTCCACACCAGGTCTGTGCCACACTGTGGCTGGGTTTGCTGTGGGTCTGTCTGCAGTTTGAATGGGAGAACACACAGACCCTGACCACTTCTAGCAGCTTCAACAAGCATTTATTAAGCACCAACAGTGAGCTGACCCGTGCATGGGGCTTGCCCCATGGCCTTTGTTTTGGCAGAGGAGGAAATGAGGTTCCTCTAGCAGGCAACTCAGCCAGGGCCACGCAGCTAGCTGGGGCAGAGCTGGGATTTGAATTCAGCTCCATTCAGGGACCCACGGCCCAGGCCTTTTCCCCAGGAGATTCAGTTCCAGGGAGAGGCTGAGCCAGGCACCCACCCCAACCCTAATAACTCAGCTTCCAGGCACCTGTAGACCCCAGGCTGTGGAGGAACCAACTCCCCCTCCTCCCTCATGAGAAGCCCAGTTTGGTGTTTGGTGCCCTTTAGGGTGGGGGACCTGCTTTCAAGACTCTCATCCAACACACACACATAAAAGCCAGAACTAAAGAGACACTGAGTGGGGGATGTAACCAGACAGCAACTGTTATCCTGACCTGAGCCTGGCCCCATCTCCTGGCCCTGGTCACCCCTACTCCTGAGCATGCTGATCTGCACACACCCCTGCATGCCCTGACAGACACAGCTAGCCAGAGGCAGACACACAGACACACACACTGCTCACCTTGCACTGTGCCCAGCACACAGGAGGGACTGTGACTGGCACATCATAGAGACTCAAACAATGCTCAGTGAATGACCACATCCTCCTGTGCACAAGGATGCTGGAAAGCTCCCTGCAGACATACAGAAACACAGACACCCCCCACCCACCACACACACACACGGCACACACAGAGCCCTGTGCACAGCCCCCACACCCCCCTGGTCTCTGGACACCATGGTCTTGGTGCATTGTGGAATTTGTCTCTTGTGAACCTTGAACACTTAGCCCGGCTCTCCCCCATGCCGAGGGAGCAAACTAGACTCCTGCCTTGGGAGGTGGGAGACCGGCAGAGGCTTTGTGGTGTCAATCATGGCTTTTCTATAAACCAGCAGGAAATTAAATGTGTCCCTCAGACCATGACGGGTTCCTCAGAGCTCCTGGGCAGTGGGGTCTGAGCCAGTAGCCTGTGCTGGAGGTGACATCCTGGGAGACTGTCCCAGGGCTGAGAGAGGATACTCCTCAGGGACCCACAGCCTAGAATCAAACTGGCTGAGATTTAGGGAGGTTTGAGGGAGGAGCATGTGTGGAGCAGAGGTATCCCCGATAATGACATGCCACCCCTTCCAACAACATCCCCAAGTAAGGTCCCACTGGAGGGGCAGTGGGTGGAAGTGCTAACACGTGATGGACCTGGCCCGGTGTGGGAAGTCAGCTCTGAACACCGGGCAGCAATTCTATCTGATCCGCGGCAGGATAAAAACAGCAAGTTTTTCATCAAGACAGTAACAGAAAACCAAGAAAATCTAAGTCTCAGCTTTCAGAGTGATGGCTGCTAATTCTAGGGAACCAAGAAGCACAAGACTGATGACAGATGCAGAGCTCTGCGCTGCAGCCCCAGGGATTCTAACCAGTGGGTACGGCCAGGAGTCTGGGAATCTGTACTTTTCTCAGGTGATTCAACAGCAAGAGCTCAGAGCCAGCTCATTCTGGAAATGGTGTCTCAGAGTGCCCTTCACAATCTGATTGGGACCAGCTCTTCGCCCACAAAGAAATACACAATCAAACCCGTGCCCATCCCCCCAACAAACCAACATCCTGGTCCTCATGTGCCTCTCTGCCTGGAATATTCAAGGCTCAATCGAGCTTGGGTGCCGACACCTGGCCGTGCCCACATCTGTTTGCATTTTCTCTTTTTCTTCTTTGTGCCAAGCACATCAGCTGTTCTGGGAAGAACTGGGCAAAGAGGGGTTTATCTCAACTCGGGGTAGCAAATGGGAGTGGGGATGCTCATGGTCCGCAGGGGGCTGGGACTGCTGAGCCAGAACACCGCTCCTCTCTAAATACCAGGTCCCAGCCCTAACACAGCATCCACCACCTAAGAGGAGACCCCAGATGCGTTCCCATGGTTCCAAGCACGCAAACACAAGACCACATACTGAGAGAAAACCACTGCACTTTCACGTCTCTTTCAGTCCTCCCAATGAAGTCCTAACTTGCTACTACTGTCTTCAACACCTCTCTCCCATTTCTTGGTCTCCCATTTTAGCAGAGGAGCAGCAAGCCTCAGGATTCAAGCTGGAGCGCAGGAAACGACAGGTGCTTATTTTTACAGTGACTTCACTTACGGCGTGTGATACTGAGTGTGCAGTTATTATAACCATGTGCCATTTCCCACAGTGATTTCTAATTTTCAGCAGTGCAGTGGCTCATGCCTGTAATCCTAGCCCTTTGGGAGGCTGAGGCGGCAGGATTGCTATGGCCAGGAGAACGACCTGGCCAACATAGCGAAACCCCATCTCTACAAAAACTTTTAAAACAATAGCTGGGTCTGGTGGGACTGTGTGCCTGTAGTCCCAGCTCCTTGGGAGGCTGAGGTGGGAGAACCGCTTGAGCCCGAGTTGGAGGTCGCAGTGAGCCACAACGGTGCCACTGCACTCCAGCCTGGGTGACACAGTGAAATCCTGTGTCGAAAAATAAAATAGGCCAGGCGCAGTGGGTCACGCCTGTAATCCCAGCATTTTGGGAGGCTGAGGCAGGGGGATCACGTAAGACCAGGAGTTCGAGACCAGCCTGGCCAACAGGGCAAAACCCTGTCTCTACTAAAAATACAAAAATCAGCCAGGTGTGGTGTTGTACACCTGCAGTCACAACTCCTCAGGAGGCTGAGGCATGACAATTACTTGAAACCAGGGAGGGCGAGGTTGTAGTGAGCCAAGATCATGCCACTGCACTCCCGGGTGACAGAGGGAGACTCTGTCCAAAATAAAGAAAATAAATCATAAAATAAGATATGGGCCAAACAACAGAATAGTTCTGCATAAATAAGCAGTATGTGGATGTGGCAAAAACCAATCAGTCTTCACTGTGCTAATAAATACGTATTCCACGCATTCTCCTCAGCACTTACCGTCTCGTTCAATCCTTGCGGCTGCGGTTTTAGGTGCTTAATGGTACCCACATCACACAAGGGAGCACTGAAGGCAGAGAGAGTTCCCACAACTTGCCCAAGGTCACCCAGCTCTTAGGTACACAGACACCCCACCAAGCAGCAGGTGGGCGGGTGTGCGTGTGCAGCATGCCCCCATGTGCCCTGCAGGGGCTCAGCGACTCACCGGATCTGGCTGGTCTGTTCCTCGATGGCCTCCACCGCACTCTCCACGGAGCTGAGCAGTGACTGGATCTGATTGGCCGTCTCCTTCAGGAGGAAGCGGGTCACAAACTGGTCCACATTGTTCCCGCCCTCATATACCTGTGAACCGAAGGGAAGGGGCACTGAGGGGAAGGGGAGGGAAACTGGAGCTGGGGTCTAGCACAGGTGTCGGGGGACAGCTGGTGTTGACACGTTTGCCTTGTAATGGGAAGGGAGGACCCCACGGCCTCCTGCACCTCAGAGGCCATAGCGTGTCCAGCGCAGAGGCTAGACGTTTAGAGACCAAATTTGAACCTTGGTCTCACCACTCACTAGCTCTGTGACCTCCCCGAGTATGATGGGATCACTGCTGTATCTGTCTTACATGGCTGGAGTGAAGATTAAAGGGCACAGGGCCTGTCACACAGCAAAGTCTCAATCAACAGTAGGTGCCAGGCCGGGCGCGGTGGCTCACGCCTGTAATCCCAGCACTTTGGGAGGCCGAGGCGGGTGGATCACAAAGTCAAGAGATCGAGACCATCCTAGTCAACATGGTGAAACCCCGTCTCTACTAAAAATACAAAAAATTAGCTGGGCATGGTGGCGCGTGCCTGTAATCCCAGCTACTCAGGAGGCTGAGGCAGGAGAATTGCCTGAACCCAGGAGGCGGAGGTTGCGGTGAGCCAAGATCGCGCCATTGCACTCCAGCCTGGGTAACAAGAGCGAAACTCCGTCTCAAAAAAAAAAAAAAAGCAACAACGGTAGGTGCCACAATAAAGAGACTGTGATGGTGGCAGTGATGATAGTGGTCATCGGTGGTTCTGTCGTTGGTGTGACAAGGATAATGATCAGGAAACAAGAATCTACCACCTTTCCTCCCTCCTTCCTCCTCTGAGGATTCCTAGGGCTCCTGGATCTCCAGGCTACCACGAAGAAAGAAGACAGAAGAGAATCGACAGCAGCTCAAGAGAGGAAAGGGCCGGGGCTTAGTAATCGAGAGGAGGAGGCCAGACAGAAGCCTCGTGGGGGAATCAGAGAGGGAATCTCTGCAGATGCCACGACCAGGGGAACTCTCGGGAATAGAAGAAAAAGAGTTTTCTCCAAGTTTTGCTCTGTCATGTGGAATAGAATTTCCACTTCTGTCCCGTGATTCTGCTAGGCTATTTTTCAAGGCTTTTGGATCCAGGGGAGGCACTCTGGGCTGCAAAAGGTTTCACAGCAGAAGGGAGAAGTCTCTGCTTATCCACATCGCTCAAGGACGAGACAATGAAAAAAGATGCTGTGTTGGGGGATCCTGGATCTCCCAAGCCCTCCTCTGCCAAGACCCCGCCTTCCCGAGTCACCTGCCCCAGGCACCTTGGAATTCTGCCCAGTCCCTGGCAAGGCAAGGAAAAACAGGGCCCTCAAGAAAGCAAATTAAACCATCCATCACTCTGACTGGGAATTAATTAGCAATAATTGCACAATGGGAAACACGGCTGAGAGACTCAGAAATGGAGGAAGAGGGGGAGGGGCACATGGGAAGACAGCTAAGGCGTGGCGGAGGTGGACGCCCCATGCCGACGGCCAGACCAGGGCCTGCTGGGGACAAACTCTGACAGAGTACGAGTTCACAGCCCAAAGTACGTCAGGTTCCAGCAGCCTGATAAATGACCGATTATCCTTCCTAGCAGACAGCTGGAACCACACAAGATCCAGTGATCAATAGACTCTAGACACACGAATGGCCAAAAACGGACATGAAGACATAACTTGGTAAAATATTTAAACACAAATAAAATGGCTGCCAGAAGTGATCAAGCAGAAAAATGAGTTGGACTGTGTTAAAAGCACCCAGACCAGCGACTGAAGACGTGGTCAGGCATCAGTAAGTGTTACCGTCAGCTGAATTCCGAGGAAGACGAGTTATTTTTCAGGGAGTGAAAAATGAAGGTTTTCCTGATGTCTCCTCCACCACAAGTGAAAAGTAACCTACATTCCCCCACGTAAAGATACAATCCCAGATTTGGTAAGGGGGGGTACATGTGCCTTTGTTACACGGGTATATTACACAATGCTGGGGGGACTGAGTTTGCCTCAGACAAAAGGCCGGCTCCATAGACTCCACAGGGAAAGGCTCAGACGAAGAAATTTTGCAGCCAGTGGACAAGTTACTCATTTGTAGAGCAGCTAACTGGTAGATATCTAGAAATGTGCAAATTTCTGAAACTTTACTAGATGAGCACCTTTTCTGCAAACAATCCTTGAGAATTTGTCCTAAGTCATCTGGGTTTGAATTAGAGAGAGATCTTCATATAGAGAAACTGTGAAAAGCAGTAACAACAATCACTCAAATTAAACATTAAGGTTACAGAGGTTAGGAAATAAAAACATTAATCAGTATAGTTGAAATTAACTAATGATGTAATTTCAACTGTACTGGATTCAGTAATAAAGTGTAGAAAAAATAGCCTAAAATCATAAAAATTATTTTTATTCCCAAAGGGAAGATAAAGAGACGCTCACTGCAACCTCCGCCTCCTGGGTTCAAGCGATTCTCCTGCCTCAGCCTCCCAAGTAGCTGGGATTATAGGTTCCCGCCACCATGCCCAGCTAATTTTTTTATTTTTGGTAGAGATGGGGTTTCACCCTGTTGGCCAGGCTGGTCTCAAACTCTTGACCTTGTGATCCGCCTGCCTCAGCCTCCCAAAGTGCTGGGATTACAGGCATCAACCATCGCACCTGGCGAGAATGTGTTTTTTATTAGCTAAGTATAAAAGTAGAATTAAGAATGTTAATGATGTATTTTTTTAAAGTAACTAATAAAGTGAATACTAGGAACTGTACATTCCAAATCATAATTCATTACCTTTTGGATATCAACGTATCACCAAAAGGTAAAATGTAACAGATGAAAAATCATAAAAAAAAGAATAAAACACAACGGTTAGACCGAATAAAACAATAATAAAAAGGCAGCCCGAACTCCCTTCTATAAAGACACAGTCCCAGATCTGATTGGACGAGGTCCACCAGAGGCACAGCTAAACCAAAGCAGCGGTAGCACAAAGGACTTCTTAAAAAAAAAAAAGCCCATGCAAAGATTCAGTAACCAACTGCGATTGAATGAACAGGACAAGCTGCAATATCACTATCAGGTTAGAATTTAAATGAGAAAGGACTGCCCAAGAAAGGCAGGAATGTAATGATAAAAGCCCGCTGGTTGTAACAAGGACATGCCATTGTTAAGTCTTCACACGCCGGGAGAGCGTACAGCTATGGGGACTTCGATGCCTACAGCCATCTGATCAAACCATTTTGCTATATGTCAAGGGCCATAAACTGCTCAGATTCTTTAACCCAGTAATTCCTCAATCCTGATAAATTATCCCCCCAAAATAGTGCAAAATATGGATAAATACATTTGCCACAAAGTATTAAGTACATATTATTCATAATAGCAAAAACTTGGAAATAATCTCATATACCTAACAAAAGAGGAAAAGTAAATTAAAATATTTTAAATGATGCTTTTCAAGTTTTAATAACATAGAGAAAATGTTAAAAAAAATTAAGTAAATGAGCAGGAAGTAAATTTTTATACACAGATTATAAATTTAAGAAATACACATGGAAAAAAGACTAAAGGAGGCCAGGCATGGTGGCTCACGCCTGTAATCCCAGCACTTTGGGAGGCTGAGGTGGGCGGATCACAAGGTCAAGAGATTGAGGCCATCCTGGCCAACATGGTGAAACCTTGTCTCTACTGAAAATACAAAAATTAGCTGGGTGTGGTAGCGCACACCTATAATCCCAACTACTCGGGAGGCGGAGGCAAGAGAATCGCTTGAATCGGGGTGTGGGGGGGGCAGCAGAGGGTGCTTGAGATGAGATCACACCATCACGCTCCAGCCTGGTGACAGAGCGAAACTATGTCTCAAAAAAAAAAAAAAAGAAAAATTGGCTACAAGTAATAAACTAAAATGTTACCAGTAGTTAGGGATAGTGGGAATTAGAAGTGATTTGACTTTTCTTTATACTTATCTCTACCTCCCAAATTTTGCATATCAACTACATGCCGTTTATACAATGAAAATACTGTAACAGAAGTCTATATGCATCAAGCAACACGGCTAAAACACAGGAAGGAAAACCATGGGAAACACAAATATTTAACGATGAAATGCAATTTCGCATGAGAAATGAGCTCCCCGCTGTCCCACAGGACAGATATATTAGACAGTAATGAGCACAGACACAAAGGGCATTGCTAGAAAGAAGAGTGAAAGTCTTTGAAATGGACAGGAACGACTCCTGGGTTTCCTGTTTCTCTAGTTTATCTGAGTCTTTTCTTATTTTGGAGCTATGCTGTTTTGTTTTCCACAATGGATTTAATTGAAAGATGGATTTGAGAACTTGTTAAAGGAGGGAAGCAGAGGACAGAAAGTCGGGTTTTATTTTTTATTTCACATTCAGAGGGTACATGTGCCTGTTTGTGACATGGGTATATCATGTCCTGGTGGCGACTGAAAGACTGTAGTGTACCCGTCACCCAAATACTGACACATACCTACTAGGTAATTTTTCAGTTCTCACCCCCTCCTACTCTCCCTGCAGGAACTCTTAGAACTCCGTGGATATAGATGATTTATAATAATTCAAAGAGTTCTCTTCCGGCTGGGGATGATGGCTTACGCATGTCATCCCAGCACTTTGAGAGGCCAAGATGGGAGAGGATTGCTTGAGCCTATGAGTTTGAGGACAGTCTAGGCAACACAGGGATACCCTGTCTCTACAAAAATAAAAAATAAAAAAAAATAAGGAGTGGTGGCCTCCACCTGTGATCCCAGCTACTTGGGAGGCTGAGGTGGGAGGATGGCTTGGGTCTGGGAAGTTGAGGCTACAGTGAGTGATGATTGTGCCACTGTACTCCAACTTGGGCAACACAGAAAGACCTCGTCTTAAAAAAAAAAAATTCTCGGGCCGGGCTTGGTGGCTCACGCCTGTAATCCCAGCACTTTGGGAGGCCCAGGCGGGTGAATCACAAGGTCAAGAGATTGAGACCATCCAGGTCAACAAGGTGAAACCCCGTCTCTACTAAAAATACAAAAAATTAGCTGGGCATGGTGGCGCATGCCTGTAATCCCAGCTACTCGGGATGCTGAGGCAGGAGAATTGCCTGAGCCCAGGAGGCGGAGGTTGCGGTGAGCCGAGATCGCGCCATTGCACTCCAGCCTGGGTAACAAGAGCGAAACTCCGTCTCAAAAAAAAAAAAAAAAAAAATTATCTTCCACAGAAATGCACAGGAATTTTCTCCGGCACTCTCCACAGGGCAAATGGCTGTTGCCGTGGCACAGTGACTAGCTCTGCACGTATTCACCAACTGATCTCAGAACCACCATTTACCTACATATTAGTGCACATGTTCTCTGCATGGTCCTTTGAGCCACGTCCAACATCTTACAGATTCTCATACTGAGTTAAAGAAAACCTTTGATGTGCACATTTTATTTTATTATTATTTTTGAGGCAGAGTTTTGCTCTTGTTGCCCAGGCTGGGGTGCAATGTCGGGGTCTCGGCTCACTACAACCTCCACCTTCTGGGTTCAAGCGGTTCTCCTGTCTCAGCCTCCCAAGTAGCTAGGATTACAGGTGCATGCCACCATGCCCTTTTAGTAGAAAAAGGGTTTCACCATGTTAGCCAGGCTGGTCTCAAACTCTTGACCTCAGGTGATCCACCTACCTTGGCCTCCAGAAGTACTAGGATTATAGCCATGAGCCACTGCACCCAGCCAATGAGGTGTATATTTTAATACGTACAGAAGAAACATCATTTTACCTTCAAAAAAATTGTCTCTTAGCAGCACATACTTCATAACAAAGCAAGGATAGCTATTTTCAAATCTGATAATTCTGCAAACACAGTCCACATCTTCTCAAGCATTCATGAGCCAGTTACAGAAACAAACACAAATTAATGCAAAAATCTCAATACATTACATGAATAGCATAGAAACCTTTCTGGTTATTCAGTTTTATCTTAATACAATTAACTGAAAAATAAATGAAAACATACCAAGGCTGCTCAAAGAACAGAGAGCGTGAAAATACTGCACATTCACATCTGTGATTGCTATGGGAACATCAAGAGTAATTTTTTTTTTTGAGACAGAAATTCATTCCTGTTGCCCAGGCTGGAATGCAGTGGTGTGATCTTGGCTCACTGCAACCTACGCCTCCCAGGTTCAAGCGATTCTTCTGCCTCAGCCTCCCAAGTCGCTGGGAGTATAGGCACCTGCCACCATGCCCGGCTAATTTGTGTGTTTTTAGTAGAGACAGGGTTTCACCACGTTGGCCAGGCTGGTCTCCACCTCCTGGCCTCCAGTGATCCACCTGCCTCAGCCTCCCAAAGTGCTAGGATAACAGGTGTGAACCACCATGCCCAGTTCCCATTAAATTTAAAACATTTCCAACATTATATTTAAAAAAACCATTCTATTTCACATATGAAAAAGAACAGCAAAAACAACAAGCCTAAGGTTATAAGAGGGAGGAAATAATAATGATAGGAACTATAAATAAATGAGAAAAACATGTCATGAAATTTAAATCCACATGCCAGGAGCTTGTTATTAGAAACAGCTAATTAAAAAAGGCAAAACTGTCAAATAGGCGGCTTAAAAAGTAGAAACACAGGAGAAACTTAAGATCTGAGCGGCAGCAGCAAATTTTATCTTTTCATTTTTGTTTTTTGAGAGACAGGGTTTCTCTTGTCACCCAGGCTGGGGTGCGGTGGCAGGATGAGCCTCACTGCAGCCTAGACTTCCCAGGCTCCAGAGATGCTCCCATCTCAGCCTCCCAAGTAGGTGGAAATTACAGTCACAGGCCGCCATGCTTGGCTAATTTTGTTGTTATTGTTTGGTGAAAACAGGGTCCCACTATGTTACCCAGGCTAGTGTTGAACTTCTGGGCTCAACTGATCTTCCCACTTCAGCCTCCCCGAGTGCTAGAATTACAGGCATGAGCCACGGGGCCCAGCAGCCAGTGTTTTATTGAACCTAATCTGCAGTAACTGCCTGCTTGTGTCAATGTTTTAGATTTTAAAAAATCATTAGAACATTCCATGTATGACTGATTGTAAAACTGACCATGGCCAGGGCAGTTTTGTTTAAAAATATACAATGGACATAAGTGAAAAAGTTGACTAAAACTAGGGCCGACCTTAAAATGACTATGAAAATAATCCCCTGCCCTGTTTAACACCTAGACCCAAGAGTCACAGATAAATTCTATCTTCATGTAGAAAACTGATTCTATGTTAGAGAAGCTGATTCATACGCAGAAAACATGCAAAACTACCTCACAAAGTCATTCCCAAGCTATCATCCGATCTCCGTTCCCAACGGAGATGAGACAAAACGCTTGGCTCGTGACAAGGACTGACGAGTGTGATAAAAGACTAATGTACCAATTAGGGTTGATCGCAGGGAGCTAAGCATTGTTCGATCCAAGAAAATCTAAAAATAGCATCCACCCCATCAATAGCGTAGGGAAAAAAACCATATGAGCATTTAAACATACCCAAAAGGCATCTGAAAAAATTCACCACCACCCTCCTAAGACAAAATGGAACAAAAGGAACGCAGAAATATTTCTCCAACATGCTGATGAGGATTCTAAAATAAGAGCTGGTATTAATACGATAATCAGCAGAGAAGTACTAGAGACGCACTCGAAAATCAGGAGCGCAACAAGCACGCCTGGCCGGGCCCCACCACGATGCTGCAGGGGAGACGGGGAAGTGAGAGGGGCGCGTGTTAGAACGCAGAGACAGCGGCACTCTTTCGTACCAGATGCTACGGCCTGACGAAAGCAGACAGCACAGACAAGGAAAGCATTCAAAGCAACAACCGAGGAGCTGCGCTTCTACAAACCCAAATCAGGAAACACCCAGGTAAAACAAATGCCAAGCACATCACACCTGTCATCCCAGCACTTTGGGAGGCCGAGGCTGGCAGGTCACCTGAGGTCAGGAGTTGGAGACCAGCCCGGCCAACATGGTAAAACCCCATCTCGACTAAAAATATAAAATTAGCCGGGTGTGGTGGTGCGCACCTGTAGTCCCAGCTACTTGGGAGACTGAGGCAGGAAAATTGCTTGAACCCGGGAGGTAGAGGTTGCAGTGAGCTGAGATACCACTGCACTCAAGCCTGGGAGACAGAGTGAGACTCTATCTCAAAAAAAAAAAAAAAAAAAGTAAAGAAAGAAAGAAAGAAAGAAATGCCCATCACAGATGCAACAACCTACCATCATCATGACTGCCAAGAAACCCAAGGAAGACCACCCCTGACATCGTAAACGTATGATTTCTGAGAGCAAAATCTCTAAAACTAGTCTAACTTGTATCAGCAGATACTGATGGAGAATTCTGTTATGTTCCTGAAAAGTCTTCCCAAAGATCAAGATGTAACCATGGATACTACGAATGCCTCACAGCATGGCTAGGATGTGGCCCCTTCTAAGGTGAGAAAACCCAGGTTCAAGGAGGTGACTGCCATTGCCCAGGGTCACCTGTGAGCATGTGGTGATCTCACACAGCCTGTGTGGAGCAAAGCTAGGGCTGCCACCCTTGTCTGGGTGACTCGGAAGCCTGGGATCTTTCCATGCCACCTTCTAATCTACTGCCTACACCTTGATATTTTGAGATATCAAACAATATTCTACAAGATTAATAATCGGAGCGAACAGGTTTTACATGGTATTAAAATATACACTAAAACAGCAAGGCTCAAAACAACATGACGCTAAGACAGAAATGGAAGTGTGGAATCGTGCAGGCTCAGAAAGAGGCCCAACTATTTTTAGACACATGGCAAGACAGGAACTCTCCAGTACGTGGTGAGCAGTAACTGAGAAGCACAGGAAGTCACACGAAAGGGTTTTAGCTTCTGGCTGAGCAGACACACAGGAGCCTCATTGATACAACCAGCTGGTTGGTGCCTTTGCTCTGTGCCTGACAGCTCAGAGGCCTTTGCTCAATCTCTGAAGCACTTCATAATTCATAAGGTGATGTCTCCAATTTCACAGATGGAGAAATTGAGGCTCAGAAAAGGAAATCCTTCAGCCAGGTCTAGCTGGCTTTATCAGCTAAACTCCCCGGCCTCAACCGGCAGATGGGGCTGGGCTTTTCTGGGCTCCCACAGCTCAGGTGCTGGTGGCTGTAGCCTGGGGCACCTGTGTGTCCCTCCCCATGGGCCTGGATCGCTGTGCCCAAAGGTTGCCCTCTGCTCCTGGCTGACAGACTCTCCAGTTGCCTCCTGGGTATGCCTGGACTCTCATGCTGCACTCCCATGCCTCTTGCCAGGTCCCTGACTCAGTTTTCCCTCTCGTCCCAGCCAGGAGCTATGGCTGTCTGGCTGGGACTCTGCTGAGTTCACCTTTGTGAGCCTCTGTTTCCACAGCTGTGAGATGGGAGAGGTGATAGTAACCACCCATAGGGTTGCTGTGAGGATTAAACCAGGTGCTGAGCATCAAAAACAGGATAGAGGGCTGGGTTTAGATGTGCACACCCCGCCCGACCCCACTTCCAGTCTCCTAAGCCTGCCCTGGAAGGGATGGCACCTGTCGGGGACCCCTTAGGGCACAGGGTGACTGCAGCTGCCCTTTCTAGGACCCCAGCCCTGGACCAGGCCTGACTCCAGGAAAATGCCTCCTGCTCCCAACCAAAGCCATTTCACCAAGCCATTCCTCTCCCTTCACAGTTTATCTCAGCTGCTTGGAGGAGCCCTGAGACAGGCCTCCATGGTCCCCTTCTTTAAAAATCCAGACACCCTTGGGCAAGGGTGGAACAGAAGCAGCACTGGAGCCCTGGGGCCCTGGACCCCTGGGGTCACCTATACCCGCTGACCTTCTTGGTGTAGCCCATGGCCTTCAGGACAGAGTGATTCAAGGTCTCCAGGGAGGCCAGGACGTCCTCATAGTCACCCATGTGGTCCACAAAATAATCTGGGGAAAGGAATGCAAAGGTGAGGGGTGACAGGAAATCCTGCCCCTCCCACCTGCACTACCCCCAGCCTCCCTGCCTCAGGCCCTTCTCCCCCAGCCCCATCCCGGCACCCCCATCTTGGTCCTGGCATAGCCAGGCACCTACCACATAGCTCCTTGGTGTCCACGTGGCTGCAGAGACAGAGACAGGAAGAAGGGTCAGCAGGCCTGGCCCCACGCAGCCTGTGAAACACACACCCTGCCCGCTCTTTGCAGCCTGTGTGCTGGCCACACAAGCCCCACCTTACAGATGAGGGCACAGAAGGCAGGTGACACCCCTGCCCCTGAAGGGCCGAGCTGGACTCATGTCTGTCTTACCCCCGACACCATCCACCCTTCTGTTTCCTGAGTCCACTAACCCCATCATGAATAACTGACGCCAAGGGTAGGGCCAAGCCAGTGGCCAGGAAAGGGGTAAAGGAAGGGAGGGTGAGGTCCCATTACTGCGACGGGCTGCCCCACGCCCTGAGCGACCCTGCCTGCTGGGTCCTGGAGTCCTTGGGGGCATGGCAGAGCCCTTCCTGTTCTGGTCCCAGCCCCTGGGTCCCACACTCCCATTCCAGCAGCCTGGAGAAGGGTCCTGTCCTTTCTTGGGGGAGAGGGCTGAGCATGAACCTATCCCTCACAGCAGTGAAGGCGCATGCACCAGCCCCAAGATTGGGGCACAGTGCTGGGAACTAGGGGGCTTCTGCAGCTTGGGAGCAGATTTGATAAGTGGGGGCCCTCTGGGACTGGCTAGGGATGGTCTGGATAAGCAGGGGACCCAGTACACAGTTGGCTCTTCCTGGGCTGAGGTCCCTCATCATGCTCAGTGGCGCCCGCGCTCAGCACAGAAGGCTTGCGTGGCCTGGTGACTCTGCGCTCACGGGCTTTGCATGCTCTGCTGGGAGGTGCTTGCGATCTCCAGCTCATATTCAGAGTTCTCGCAAGTCCTGCAGAAAGCGATGCCGTCACTCTGCTTCAGTGCTTCGCAAATCTTTCTGATGGTTTGTACATTGTTTTGGGCACAAAATCTATTTAGCAACCCAAGGAGCTGATGTTCGGGGCTCACGCCTTAGGGAATGTTGGGGAGATTCATCCTGCATGTCTTTAGAGCTCTGACCTTCCATAATGGTGCGTCCTCCCTGCACCCACACCCACCCACACGTACTCTCTAACGAGCACCTCCTTCTCTCTCCACCTCCGCCCGCTCCTCTATCCCCCGCTGGCCCTTACACAAAAGACCCTGAAAGAAAAGGCCCAAATCAATGAGCACCCGCCTGGCCCTTCAAAGCACCCCAGGAGGCTGCAGTGACAGTTCAGAAATCTCCATCTGGCCCCAGGGAGAGGTCTGCAAACTGAAGTCATTCTTTAAAGTGGCCTCTCCCAGAGGACGGTGCCTGCTCCACTCACCCCATCCTGGTCCCCAGCCACTGCCCCCCAGGACACTCTCAGTCCCAACCACTGGTCCAAGCCATCATTGTACTCTGTCCCCTGCACGCTGGTTTGGTGGGAGCTACTTGTCCAGGCCATCTCTAGCCAGTCTCAGAGAACCTCAAGTTACCAAGTGTGACCTAAGCAGCCCTGCAGATACTCTGGTCCTCACCACCCAAGTATGTCTGAGAAAGGAGCCTGGGTGGGGCTCTGACTCTCCTGAAGGTTGGGTTGAGAAGAGAGCTCAGACTTCATCCTGTCTGGGGAATCCCAAGAAAAGGGCAAGATTGGAGCTGAGGTTGGAAAGGATCAAGGGTAAGTCTGAGTTGAATGTGCATTTCACACTTGGTTTAGACATGGGTTGGAGCCAGAGTTTTTGGCCGATTCCAAGATGCAGGTTAGGGTTATGACTGGGCTGGAGGAAAGGTTTGACAAGGTACAATGGCAGATGCCGTGTTAAGTTAGGATTTCTACTTGGTTCCATTTTGTTTTAACAGAGGAGTTGGTGTTAGGGTGGGTTTCAACCTCACAGTTAATATCGGGACTAGGAGGATGCACGGGCATTGGGGCTGGGTCAGAACTGGCTGCTGGCTGAAGCTGGCTGAAGGACAAAGTTACTGCCAACTTCCTGTTGTCATAATCCCGTGTCCACTGGGCAAAGCTGGGAGTCTCTCCCTAGTTAGCCATGTGCATTCAGAAGAGACCCACTTGTGATAGCAGCCAATGCAATATGAATCTGCACAAGCCCCAGTCAGCCCAGGCAGCGAAGAGCTGACTTTTGGATGAGCACATCTGGGAATTTTCAGTTCTCCTGCCCTTTGCAGGGGACTACGAATGGAGACTAGATGAAAAGATGCCTGCTCCGTGACCCACACGTGCCACTGCTCTGCCAACCAGGACTGAGGCTCACTTGGTGTTGTCAGAATCAATCGTGTGAAAGAGATCCTCGAGTTCTTTCTCATTGAGGACGCCATCTGCAAAGAAGAGCTGGAATTCCTCCAAGGACAGCTTCCCATCATCTGCAAGGAAGGAAGCAGGGAAAGCAGCTAGTGTCTGCAGAAGTAAGGCTGGTGAGGCTCGCGCACACAAGGCCCCCGAGTCCAGGCAATGCCCTGAACGGAAGAGAAACTCCAGCTCAGATATTCCTTGCCCTCCCAGGTAATTCCCAAACTAAAAGACAAATTCCATTTCAGATAATCCCTGCGCAACCAGCGAATTCCCACATTAACCAGTAAACTCCAGGACACACAGAATCACTGCCTCATCCAGCCCATTCCCAGACCAATGCCTATTCACAGCTAACCCTCAAACCAACAATAATGCAATACCTAGTTTCCTTGGGCTCACCATGCACTCTGCATTTTCCACGCATTCAATGAATACAGACTATCTGCCCCCTGCCAGGCAATTTTCTCTCATTCAATTTACACGGCCACCTGGAGGCATGTAAAACACTGTGTGTTTAAGACGGCACAGTGTGAGCAACCCACCAATGTCACACCATCAGTAAGAAGTGGATCCAAACCCGGCAGCTGGATGAACCGCCACTCCATAGCTTCCAAACGCCAAGTGGTCTCCCCACATCCCTAGCTCAACACAGGCTGAGAGATTAAGCTCAGTAGAGGGGGGTCCTCAGATCTTGCCATGGTTTCATGCCACCCTTTTTCTCTTTGACCCCATAAAGCATTAAATATCAGAGTCCGGTAGAAAATACGAACATGTGTGCATGGGGGGCTAGGGCCAATACCCCAAGATGCCCCCAACATCCCAGCTCAGATTTCAAGGTCACTGGGAAGAAAGAACTTCTGACTTTCAAAGGCAAAACCAAAAAAAACCCCAAACCAACCACACACACACAAAGACCCACAACCTAACCACGAAAAGTCTACAAGATCAGCCTCGATACGTGAAATCAAAGCTACGGCTCTCTGTATCCTGTGACAGAGGACATCTTCCAAGTGTCTTCTGCAAGACTGAAGACAAAACCCAGGAGTCACAGTGCAGTCACACATGTGGGGTTCCTTCCACGTGCTCACTCCTTAGTCTTCCTAACACTCATGACACAAATAGGACTATCACTTCCATTTTAGAGAGGGGTAAACTGAGGCACAGAGCCATTAGGGAACGTGCCTAGATCCTACAGCTGAAGCTTGAACCCAAGCCATCTGGCTCCCAAGTCCAGGCTCTCAACCCAACCCAGAGGTAGGATCTTGTGGCAAGAACGCCACCTACCCAGCCGGGGGTGGGCAGGCACCCCCACTTTCGGTGGGGAGCGATCAGCATGGGCACGACAGGGGGAGTCTTTGTGAGCCCCAAGCCCAGCCTCCCTCTGGCTGCCTCATCTCCCCAAGCGCCTGCCCAGGCACTTAGTCCCTCTGCACCAAGGGAGAGCAGGCAGAGGCTGGCAAAGTGCCCCTCACAAAGCCTTCGGCTGACATTTACCCTGAATGCCTGACCACGGACCTAATGAATCCATTAATGAGAGAAAAACATGCCTTATACAGTTCCCCAGGCCAATTAGACCAAATGGGCCAGCACCTCTGCCTGAGACCCCAAGCGGGCCATTTGCAGGTGTCTTTGCTAATTAGCAAGAACTCAGTCTCTGTCTCCATGACCTTTCAAATGCCAAGAGCCTGTCAGAGCCCATGTCCCTGGAGGGAAATGTTGTGTGGCACTCAGCCCTCCGCCACCCTCTGGGATTATGTCCCAGGATGCCAGTCAGGCCCCTCATGTTAACCTTCCCACGGGGACTGGGCGCCTGGTGTCCATCTCAGCCAAACAAGCCTGTCACAGGAGCCACTGTGACATGTCAGCCCTGAGCCTTTGATCCCACAATCTCTAATGCCTAAGGCCAGCCTGGGGGCTCCTCTGAGATTGCACCCCCATCTCTCACTCCGCTGAGACATCCCATTAGTCCTTCCTGTGCACACCTGAGGCAGGGCTAGCATCAGTGTTAAGCAGTCCCCTGTGTGCTCATGTCTATCAGCCTCCACACCTGCACCCTCTGCATACCTGTTCCCATCCCTGCACACCTGTTCCCATCCCTGCACCCACACCCCTGCACTCCTGTTCCCATCCCTGCACCCACACCCCTGCACTCCTGTTCCCATCCCTGCACCCACACCCCTGCATGCCTGTTCCCATCCCTGCACCCACACCCCTGCACTCCTGTTCCCATCCCTGCACCCACACCCCTGCACTCCTGTTCCCATCCCTGCACCCACACCCCTGCACTCCTGTTCCCATCCCTGCACCCACACCCCTGCACTCCGGGTTCCCATCCCTGCACCCACACCCCTGCACTCCGGGTTCCCATCCCTGCACCCACACCCCTGCACTCCGGGTTCCCATCCCTGCACCCACACCCCTGCACTCCGGGTTCCCATCCCTGCACCCACACCCCTGCACTCCTGTTCCCATCCCTGCACCCACACCCCTGCACTCCGGGTTCCCATCCCTGCACCCACACCCCTGCACTCCTGTTCCCATCCCTGCACCCACACCCCTGCATGCCTGTTCCCAACCCTGCACCCACAACCCTGCACTCCTGTTCCCATCCCTGCACCCACACCCCTGCACTCCTGTTCCCATCCCTGCACCCACACCCCTGCACTCCTGTTCCCATCCCTGCACCCACACCCCTGCACTCCTGTTCCCATCCCTGCACCCACACCCCTGCACTCCTGTTCCCATCCCTGCACCCACACTCCTGCACTCCTGTTCCCAACCCTGCACCCACACCCCTGCACTCCTGTTCCCATCCCTGCACCCACAACCCTGCACTCCTGTTCCCATCCCTGCACCCACACCCCTGCACTCCTGTTCCCATCCCTGCACCCACAACCCTGCACTCCTGTTCCCATCCCTGCACCCACACCCCTGCACTCCTGTTCCCATCCCTGCACCCACACCCCTGCACTCCTGTTCCCAACCCTGCACCCACACCCCTGCACTCCTGTTCCCATCCCTGCACCCACACCCCTGCACTCCTGTTCCCATCCCTGCACCCACACCCCTGCACTCCGGGTTCCCATCCCTGCACCCACACCCCTGCACTCCTGTTCCCATCCCTGCACCCACACCCCTGCACTCCTGTTCCCAACCCTGCACCCACACCCCTGCACTCCTGTTCCCATCCCTGCACCCACACCCCTGCACTCCTGTTCCCATCCCTGCACCCACAACCCTGCACTCCTGTTCCCATCCCTGCACCCACACCCCTGCACTCCTGTTCCCATCCCTGCACCCACACCCCTGCACTCCTGTTCCCATCCCTGCACCCACACCCCTGCACTCCTGTTCCCTTCCCTGCACCAGCATCCCGTTGACACCTAATCTCACCCCTACACTCATTCCTCCTTCCCCAGCTATTCTATGCCACAGACACCACCCCCTATCCACACCCACACCAAGTCCCACCCCACTCCTAGACAAGGCTTTTAAGCTGCTGCACTGAATCAGAACCTGCCTGCACACTGCCCCCCGACCATGTGAGGAATGTCATGTGCCATCTCCAAGCCTTGTTTTTGTCATCTGGAAAGAGGGTGGGGTTGATTCTTGTCTCGGTAGGATCACAGTGAAGACTGAAGGAGAAAGCGCATGGACGTCCTGGTGCACAATAGATGTTCAGTGACTGCTGCAGCCTCCATCAGACCTGACTCCCTGCCGAGCACCGGGAATCAAACCCCTCTGGACAAGCCACACTTGCAGACTCCCAATTCCCAGCCATTTGATGCAGAGCAGCTGGGACTGACTGACATCCTCAACCAGCCAAGCGAGGAGCGCAACTCTGTCCTCAGACAGCCCTCTGAGGTGGGTGCAGTCATTATCATTCCCGTGTACAAATAGGGAAACTGAAGCTGGAGAGCTTGGTGATTTGCCTGAGGTCAGAGCCACTATGCCACTGAGCCAGGACTTGATCCCAGGCAGTCAGGCCCCAGGACCTGGGACGCTCTTGTTGGAAGCACATGTCACACCCACATTCACCCCGGTGACAGCCCCCGCCGGTTACATGTTGGTGGCTGGGAAGATGGAAGGCCTGAGGAGGAGGAACAGGCTCGGCCTTTGTGGTGGCTGCAGGAATGAAACTGAGGGTCCCACAGCTGTGCTCGGGGGTAAACAGGTGGCCTCTGATGGGAGGAGCCCGCAGCAAAAACAGAACCCCATCTGTGCCCAACGGGTGGCCAGGTACTTCCCGCCCATGTGTATACGCTGCAACGGCTTCTGCGGACTGCACACCCAGGAAGCCACGCACACACACAAGCTGTACACACACTTGGGATGTACAGCATGGCTGGAGGCCCACACATGCTCTGCAGCAGGCGCAGAGACCCACACCGGACACATGCACTGCCAACAGCCACACGCTGCTGAGTCACCGAGAAACCAACCAACAAACACTTCCACCAAGTCTACAGACATTTACCGAGGCCCTACAGTGTGCTGGGTATCAGGCCCAGGACAAGCGACAAACCCAAAACCCTGCCTCTCAACCTGCTGGAGGAGCCAGGCCAGCACACAGGCAATGACGCTGAGGTTGCCAAAGACTCCACTTCAGGGGACAGCCCCCTGACTTCCCCTGGCTCATCTCCAAGGCTTTTCAGCCCGCAATGCTATGGCCGTTTTTCCAGGGTCAGTTCATCTCCCTATGACCGTCTTCTTCCTCCTCTGCTCTGTATAGAATCACTACTGATGGGCCTTCATCCCTAGAGGCCTGGGAGCAGTCACCATCACCCCCAGGGATGCGGAGGGCAAGGTAGGAGACTCCTTGGAACTGATTCCAGCTCAGACCTGTGCCCCTGCCCACCCACCCCCCACCCAACTCCAGGCTCCAACTCCACGCTGCCACCATCCTTGGTAGATGTCAACAGGAACCCCCAGGGATGAGGCGGAGTGCTGGGGACCCAGGCCAGAGCTGCCATCCTCAGCTTCAACTTGTGCAGGAGAGGAACTGGGGCCAGAGGTGTTGGGGACCAAGGGCCCGGGGGCAGGTCACAGGGTCTCTGTTGCCTGCTCTTCCCCTGAACAGGGTTGGTACTTGAAAAATACTTGTTTTTAAAACGCTTTAAAACCATTTGTCCCCACGCCTCCTTCCTGGCTTTTCCCCTGAACCCAGGGAAGCAGGCAGGGCAAGTGTTACTGCGCCACTTTAGCCACGGGAAAACCGAGGCCCAGAGAGAGAATATGTCTCAGCTGAAGCGCACAGCAAGCTGTGCTTGCCTGTAATAGTGACTACGGTGTCTACAAGAAGGTGTGGCGCTTGTTAGCTGAGGCTCAGCTGGGCCTTCCGAAACGGACTTATTCTCAAGCACCTTCTGCAGGTGGAGCCTGTCCAAGGACTCAGCAGAAGCCGAGTGCTATGAATTCCGTGGCCACAATAAGGGGCTGCTCCCATATTTTTTTTTTGAGACGGAGTCTTACTCTGTCACCAGGCTGGAGCACAGTGGCATGATCTCAGCTCACTGCAACTTCCACTTCCTGGGTTCAAGCGATTCTTCCACCTCAGCCTCCCGAGTAGCTGGGACCACAGGCGTGTGCCACCATGCCCGGGTAATTTTTGTGTTTTTAGTAGAGACGGGGTTTCACCATGGCCAGGATGGTCTCGGTCTCTTGACCTTGTGATCCGCCCGCCTCGGCCTCCCAAAGTGCTGGGATTACATGCTCCCATTTTTGAAGAGGCTGAGAGATACCGGGAAAAGGGCCCAGGTGTGCAGGAGAGCCTCCCCTTCTTTCACGCAGCTGGGCAACCCTGGGGCAAACTGCTTAACCTCTCTGGACCACTATGGTGTCAACAGAGGTAAGAACCCCGACTGCTCAGGCTGCTACAAGGAAGAAGTGCTTCAAGGCTTGTCAAGAGCCTAGCATGAGGCTGGGGGCTTCCTGGGCCCCAGCCTGGGCTCCTCTGGTCCAGCCCATCTACAAAAAGGCCTAAAGTACACCCACCACTTACCACGGCCAGCCGTCGTTCTTGGCATCACAGACATGACTTACTGAGCCCTCGAGGTGGAGGAATCCTACTAAATAGGCCCTACCAGGATTCCCATTTTACAGCTAGGGAGACCGAGGCACAGAGCAGCGGAAGGATTTGGCCTTCTAACTTCAGAGCCCTGCCCTCCAAACCTTGAGGCTCAAGGTAGCTTGTGTCTCCTTTCCCAGATCCCTTCCCCAGGAAGCACGAGGATAGGAGCAGGGCGGCAGGCAGCCTGGAAAAGAAACTCACCATTTTTGTCCGCGCGGCGGAAAATCTGCAGAAAAGAGAGGTTGAGTTAGCCCTGGGCCAGGGAGAGGCAAGCTCTTCCCGAGGCTTCTGCCCAGATACTGGGATCCTTCTCTTCTCCCAGGAGCAGTTTAGGGCCCAGCAAAGCTGAGCTCCCCTTCCCTCTCCCATTCCCTGGGCTGGGATCCGGGGGAACAATGGAAGCATGTTACTGGCAGAGGTCCTCCCCTCGCCTACGTGGAAGTGGCTGCCAGCACCACCAGCCTGCCCCCGGCTACGCTGACAGACACACACAGGCCCACCACCAACCCTGCAGGTGGACATACATAGTCATCAGTCCACCTGGCCTCACCTACCGCTAAACAAACGCACAGCCGCACACAATCACACTCTAAATTAGCGTCCCAGGGAGCGCCACAACTTTTACCACCGCAGTCCTTCCAGAACCCCTGGTGTGTTTCCAGGGAGGTTGGGCTAAGTGCAACGGAGGTGTTTGCAAGGCCTGGTGCCAACGACAGCCACAGGCAGGATGGGGTTAATTTTGGGGTGCAGGAGGAGAAAACAGGATGCTAGGAGCTCAGGAAAGCAGCCTCCATGAGGTTCTGGCTGCATTAGTCAGGGATAGGTGGGGGCAGCCCCAACGCTGGCCTGAACCTAGAGACCAGGTGTCTCGTCTTCCTGCCTTTCCAGTGACATCCAAATCCCTGGGACAGAGGTACTCCCTTCCCTCAAGGTCAGGCTGGCAGGTGCCGCTTGCCAGGCTGAGACTCTAAAGCAACATTCAGCCCCTTCCAACACCATCCCCTGGAGCGCTTTCCAAACCTCCTCAGCCAAGGCCACACCCCAGGAGGCTTGAATCAGCTGCTGTAAGGCCAGCTCTGATTTCAGCATTTTTCAAGCTTCCCAGGCACACTCAGCACTGACACCTGTGCGCTAAGACCTTGCTATTCACAGAAGCTTGTTTGCAATGGGAGGTGTCCCACCTACTCTGTGCTGTAGTGCACTCAGACCCTTCACTGTAACCAACACGTTAAAGCCTCAGAAGGATCCCAGGGTCTGGAGTGGCCCCACCCCACTCTTACCGGCTTGTTTTAGCAAGGAGGGTGCTGAGATCCAGGGAGGGGGAGCAACACGTGCACACTTCCCTAGACACCAGGGAGGGCTGCTGGGGCCAGGTCAGCCACAGAGGAGGAGGAGGTAATACTCACTGACCCTTCCCCACTTGGTCCTTGCCTTGGGGAAAAGGACAGGAGCCGCCGCCCTCCATCCCTCCAAGCAACGAGACAGGGGCACCCTTGGCCATTTCCAGGTGCCTGGGTGGTGTGGGACTGAAGCACAGCTCCGGAGGACCTCTCAAACATCACCTCTCCTCCTGGATAAACCTCAGACCCCCAGGTCCTCCTCAAAGCTCCAGCCTGGGCACCCGACACCCTGTTCCTGACTGGGCAAGGTCCCTCAAAGCTGGGGTCCCTATCTAGGTATCCCAGATCCCCCCCTGAGGCCAGGAACCAGGCAGGTGCCAACTCTGGGCAGGAACGCTGAACACATGAGTGACAAGGCAGGGCTAACACCTGGTAACATTAGCCAGCTGCAGGAGTCTACACGAGCACCCCACCCCCCGCCCCATACCGGCTCATCACTCCAAGTGGCAGGTGAGGAGAGGGAGGCTCAGAGCCCCACCAAAGGGCTACCCTGAAGGGCAGCCTGGGGTGGCAGGGCTCAGCCCAGGACTTTCAGTGAGAGCTCTGCTGAGGTCCTGGCGCAGGGAGTGGCTGCACAGGTGTGCGTGCCTAAGCGAGCGTGTGAGTGAGTGAGTGTGTGTGTGTGTGTGTGTGTGCCTGTGAGTGTGGCACTCTAGAGCTCCCCGAGCCCTGTCCAGCCCTTCCAGTCCAGACCCCACAGAGGGTTCCAGGAGCAGGGAAGAGGAGAGAGGAAGGGAGAGAATCCCCCCCCACAGGGATCTGCGATACACGTGCGTGTACACACTCACACACACCTCCAACTCTCCCAGAAACCCACCACATAGCCAGAGGCAGCCCCCAGCCCCACCCTGGAAGGACCCTGGCTGAAACACCCAGTCCACATCCCCAGACGCCTCCTCCACCTCCTCCCAGCGCTCTCTGCCTGGAGAAGTCTTCCTCCCCCGACCCACTCCCTGAAGATTCCTCCCTCCCGGGTGGGGCGAGGGGGAGGGTGACATTGGCTTCCCAGAGGTAGGTGGTTTGGGTCCCAGGGGAGTTAGAAGGGGTGAGGGGTGAGTGGTAAATGAAGAGGACCCAGCTCTCGGTAGGGGAGAGGGTGTGGGGAAGGGAACAGAGGACAGGAGGGGGCTTGGAATGGAAGGGCGGGGTGGGGAAGCCAGAGGAGTCCCGGCTCAGGGCTGATAGGCGATGGCTCTGACAGTGTGTAAAGGAGACAGAAGACAGAAGGTGGGGAGGGGGCTTCACTTGTAAAGTGGCAGTGGCTGGGCAAAGGGTCTTTGGGCGTGAGATGAGGTGGAAGGCTCAAGGTCTACAGCGAAGCCAGGCAGGGGTTGTTGGGGGCCTCAGAACTAAGTATCTCTCCCGATAGGATCCGAGATGGAGAGGAGGAGGGGGCTGGCGACCGCGAGGGGCTCGTGTCCCGCAGGGTAAAGGGTGGGGGGTTGGCTGGGACAAAACTCGGGGGACGATGGCCGGGTCCGGGGGCTCACGGATCCCCACTGTGGGCGGGCAGGGACCCCGAGGAGCCCGGGTGGAGGAACGGAGGAGGGGGTCTCTCGGTCCAGGGAGAGGACTGGGCTGGAGACCGGCCCGGACATGGCGGGGCTGGGGGCTCCCGCTCTGGGACGCGGAGGGGCGGGGAGGGGCCGGGGGTCTCCTGTCCCGGTAGGGGGGCCTCGCGGGTCCCTACGGAGGCGAGCTAGGGCAGCGTCGGGGTCCGCCCGAGGGGCGGAGGGGGCTCCGGATCCCGGCAGAGGCCACGGCGGGGGTCCCGGCCGGCGCGTACTCACGTCCAGGATGACGGCGGTGCCCCCGCGCGGCGAGGCGGGGCCGGGGCCCGGGTCCGCCGGGTCCGCGGGGGCCAGCGGCGCCCGGGGCTCGCCCATCCTGGCGCCCACCCAGCGCAGCAGCCCGCCCAGCGCTCGGCCCTGCGGCGGCGGCTCCCGGAGCAGCCTGTGCGCGCCGGCCCTGCACAGGCGCGCCGCCCGCTCGCACATCGCGCCGCGCCCGCCGCCGCCCGGAAGCCCGCCGACCCCGCCTGGCCGCGGCCCGCCCCCGCACGACCCCCTCCCCGCGCGGCCCCGCCCTCCCTCCCAATGCCCGCGCGGCCGCGGACACCGCGGGGACTGGCCGGCGCCTGGGGGGGGCGGGCCGGCCGGACCCTGAGCCACGTGCCCGCTCCCCGCCGCCCCCACCCCCGCCGGACGGGCACCCGGCCTGGGGACTCCCCGATGGGGCGCGGGGCGCGGGGCACGGCCACAGAAGGAGCTGCCCGGAGGCGAGGGGAAGTTGAGGCCTGGGGGCGGGGCGGCTCCCCTGGGATCTGGTCCCCAAAAGTCTCCTGCTGCCCCCGCTTCTAAAGTCCCCCCCCTCCCACTCGCGGCGCTCTGCAGGGGCCTGAGCGCGGGTGTCCGGCGAGCCCAGAGCGCCCTCTGCCGGCTCCAGCCCTGGGAGCGGCGCCCACGCACCGCGGCTCCGTCACACCCTCCCGGGCCTACCCTTACCTCCAGCGGGGCGCATGCCCCCTCAGGCTGTCCCCTTCATTTCACAACTCCCAGAACCAGTCTTCACCCCAGAACATCTTTCCTTCACACTCCACCCACCCATCCATCTATGCACCCACCCACCCTCCCACATTCCCTCCAATCCATCCATCTATCCTCCGCCTCCCGTCTGTCTGTCCATGCACCCACCCTCCCAACCATCCACCCCCCATCATCCTCCCATCCATCCATCCACCCACCCACCACCCTCCCATCCATTCACCCACCTGTCCACTCACCCTCCCATCCATCCATCCACCCATCCACCCATGCTTTTATCCTCCCTTCCTCCCTCCCATCCATTCACCACCCGTCCACTCACCCTCCCATCCATCCATCCATCCATCCATCCATCCATCCATCCATCCACTCACCCACCCATCCTGCCTCCCATCCATCCACCCACCTATCTTCCCATCCATCCATCCATCCATCCATCCATTTAAAAGATGCGTTAAGGAAAACCCACTAGGTGTCAGGCACGTGCCCAAGTGCTCAGTTCCAGCAATGGGCAAAACAGATGGTGTCCTTGGCCTCCTGGAGCTTACATCCAAATGGGCAGAGTCAAACACTGAAGTGATTCCACAAATAAATGAACAATTAAAACTGAACTGCTGGCCGGGTGTGGTGGCTCATGCCTGTAATCCCAGCACTTTGGGAAGCCAAGAGGGCAGATTACTTGAGTTCAGGAGTTCAAGACCAGCCTGGCCAACATGATGAACCCGCATCTCTCTTAAAAATACAGTAGCTAGCTGGGCGAGGTGGGGACACCTGCAATCTCAGCTACTTGGGAGGCTGAGGCAGGAGAACTGTTTGAACCCAGGAGGCAGAGGTTGCAATAAACGGAGATTGCACCGTTGCACTCCAGCCTGGACGATGGAATGAGAGTCTGTCTCCAAAAAATAAAAAAATAGAAAACTAAAACTGAATTGTTATGAAAAGGAAACACCTTGGACTATGAGAGGAGTGTTTGCTCCGGTGGCAGTGGAGGGGTTTATGTCAGAAACAGCTTCCAAGACGAAGTGATTCTCATGTTGAGAGATTCCAAGGAAGAGGAGTTACAGAAAGGCAGGAAAGTGTCCTGGGCTGAGGACCCTCTGTGCAAAGGCTCTGGGGCAGGCAGGGACCTGGCTAGCAGGAGGTACTGAAAGGAGGCTGCGTGGCAGAACAGAGCGGAGGGGGGCCTGGAACAGGCTGGAGGGTGGCGGGGCTGCAGTGCCCTCCTGGACACCACTCCCTGCACACACCCGATACTCCTGTCCCCAGGCTCCAGTATAGCTGCCCGCTCAACTGCTCCCACACTTGGGGCACCATCCTTTGCACCCCAAGGCCCCAGCCATGGATCTCATCTAGGACCACATGGCCCAGGACTCCTCCCACAATCTCCTTCCCTCCAGCGCAGTGCAGGGTCCCAGGAATGCAGTTCCCTCCGTGAGCACAGAGTCCTCAGACGCATGAGTGTAGGTGGGCACTGGCTTTATTTGGGACCTGCTTCTGGAAGGCGCAGGTGTGCAGGCTTCCTGGCTGGGTGCGCAGCTGCTGCTGGTGATCCCAGCTCACACTAGCAGCTTTCCCCCAAAATCCTAGGTCTAGGCCAACCCCGCGGCCACTGTTACCACCTCGGACACTGGTCTAAGTCCAGAGAAGCCTGGGCCCCCCACTCCTCTTAACCCCAAAGGCCAGCTGTGCAGGCTGACAGCCCTCCCCGGGGCGCTGCTGGGCGTGCTCTGGATCCAGCAGGTGTGTGGTCATCTCTGCCCTCTTCAGGGCCTGGCAGCCAGCGGGTCTGGCCGGATGTTAGGGCGGCTTCCTGGTCTCCTTCCTTAGCAGGGAGCTGGCCACAGCCAGCGCGCCCCCCTGCACAAACCTCACAAAGTTGTCCCCGGCCAGCGGCCCCACGGCGTACAGGCCCTCCTGGCGGGTGCTCTGGTAGGTGAAGGGGTCCACGTCAATGGGGTTCCTCTTGGCGCTCAGTGGCTGGTCAGGGTCCACTGCAAAGTCAGCCCCTGCCCCGGGCAGGAAGGACAGGTCGGGGTGGGAGCCAATGAGGACCAGCACCAGGGAGACCCCAAACACCTTCTCAACTCCCTCGAGGTCTTGGAACACGGCCTGGCAGTCTTCCTTGAAGAGCAGTAGCTGGTGCCTGGGGAGGCTGCGGTAGCCCTCGTAGGGGCTGGGCGACAGGACGGACTGCTCCCGCATCATCTGGTGCACCTTGTGGTACTCGGGGTACAGCATCTTGGGCAGCTGGTTGAACACCAGGCCGGGGTCGTCCACGGCCCGGCGGAAAGCATGGATGACCGGGAGGTTGTAGTGGCGGGCAAAGAGGACCGCGTCGGCCGCCGAGAGCCCCGCGCCGATGATGAGGACAGGGTCTGAGGCTGGGGACACTGCCCCCACCCTCGTGGCCGTCTCCAAGGCAGACAGCTCATGGTGGACGAAGGGCAGGGCCTCCCCGGGGACGCCCAGCCGGGCCGGGCTGTCGAATGTGCCTGTGGCGAGGACCACGTTGCGGGCCCAGAGCGAGAAGGGCTGCTGGCCCTGGTCCCTGGTCAGGAAGCCGCTCACCTGGAAGAGAGGGCTGGGGTCGGGGTTCCTCCACTCCACGGTGGTGACTACAGCACCGGACACAAAGTTATGCCCCAGACCCTTCTTGACGACGTAGTCCCTGTAGTAGTGGGCAATGTCCCCAGCCGTAGCCCGGCTCTTGCGAAGGCCTCTGTGGGGGAGGATGCAGGAGGCCAGAGTCAGACACTGTTAGGGGCTGGCGGCTTGGGGGGCTGGGTGGGATGGGAGAGGTCCAGGGCGGTGTCAGGCCCTGGAGCTGGAGTAGGCTGTAGCTGTAGGACAGGGCCAGATAGTTCAGCATCTCCAGGCCTCAGTCTCCTCTTCTGTAAAATGGAGCTAACAAGGGCACCTCCTCCAGGAGAGGTGGTGTAGGGTGGGGTGCAGAGTGCAGCCTCCAGAGCCACATTGCCTGGGTTTGAGTCCTGCCTCTACCATCAGGGAGCTGTGCCTTTTTCCCCAGTTTGCAAAATGAGGGAGATGCTGATGGCAGGACCTATTTCATTAGGTTGTGGAGAGGATTTGGTGACCTGATAAAACACAGTACTTAGGCTGGAACCTGACTGGTAAGAAGTGCCATGCAAGGATGGGCTGCCAGGGTTGTCACCTCAAAGGATTAAGTACGGTATGCTTCTGTTTTTATAAAGTTCAGGAACAGGCAGAACTCATCTATAGCACTGGATGCCAAGAGGAGTTACCTCCGGGGACGGGGGAGGGGATCCTGATGGGAAAGGGCATGGGGGCTTCTGGGGAGGGTTCTGTTAACTGAATCTCTGTGCCCACCTCGGCAAACTCCATCAACATGTACTCATAGGAGTTACGTACTTTTCTAGACATAGTCAATTTATTTATTTATTTATTTAGAGACGGGGTCTCACTCTGCTGCCCAGGCTGCAGTGCAGTGGTGCAATTGCAGCTCGCTGCAGCCCCTGCCTCCCTGGTTCAAGTGATTCTCCTGCCTCAGCCTCCTGAGTAGCTGGGACTACAGGTGTGCACCACCATACCTGGCTAATTTTTGAAAAAAAATTTTTTTTTTGAGATGGAATCTCACTCTGGAGCCCAGGCTGGAGTACAGTGGCGCAACCTCAGCTCACTGCAACCTCTGCCTCCAGGGTCCCAGTTCAAGCAATTCTCCTACCTCAGCCTCCCAAGTAGCTGGGATTACAGGCACGAGCCACCGCGCCCAGCCTAATTTTTGAATTTTTATTAGAGACAGGGTTTCCCCATGTTGGCCAGGCTGGTCTCAAACTCTTGACCTCAAGTGATCTACCTGCCTCAGCCTCCCAAAGTGCTGGGATTACAGGCTCCTGCCACCACACCCAGCCTATATGTAGTGAATTTAAAAGTTGATTTAAAAACTCCCACGTGAAGCCCTCACCATCCTTCCCAGTCCACACAGCAGCAGCTGGAGGTCTTTTATTGCTGTTGTTTTTATTGCCACTGTTTCCGGGTCAGTGACTGCAGGACCATTCTGGTGGGGTTGAATGACAGGCTTTGGCATCATCCTAGCACCTCCCTGTATCTCGCTGTGTGACCTTAGATGAGTTAATTTGCGTAGCTTGTGGGCTCATGGTTCAGGATGAACTCCCTTAGGGGAGAATCCCGTGCCACATGCCGTCTGGCTAAATGTAGCAGGAGCTGAGAATGGACACCCAGGGCCGTGCGGATGAGCCCAGCGCAGCCTGCCTCCGACCCTGGAATTGATCTCTGTGGGCCTGTCATTTTCCTGCTCTCAGTCTTTGTAAAGATGGTGATACAGAACCGTCCCAAGAGCATGTTCCATGCAGAGTTATTTATAATAAAGACACAGTGGAAAGAATGAACACTCCAGGGCTGGCAGGGGCAGGGGGTGCTGGTAACCTTGGTAGCGCTGAGAGGGCAGGGGGTGTGTCTGCAGTGGTTTTGTGCTCTGACGTTTAAGTGCAAGGCCTGGCACATAATACGCATTCAGTGAAGATATGCTGGGCGGGGGATGCTCACCCGCCTTTGGGAATATCGTGAGGCCACGTAAAAGGATGCTTTTGAACCCTGCCACATCGCCACATGACGTGCTCAGGACAGAATGTGAAAATGCAAAAGTGGGCTAGGAGAGGCTGTGCTGACAAGTGACACTGGAGTTTCTGTCTGCCTCTAACGCAGGACCACGGGAGCCTGGAGCTCCTCCTGCCAAACACGCACAAGAGTCTTTGTATCAGACAGACAGTGAGGCCTGGAGTGCCTGCCATGGGGGACACAGGCCTGGTCACAGCCCTGGGGCCGAACAAGGAGGGCTTGCCCTGAGAGGCAGATTGCACCCCAGTATCTGCTCTGGGACAGCCTCTCACTTGAGAATGGGCAGGGGCTGGAACTCCTTTATTCTGGGATTGAACCAACCTGTGAGAGGAAAATCAATCTCGGGGCCCCAAAAGCACTAAGCTAAAGGGCAGAGTCCAGCTGGGAACTGCTTAGATCAAAGCTGCCTCCCATTCTATTCAAAGTGCCTCGGCTCACTGAGATAAATGCACATCTGATTGCCTCCTTGGTGACAGCCAATCAGAAACCTATCTGAGACCTGGAAACCCCCTCCCCACTGGAGCTGTCCCACCTTAGGACGGAACCAATGCACACCTTACATATGTGGCTTGATAGCTCACGTCTTCCCAAAATGTATATAACCAGGCTGGGGCCCCGACAACCTTGGGAACATGTTGTCAGGACCTCCTGAGGCAGTGTCAGGGTCACATGTCCTCGACCTTGGCAAATTCAACTTTCTTTCTTTTTTTTTCTCTTGATACGAAGTCTCGCTCTGCTGCCCAGGCTGGGGTGCAGTGGTGCGATCTCGGCTCACTGCGACCTCTGCCTCCTGGGTTCAAGCGATTCTCCTGCCTCAGCCTCTCCGGTAGCTGGGATTACAGGTATCCACACCACACCTGGCTAATTTTTGAATATTTTAGTAGAGATGAGATTTCACCATGTCGGCAAAGCTGGTCTCAAACTCCTGAACTCAGGTCATCTGCCCACCTCAGCCTCTCCAAGTGCTGGGATTATAGCTGTGAGCCACCGCACCCAGCCTAAACTTTCTAAATTAACTGAGACCCATCTCAGATATTCAGGGTTCACAAGCCGTTTCTCCAGGGTGGCCATGATGGAGCAGGAAGCCAGATGGGGAGGAAAACATGCAGAAGTAAGAGGGTGGGGAGAAGTGTGGGTTTGGGGTCAGCTGTTTTCCTTCTCCGTGTCCAATAATCTGCGTGACCTTAGGTGAGTTAATTTATCCAACTTGTGGGCTCATGGCTAAGGATGAAACTCACCTGTAGCAAAAGCATTAAAAAAAAGAAATATTCTATTAGCTGACCTGGAAAGAATAGACCAGAATAGAGGGAGGGGCTGAAAAGAGGCCACAAGGACTGGGGGACCTGTGTCAGAGGCACGAGGCAGGGCATGGGGGGCAAAGACCAGCGGTTATCCCCTCCTTAGAGGCTGGGGCACTATGGGGAGGCCCAGTTGGAGGCCGTGTGACAGGGTGGTCTGTTGCCTGTACGGGACAGGGCATCCTCGGGTGAGCCCAGCTCTGCTGCTCACCCTGAGTCATGGGAGGTGGACAAGACCTTTCCCTAGCTGAGCCTCAGTTTCCCCCTCTGGAAGAAGAAGACAGATCAGATGAACTCTGAAGCCCCTGTACCTCTGGCTCCTGGGCTTAGTGTGGGGGAGGGGGTGCCTGTGAAAGGAAAATAAATCTTAGGACCCCCAAATCACTGAGCTAGAGGGAAAGGTCAGGCAGAGAACTGCTTAGGGCCAATTTGCTTGCATTCTATTCCAAGTCACCCCTCGGCTCACTGAGATAGATGGTTCACATCTGATTCCCTCCTTTGGAGAGGCTACTGAGAAACTCAAAAGAAGGCAACCATTTGTCTCTCACCTACCTCTGACCTGGACCCTTCTCTGTCTTCCTGCCTTTGCTTCCAGATGGACCCAAGGTACTTCTTACAAAAATACTGATTGAGGTCTCATGTCTCCCTAAAATGTCTAACACCAAGCTGTGCCACGGCACCTTGGGCACATGTGGTCAGGGCCTCTTGAGGCTATGTCATGGGTGCATCCTCAACCTTGGCAAAACAAACTTTCTGAATTAACTGAGACTTGTCTCAGGTTTTCTGGGTTCACAGGCCCAGCATCCCGTGTGCCCCAGCGCACCCCACGGGGCCTCACCTTCGCTTCTTCTGCAGCCAGTCCTTGACCTCCAGGTCTGGGAGTCCCATCCACTGGCCCTGGCTCAGGGTCACCATGGAGCCTTCGATGGACTGCAGGAAAAGGAACCCTTCAGTCCAGGCCTCTGGACTGAACCTATTCGGGGCTGGAGGACATGGGAGGCCTTGGCTGGGGCTGGTGGAGGGAGGGGAGGGAGGAGGGAGAGGCAGGGTTGGCAGGTGGAGAATAAGGAAAGGGGAAATGCAAGAGTCCCAGCTCCAAGTGGGGAGGACAAGGGAGACCCCCACCCCCACCAAGGCGTGCCCTCACTGAGCCACTCACGTGCCAGGCTCCCCCGGGGAGGTTCCGGCCCAGAACTAAGTGGGGGATGGCGTGCTCCTCCTGGTGCTTCCAGGTGAGAACCGACTCCATGTTTCCCCCGAAGTCTGTGTCTGGGCGCAGGAGGGCATCAAAGAGCAGAGCCACGGGGCTTTGGCATCGGCCCTCAAGGCCTTCGGACAGGTAGTCCAGGTCCTGGAAGGGGTCATAGGTCAGAAGGGATGCTGGGGGAAGGTGGGGTTGTCTTCCCAGGGCCTCAGGCTGGGCAGGAATGTGGGGCGGGGGCTGGCCATTTCCCTGGCACTGGAGGGTCTCAGAGAGATGTGCACATTGGGGGTGCTCTGAAGCTCTCATTCTGAGGTCTTTCCAGGAGGCCAAGTGCCCCAGGATATAGACCAAACGGTCAATCTTAGATGAGACTGGAGTGACTGCCTGGTCCTGCATCCCTACTGTAATGTCAGGGTAGTCAGATCAGCGGAGTCGCTGCCTCTTAAAAGTAGATAATGCAGACCATCATATTAAAGGCTCTGACAAGCCCTGCAGCCATCATTTACCTGTTGAATTTTGCCGACCCCAGTGTGTCCCTGTGTTACTGGAGTGGGAACATTTTTGTGTATATTATACTTAGGAGCTAGTACTCTACAGAGAGCACTTTGAAAAATGCTGATCTAGGCCAGGCGCGGTGGCTCACGCCTGTAATCCCAGCGCTTTGGGAGGCCGAGGCGGGTGGATCACGAGGTCAAGAGATCGAGACCATCCTGGTCAACATGGTGAAACCCCGTCTCTACTAAAAATACAAAAATTAGCTGGGCACGGTGGTGCGCGCCTGTAGTCCCAGCTACTCAGGAGGCTGAGGCAGGAGAATTGCCTGAACCCAGGAGGCGGAGGTTGCGGTGAGCCAAGATCGCGCCGTTGCACTCCAGCCTGGGTAACAAGAGCGAAACTCCGTCTCAAAAAAAAAGAAAAATGCTGATCTGGATCAAATGGTGTAGAACTACATCCTCATCCCCAACTCAGGGGCGGGAGGGGAACAGGCGGATGTACCCTGCCTGATGAGGGAGGTCGTGGAAGGCACAGAGGAAGACGGGGTCTGGAGGGAGCATCTGCAGACCCTTGTGGGCAGGAGGTCGTGGGACTGAAATATCTGCGGTGCAATTTCTCAACCTTGGCCCCGCTGTCATTCGAGACACATTCTTCTTTGTAGATAGAACAAAGTCATCCACACATCAGTGAGGCCGAGGTTGGGAAACTCCTACCCAGATACGTCAGTTCCACCACCCTCGCTGTCTTGTGCAGTGCTGGGCATTTACCAGCATCCCTGGCCTCCACCCTGCCAGAATGACAACCCATATCATCCCAGACATCGCCAGGGGTCCCCAAGGAGCAAAGTCATCCCCTCACTGAGAACCCCTGGTCTAGGACATGCTGAGCCCTCGGCCACGTTGCCAATTTCTCCTTCATGATCTCCATGGCTGACTCTGGACTCTCAAATTCTGTTTGGTCTTGGCTCCAGCAAACACACACTTTAGTTTTTCCCTGGGAAAGCTGCAGTAGTTTTCCACGGGCGGTGTGTCCTCCCCAGAGCTCCGGCCCCAGGATGACCCACCTGGTCCAGGATGGAGACCCCCAGGGCCTCGGTGAGCTTCCTCTGCAGCAGGGGGTGTGGGTGGACGGCATCTGGCTTCACGTAGGGTGTGTAGCCGGAGAGCAGGTAGGACAGGCAGATACCAGAGGGGCCGTTGCCTGGGAAGAGAGGGTGGAGGTCAAAGGGTAGGAAAATCTACTGCTGAGGACTTCGGTCCGGACGTGGTGCATTCATTCACTGATCATTCATAAAAATAAAATAGTTATTAAGCCCCTAGCCTGTGCCAGACACGATGCCTAATAATAATTTAAAAAGAGGCCAAGCACAGTGACTCATGCCTGTAATCCCAGCACTCTGCAAGGCTGAGGTGAGCAGATCACCTGAGACCAGCCTGACCAACAAGGAGAAACCCTGTCTTTACTAAAAATACAAAAAAAAATTAGCCAGGCGTGGTGGCGCATGCCTGTAATCCCAACTACTCGGGAGGCTGAGGCAGGAGAATCGCTTGAACCCAGGAGGCAGAGGTTATGGTGAGCTGAGATCACGCCACTGCACTCCAGCCTGGGTGACAGAGTGAGACTGTCTCAAAAAAAGAAAAAAGAAAAAATAGTAATTTAAAAAAGAAAGAATCAGCAACTGCTGAGAGCTTCCTATTTGCCAGGAATTGTACTGAGACTTCAACAGCCCACAGCAGCTTTCGTGAGGTAAGTGCTGCTCTTTTTCTTTCCATACTTGAGGAAATGGGCACAGAGAGGTTAAGTAACTTGCCTGTGGTCACACAGCTGGCAGGTAGAAGAGCCGGGATTCAAATCCAGACAGAGGGAACCCCTGAAGACACAACTGAGATTCTGAGATCTAAGAACTAGGTCAGATGGACGAGTGAATGCAGCACAGATGGCTACATGGCCTGGGGGCGAGCTCGGGTGGTGGGTGCTCGTGGGCGTTCAGGGGCGCCGAGCCACCTGTTGGGTCTGCTGCTTGCACGTCCGAAGAACTGCGCCGCCATCTGTGGCGCTTCCTGGGCAATTCACCAGGCCCGGCCCTGTGATAGCTCTTCTCTTTTTATCTGTCCTTTCCCCTCTTCTTATCTCATCTGATTTGGAATATTGCTCATAAGCAGGATACAGGAGGAACCACGTGAAATCGCAGACAGCCATCTGTTTTTGCTTTATAGAAATGACCATCTCACGTGGCTGAATGGGACGCCTGTATTCTTGGGGGTCGTCTGTCCTCAGTTTTGCAGACAGAGGACAGGAATCATAAGCCCTGCTGTGTCCTCTCGCGTGGGTCCCTAGTACAGTGCTGGCCACAGGGTAGTCATGGGGCCAGTGTGGGCTCAGGACTGGGCATTCCCTGCCCCACACTGGGTCGCCTCCAGCTGATGGCTGTGTTTTTGACCCCTGGGTTCTCGGAGGTATGAAAGGGAATGATAGTTTATAAAACTGCTAAGCCCAGCACTGGCCACATAGTAAACACTCAGTGGCTTAAAGAACACTGTAAACAGGCCAGGCCTAGGCCAGGCACGGTGGCTCATGCCTGTAATCCCAGCAGATCACTTGAGGTCAGGAGTTCAAGACCAGCCTGGCCAACATGGTGAAACCTAAAATACAAAATACTAAAAATACAAAAATGAGCCGGGTGTAGTGGCAGGCACCTGTAATCCCAGCTACTTGGGAGGCTGAGGCAGGAGAACCGCTTGAGCCCGGGAGGCAGAGGTAAGCCAAGATCACACCACTGCACTCCAGCCTGGGCAACAGAATGAAACTTTGTCTCAAAAAACAAAGAACCCAAAATACAAAAAAAGAGGCGAGGCCTGGACTTGCCCAGCTCCTGCCCTCAGACCCGGGGGCGGGGGCCCCTGGAAGGCTCAGTGGAGCCCCTCTGAGGCTGGGGCCTGACACTTACCCACGATGATAACCGGGAGGGGCTCTGAGCTGCTGGCGCCAAGGTGCTTTCTGGAGGAGATCATGGCTATGGCTGGTGCGGTGCTTGGGACTGGCAGCAGACCTGCAGTGGGGGAGAGGGGAGGAAGAGCCCATTGGGGGGAGGCTTGGGTGTCACATGGCCACGTCACTTTCCAGCTAGCGTGGTCTCCCATGGCCCCCAGGGTCTAGCCCGGGGTCCCCCTGAGGCATACTGATCAGGACTCACTTCTTGCTCATGAAGCCTCTGCTCCAAACAGGCCATCTGCCCCACCCTTCCCCAGTCACGCAGGACGTGGTCTCCCGTCCTTGGGCCTGGTCACCCTAGGCAGCCACTGTCCCTCTGAGCCTCACTCTACTCTCCCATCTCACTGGTGGGGGGGCAACAGTCCCCGAAGCTTGTTCTCTGTCTTCCCGAGAGGATGTCCCTGCCCAACCCAGGAACAAGCCCAGCCGGCCCTTCTGTGGGCCACAGCCCTCGAGTACCAGTGTGGCCTGGTGGACTCTGGAGTCATCACCTGGCCTTGGCAAGTGGCTTCCCATCTGCTGACTGTGGCCCATTCCTGGGCCTCTCTGGGTTTCAGTTTCCTCACCTGTAAAATGGAAGCAATGAGTCCCCACCTCCTAGGGTGGTTGCGGGACACAGTGGGGTCACAGGCAGGAAGTACCTGCCTGGAGTGAATTTGCCACGGGGACTGAGCAGCGCTGTGGCCTGCCCAGGGGCTGGGCTAGACTTGGCGAAAGGGAAGCAGCCGCCACGTTTGGGGACGTGCCGGTGAACCTGCCATCTCTGGGGCAGCCGCGCCCTCTGCTGGCCCCAGACTCAAATCGCTCAAAGGGACTCAGGTGCTGGTCCTAGAGCTGCCGGTGCCCAGAGGGGCATCAGACCCCCACTTCTCCCCCACGCCAGCCAGCATCGGACACCAGCCTCACCTGAGGGCCACACACTGCCGTCCTGAGAGTCACAAGGCCACACCCATGGTGAGCATGTGGCACTGGCTCTGTGCCGGGTATCTGACATTCTTTTTCTCAGAGACACCTCACACTGACCCTGTGCAGAGTCCTGACCATGTTATTTTCCCACTTCACAGATGTGTAAACGGGGCTCAAAGAGGTCGCAAAAGCTTCTCAGCGTCACACAGCTGGCTCAGAAACCCAGGGCTCACTGGTGCCAAGGCCCTGTCAGTGACACCACCCACGCCACTCAGCCTCAGGGTCGTTTGCCTCCAGAATTCTTCCAGAGAAGGTAGGAATCTGGATTTCTACGTTAATTCTCTGATGTGAAAAAGTGAGCAATGGATGAGTGCGCAATTTTGGAAGATCTTTAAGAGGCCAAGCAAACACAGCTGAGACCAGCGTGTGGCCCTGAGGCGTGCGGAGTGGCAGAAACATCGTCGTCCACCTCCAGGTAGGCCCCAAGGGGATGGACGAGAGGCTGCTGTGTAGATGGGCCACTGAGAGGAACTGAGTGCCGCCCCCACAGTGACAACAAGTGACCTTCCCACAGCACTCTACAGTTTGCATGGAGGCTGCACCTAAGCAGTGGCATCCAGCCCGCTCAGCAGCCTGGAGAGGTGAGCCCTGGCGCCTCTCTCTTGCAGGTGAGGAGAAGGAAGCTCCAAGCGTGAGGATGTGCCCAGAGGGAAAGGGGTCTGCCAGGGACCCCCGTGTGGGTGCCCTCTGCTCCCCTGAGCACACCCTTGCCTCTGCTGGGGTGGGAGCCAGGGACAGCCTCCGTGTCCCGTCGAAGCAAGCCCCTGTGCCCAGCACCCAAGACCTCCTCCTCTTTTCCTGGAAAGAAGGAAGGTGACATCCTGCAGTCACCAGGGACCACATGGCCTCTTCCTGCCCAGCTCCCTGCAAGGCCCCTGGCTGCCTGCCTGGGGAGGGGATTTCAGGGTGATGGTGCCACCCATTATAATAATAGTAACAGTCATAAGGCCAACAAAGACAACAGGTGGCTGACACTTCCATACCTCTGTGGGCTGGGCTGGGTGCCAGGCATGATCTCCACACTGAAAACACATTACCAAATGGAATCGTTATTTAATCGGGTTGTTGTAAGTGCTCTGAGGGCCAGAGAGTTTCTCACGGCCCTGGACGGTTTGCAAGGTGGTTGCCCCAGCTCTAGCAGGCTGGGCTGGATTGGAGCCCGCGCTGGACTGGAGTCCAGGCCGCCCTGCTCCAGAGCCTTCTCCGTGGCCCGAGTGCTGTGACAGCTCCTGCTAAGGCCCCTCTGCTGGGCGGAACATGCAGTGTCCGTTCCAGGGTCCCCCACGGCTCTGTCGAGGTGCTAGTGGCAGGCGGGGAGACAGAGGGCCAGCTGATGCCCCAGTGTTCTGGCCGGGAGGGGATCACTTCTCACTGACCCTGGGCTCTAGGTATACCCAGAGGCCTTGGAGGACAGGACTGCGGTTCCCAGAGCGCTTTCTCGGGCTCGCTCCTGGTACCTTTGAATGGCCCCAAGCCCCTCGATCCCCATCACAGTCCCCAGGAACAGCAGTCACTGGGAAGCATGGGACCTCCTGGTAAAGTGCTTTCCGAATGACCACCTTTGATCTTCCTAGCAACCCACTTTGCCGATGAGGAGACTGAGGCTTAGAGATGTGAAGCCATGCCCTGAGGCTACAGAGTTGATGGGTGATGGAACCAAAATCTGATCCCCATGGGCTCACCCCTAGACACACCCAGACCTTCCCCAAACGAGTGAGCCAGCCTGCTCCATCTGCCCCAGTGTGCCCACCCTCGGCCATGCCTTGCTCCTCCCTTGTTCTTTTGGATTCTCCCACCACCCAAGGAAGGCACCTGCAGGAGCCCCTGTTGGTCAACGAGGAATCAGAACTGGCTGCTCCTCATCGCCCTTTGCAGGCAGCAGAGTTCCCACCAGGGCTTTGGGACTTTAAGTCCAGTGCTCCCTCCTGGGACTGTTCTCAGGCACTTGAACAGAAGCTTCTGGATGCCACATACGTGAGGTCACCACCCAGGGGCTGGACCTGAGAAGTCACTTCCTGTGTAGAGAGACACAGGATGCCCCAAGTCCCGAGCAGCTTGAAGCTGTCACTCATGACCGTGAAAAAATATGCCGCCAACTTACAGAAGAGTGTGCAAAAGTTTCATTTCAATTCGTTTTATGCTTTTTAGTTTTATGGAGTTGGAAGAACCAATTTTAATGTTATCTTTTTAAGTCCCTTTGATTGAAGATGGCCAATACTGATGGAAAGAAGTTAACATTAAAATTGATGTTTCCAGCTTCACAAAGGCAGACGGGATAAAAGCCAGGAAAACAGCTGCACCTTTGGCTGACGTTTCTTTCACGTCTGCAGCATGTGCACTTCTGAGGCTGTTAAAGCTGCAGACTGCTCGGAGACCCGGGGACACCTGTATGCCTGCATTTCTGTGGCACCTCTAGTGGCCATTTACTCATTTACCTTTGAAGATAACCCAAGAGGTGGGTTTTTTTTATCCCCACTATGCAGAGGAAGAAACCCAGGTCAGGAGGAACAGGCATCTTGCCCCAGGTCACCTGGGAGTATCCAAGACCACGCTCATGTGGACAAATCTTAGTTCTGCCCAATCCCCTCCAGTAAAACAGCTGATTACAGGGAGACCAAGGGTATGAAGCCTCGGGCTGGGGGAGGGGTGGCTAAGTGTGAGGAGGTGGTCTGTCCACGCAAGTGTCACTTGCCATTTATTACAGATGAGCCCTCACCCCAGTGCCACACACCTGGAGCCCAGGATCTCCTGCAGCTCCCCAGCCTTGCAGGGGCTGCCCTCCCTACCCAACACACTCTTGAGCTTCCAGAGAGAAGCTAAGTCCCTGGGGCCTCCCAGGGTGGGGGCTGTTCATGGGCACCCATGGGCTCTGTCCCTCCTGAGCAGGAGAAGCAGAAACTTCGAGGGCACTCAGCCTGGCTGCCAACCCAGTGGACTTGGGACAGCCAGGCAGCAGGCCTGGGCTGGCCACACCCCTCTTTCTTGCTAGGGGCTGAGGTCACGTGGGCCAGGGTTCTCAGGGACTGTGGCCACTCAGCTTCTCCGTTGAGGGTGCCAGTCAGCTGGACAGGGACATGGCTGAGGATCTGGGAGGAACCTGGGGTAGGGGAGAATCCTGCCGGGCTCCTGAGAATTCAGGGGAGGGCCTCTACTTAGGACCAGCTGGGACCCTTGCCTGCTCTGGGGCTCCGCAGACCCTCCAGTCCAGCTGGGCTGGCTGCTTGTGCCTGGGATGTGCCTGATTCCCTACCCCGGAACCTGGCCCCTGACACTCACCTGACAGGCAGTGGTGCAGCTCGGTGAGCCCAGCCAGCTTGTGCACTAGGAGGGCCAGGGAATCACAGATCACAGAGTCCCCCTCGAGACTGGAATGCCCATTACCCCATAGGGATCCAAGAAGCTCTGAGAGGCCAGGGGGGAAGTGAGGGTATTTCACTGGGAGGGAAGAGGCCGTGCAGGCAGTGGGCGGGACCAGGAAAATCACTTTCATAAGCGTGAGTCAGCAGGGGCCGTGATGAATGAACTTGCACACTGGGCGGGTGTCACGTTGCCTGCCCCATGGCTAGCCTTAAAGGGCCCCTGCTGGGCAGCCTGCCAGGGGGCCTAGGGTGGCGCTCCCCACCACATCCCCCCAGCCAGACCCCCCTACCTGGGGCTCAGTCTCTGGAGCAGGAACCTGTGACCTCTGAATGAGCCAGCCTGGCCTTTGCCACAAGGGAGGAAAAGACGGCTTTGCACCTCACACACTTAATGTAACAGCCCCTTTAAGTGGCGAAAACCAATCCAGTTCCCTCATTCCACCTGCATTATACTTCACCCTCCAACCCCCAAAGCCCTCTGGCACCAGCCTGCCTGGGCTGAGAATCCAGCTTTGCCACTTCCTGGCTGCAGGGCTCTGGCGAGCTGCCTTAGGACCAACACCTCAGTTTCCTCATCTGAAAACTGGGGCCAAGTCACAGATTCCTTCTGCCAGAGTGGCTGTGAGGGTTTAATGACATCCTTCTCGGCTGCCATGCTTACAGCTTGAAGCCTGCTCGCTGGCTCTTCTCTTCCATTTGTGTGGGTAGCACAACCCCACGCCTTGCTGCTGCTTCATTATTAATTTGAGACAGAGTTTTGCTCATTTCCCCGGTTGGAGTGCAGTGGTGCCATCTCAGCTCACTGCAACCTCCACCTCCAGAGCTCAAGTGATTCCCCTGCCTCAGCCTTCTGAGTAGCTGGGATTACAGGAATGCACCACCATGCCCGGCTAATTTGTATTTTTAGTAGAGACAGGGTTTCACCACATTGGTCAGGCTGGTCTTGAACTCCTGACCACAGGTGATCCACCCGCCGCAGCCTCCTTAAGTGTGGGGATTACAGGTGTGAGACACCACACCCAGTTTGTTTCTGAACTACTTTTTTGTCTCTCTTCCCAAACCAGAATGTGAGTTCTGTGTGGGCCGGATGGTGTATTCATGGCTGCTTTATCCGGTGTCTAGAATAGTGCTTAGCTATTACATAGTAAGTGCTCAGTAAGGCAGAGAGCGAGAGAGCGAGGGAAGGAGGGAGAGAGCGAGGGAGGGAGGGAGGGAGGGAGGGAGAGAGCGAGGGAGGGAGGCAGGGAGGGAGGGAGGAGGGTGACGCAGTGCAAGCAGACCTCAGTGTACATTCGCTGTTACTTTCAGTGTTGATGATGTTGTTTTCATGCTTGTCTTCCCATCTGCTACCTTGCAGGGGTGGGGAATGGGGGCGCACCTTTGGGTGGAAACTTTAAGAGGGAACCCAAACCAGTAAACTAAAAAATAACATTTTGAGGCAATTTTACTAAAAAACCTAAATTAATGCAAAAAAGCCAGGATAAACACAGACATGATCCAGAGCAGTGCCTTGAGGCTGATGCAAAGAGAACCAGAACTTCCAATGCTATCTGTGTTTTTAATAAAAGTTTGCTCTTTTATTCATTCTGGATTTCTTTCATGAATTTCTACTTGTAAGAACACTGCATAGACGCATTATGTATCATGGTGATGGGAGTGCTTTGGTGCCCCTGAAATTTTGTGCCTGAGGTCGTGCCTTACCCTCCTCACCCTAGTTCTGGCCCTGGGGGCCACAGCCCTGCCCTGAAGTTATGCACAGCCTGGAAACCACAGCCCCGGGCCTGGAGCACCTGCCGGCAGGGGCTGGGGCTGGGGCTGGGGCTGGGTCCTGCTGAAAAACACCTCTGAGGAGGTGAGAGTAGCAGGACCCTACTGAGGGCTGGAGGGAGGGAGAGAGAGAGAGAGAACGAACGTGTGTGCATGTGTGTGCCACTACTAGCATTAAGGGAAGGCCTGATGGCTGGGGGTGAGCACTCCAAGGGTTTAGGGGGCGAATGAGAAGCTGGGGTGAAAAAGCCTGAGGGAAGAGCTAGGGCACAGCTGGGGCCATGTGGGCAGAGGGCCTGGAGGGCTGGGGAGAGGAGCCAGGCCTTAGCTGGGTCTCTCCTTCCCCGCCTCTGCTTCCCTGGGTGACCTGTGCCCAGGGCCCTGTGATCAGCAGAGCTTGGATCTTGGTTTAATGCTCTGCTGCCACTACCTTAAAATTCTTATTTTGAACATGAATGTCCTGAATTTCCATTTTGTACTAGGCCCCCCAAATAACATGATGGGTCCAGCCTGGGGCTGCACCTGGTATGAGGCTGGCTAGGTGGGAGCTGTCCGGAGGTTCGGCTCTGGCGGGCTGAGTAGGCTTTGGTGAGACATCGTCCCCTCAGCCTCAGTTTTACCCAGGGGAAATGAGCACTCGTAGTCCTTTCCTCCTGGGGTCCTGGGCAGCACTGCCCCACAGAGGAAAGGTGACATGGGACATGGTGGAGGGGCAGCAGGAAGCCCCTTGCTCTGGGCCTCAGCTCCTGGCCAGTGTCTAGCCCCACCACAGGTATGCTGTGTGACCCAGAGGGGGACGCCTCCCTCTCTAGGCCTCTGTTCCAGCTGTGGCCTTGTGACCAACACTCTGTGACACTCTGAATGTGCAGGTCCGACACACCAGGACCTAGACAGGGGTTTTGAACATGAGGGCAGGGAGGGGTGCAGCTGCGGCCCACGTACCTCTCGTCTGCTCTGCATATTTCTCCGGCAGCAGCCTCTCGGTCTCCACTTCCGCATCCCACGGTGCCTGGTCTGCGGCTTCCCAGTGGTTATGGATGTATAAACTGAGGCAGAGGAAAACATGCACCCAGAATCAGAGACCTCCACCCCAGAGGGCTCAACTCCTCAAGGCTGAGGCCTGAGGCTGGGGCTCTGGAGGGGAAACCCAGGAAGGAGGGGGGCTTCCCTTGGACCCCTTCTCCTGGGCTTTGCCTGGCTTTCCTCCCAAGCTGCCCCGCCCCTGCTGGCCCTGACTCATTCTAGAATTTGGAAATTTGCTGATATGGAGAACTGTGAGGCGAGCTGTGGACTTTCTTCCCTGCCATCTTGTTTACCTGCTGGGTGATTATCAGAAACAGAATTGTTGAGTTTCTTCCAGAAAGGTTGACTAAGAAAAGGCAGATCCTGTTAAAGGCAGGCAAAAGGGTTAGGGTAGAGGGGCTACAGAGAAGGGGGAGCCCAGTGGGGCTTTGCAGGCTGTCTCGGGTGCCAGTGGGTGGCCCTGGTTCCTCCGGACCTGCCCGATGCTCTTTGAGGCCGTGAGTTTAGTGGCTATTAAGAGCTTGCGACGTGACCCTCCGAATTCAGGCGTGCTCACAGGAGGCTGCCAGAAGCAGCAGATGAAAATACAGGTTCCAGGGAAATATTTGAATTTCAGATAAATAAGAAACAAACTTTCAGTCTGTCGTCAATATTGCACATGACATATTTAAATTAAAAGTTCCTCTTTATCTGAAATTCAGATTTCCCTCGCAGCCCGTATTTTATTTGCCAACTCTAGTTGTAAATGTAAAATATACACCAGAATTTAAAGAATTAGTACCAAAAAGGTGAAATGTCTCCTTCATAATTTTTATATGGATTATATGTTGCAATGAAAATAAGGAAAATATTTGACATAGTGGGCTAGATAGAATATATTATTAAAATTAGGCTGGGCACGGTAGCTCATGCCTGTAATCCCAGCACTTTGGAAGCCTGAGGTGGGCAGATCACCTAAGGTCAGGAGTTTGAGACCAGCCTGGCTAGTATGGTGAAACCCTGTCTCTACTAAAAATACAAAAATTACTCGGGCATGGTAATGGGCACCTATAATCCCAGTTATGTGAGAGGCTGAGGCAGGAGACTCGCTTGAACCCAGGAAGTGGAGGCTGCAGTGAGCCAAGATCATGCCACTGCATTTCAGCCTGGGCGACAAAGCAAGACTCCATCTTCAAAAAAAAAGGAGAATATATTATTAAAATTAATTTCACCCATCTCTTTTTATTTTAATTTGGCTGCTGAGACACTTGAGGGCACAAACGTGGCTCTCGTCGGGCCTCTGCTGGACACTGCCGCTCTGGACTTCAGCACTGCGGCTGACAGAAGCTGGGGCTCTCCAGGGTTTCTCTCTGAAAGTCCCACTCTGTCCCAGGAAGCCCCAGGCCTGGGTCAACCAGGACAGTTGGTCACCCTGCAGCACCGCAAGTGCCTGGGTGGATAGTGTGGCCAGGAGAGGTGCTTTCCTTCTGAGCCTCAGTTTCCCCATTTGTGCCTTGCTCCTGCCAACATGGGGTGTTGGGGTGGTAGCAGCTGATCTTGTAGGCTGAAGGAAGGGGCCTGGTACTGGGACGGAGCTCACACATAGCCACCCCTGAAGCTGGATGGCAGGCCCTTCCCCAGGCCTTTCCCAGCCCCCCTGCAGGCTGCCCAGGAGGTGAGCCAGGGGAGAAGTGGGTAGGGGTGGCCTCAGGGTGCATCCCTGATGGTCTTAGTATCAAAATGGATCCCCTGTGCCCCTACTGGAAAACCACCATTCCTCTCTGGTAAGAAATCCCAGGGCCATTCTCCACCACCATCATCTTCACCATCGCCACCATGTCTGTCACCACCATCATCTCCATCACCACCATCATTCAAAAGGGCCTCTCTGGACTCCTACTCATCCCTCCCCACCTCTGTTTCTTGCCTCCGTTTTCCTCAACCAGTGGCTCCCACAGCTCTACCACTGCTGGGCACCGGCAGGCACTGGGCATTGTGAACAGAGGGTTCTCTGGACACAGCTGAGGCTCAGAGAGGTTGATCTCAAGCCTGAGGCTATACAGTGTGAGTGGCAGAGCCAAGGCTGGATCCCAGCTGCAGAGCTGGGCACCTCCAGGAAAAGACATACATAGAAAAGGAATAAAGGAAGCTTCCTTCTTGCCTCAGGTGCAAAGGCACGGGTCCAGAAACTCGGCCATGTTCACTGTGCCACAGCCTGCAGGTCCTGAAGGGCTCCACAGCTGCCCACACTGTGGGTGCATTTCAGGGACCCATGCTTTAGACCTGCACAGCAGCCCAGCGAGGAGGGTGCGGTGCTATTATTATTCTCATGTTATAGGTGAGGAAACGAAGGCCCTGAGAGTGTAAACTGTGGCCCAAGTCACAGTCAATGGCAGAGCTGGGGCTGTTACCCTGTCCTGCCCAGAGCTCTGGCCCTTCTAGCTCATGACACAACTAATATTTGTTTGGTGCCACAAGGTTTACAGAGTCTTTTCGCCCACACCGTCTCATTGATTCTCACAAAACCCACAGAGGTAGGCAGAGATTTACAACACCGATTTTAGTTTACAGATGAAGAAATCCAGAGGGCCTGCCCAAGGCCGTAGGAAATGAAGTGGGGTAAAGGGAGTCAGACTCCAGTGTGTCTGGAGGCAAAGCCACAGAGGGCACGGGTGTCAGCTGCCAGCGCTCAGGGGAGAGAGCATCATCCGGCTCCAGGGGGGTGGGGGCGCGGGTCACTGTTGCCCCCTGGGGAAGATGGTGTCATAGCTGGGGACCCAGGGCCCAGGGAACAGGGTAGAGGGAGGTCAGGAGTCAAAGGAGGAGGGTGGGGAAAGTGGAGGCACAGGGGAGAGGCTGGGACTCCTGTGTCTTCAGGCAGCCACATCCTGTCTTCCCTGATTTGTCCCTTTTTTTCCTAAAGCCCAAGGGAGAGTCTGGGCAGAAGAGTGAATGTGCCCACCCCAGAGTCTGAGTGCTCAGGCGATCCAGCCCAGCTGTGTAAAAGCCTCCACTTTGGAGTTAGACAAGCTGAGATGGGGCTCCATCACTTTCGGCTGGGTGAATCTGGGCCTGTGGCTGAACCTCTCAGCGCTTCCATTTCCGTGGGTGTGAGATGGGGATAGCGGCACCTGTCTTCTGGTGATGCCTCTGTCTCTGCTGCACATTGCAATCAGCTAGGGAGATTTAAAAATACACTGATGCCCAGGCCCCAGCCCAGAGGGTCTGACATCCCTGGGCTGGGGTGTGGCTGGATATGGGGAGTTTTGTCCCCAGCGATGCCCATGTGTAGCTTGGGCTGAGAGCCTCTGTCCCTGTGGCTATTGGAGGATGAACCCAGATGCAGCCTAGAAATTGCCTGGCACGTCTGTGGACCCCCTCCATCCAGCAGCCCATCTTTTTTTGTAAAATACATTAATTGCCCTGTTGAAGGAACAGCCACAGGTTCTAACGGAGAAGTTCATCTTCAGAGGAGCCAGGCCTGCAGGGTGGCAGGGGCCTGCTGGTGACCCTGGTGTTGGGGGCGGTGGCTCATGGGAAGCCCGGGGGGCCACTGAATCGACCACCTGGAAGACAGAACCTTGCTTATTTACCGTGTGCAGGATAAGCCCTTTCCCTGACTGAGTTCCCATAACATTGACTTTGAACTCAATGGACTTTGAACTTGGCATTTCCCCTTGGGCGCTTCATGTCACTCATTCTAAGCATGGCCATACTCTGAGCCCCAAATTACAATGTTTTTTTTTTTTGTAGAGACAGGTTGGCCAGGCTGGGCTGGAACTCCTGACCTCAAGTGCTCCACCCACCTCGGCCTCCCAAAGTGTTAGGATTACAGGTGTGAGCCACCATACCCAGCCCAAATTACAATCTTAAAGCAAAATGTCCTAAGACAAAAACCCCCAAGCAAGAAATGGTTAAATAGACAAGGAGGCATCAATTGCAGATTAATATTGATTTTTTTTTTTGAGACAGAGTTTCACTCTCGTTGCCCAGGCTGGAGTGCAATGGCATGATCTTGGCTCACACAACCTCCGCCTTCAGGGTTCAAGTGATTCTCCTGCCTCAGCCTCCCGAGTAGCTGGGACTACAGGCATGCGCCACCATGCCCGGCTAATTTTGTATTTTTAGTAGACAGGGTTTCTGCATGTTGACCAGGATGGTCTCAAACTCCTGACCTCAGGTGATCCACCCGACTTGGCCTCCCAAAGTGCTGGGATTATAGGCGTGAGCCACCGTGCACAGTCAATATTAATATTAATAGTGAAAAACTGGGAAAAATTCAGTGTCCAACTATGAGAACCATTCAGTAAACAGTGGCAGATGCCCAGAGGAGAACATGATGCAGCCTTAAGAAGTGGAGTTACAGAAGCAGGCAGCAAAGTGGCAACAAGACAAGCAGACAACAAGACGGGCGACGCCGTGTCCAGCGTGTAGGCCTCTGGGCAGGAGCTGGAAAGGGATCAGGAAGAAAGACAGAAGCTAGACTGATTGCTGGGGTTAAGGAATTTTATGTGAGTTTTAAAAATTCTAATTTCCATTACATAATGAACAACAATCATAGGGAAAGGCAATTTGGTGAGACAAGGATTTTCTGTGTTTTGCTGAGTTCACTTGGTATATCACAGATGTCTAGCACAGGGCCCAGGGCATAACAGTGGCTCCATAAATAGCCATCGAATGAATGAATCTCGTTGCTTTCAGACTTTGCTGATAGACTCTTTTTTTGCAGGGGGAGGGAGGGGGCGGCGGGGCAGGGACAGACTCTTACTCTGTCGCCCAGGCTAGAGTGCAGTGGCATGATCTTGGCTCTCTGCAACCTCTGCCTCCCAGGTTCAAGCGATTCTCCTGCCTTAGCCAATCCCATGTAGCTGGGATTACAGGTGCACCCCACCACTACTGGCTAATTTTTGTATTTTTAGTAGAGATGGGGTTTCACCATGTTGTCCAGGCTGGCCTCGAACTCCTTACCTCAAGTGATCTGCCCGCCTTAGCCTCCCTATGTGCTGGGATTACAGGCGTGAGCCACTGCACCTGGCCACTTCTT